GATGGTGCTACCTTGTGACTAAAGTCTGTAACTGCCTATAGCAGTCAACTTACAGCCTAATTCATCTTATTTTAACTTAACAATGCCACATGCCTAAGAAAACAATACAGAACACTTACATTTCACTTTTAAAACAATAACAATTTAGGTTGGTAAAAAAAACATAAATAAATCTACCATCCAGCTACATATATTTAGAGTTTCATTCAATGTACTCAGTCTCTTTATTTTTTTATTTACATTTTTATTGATTAAAAAAACACAAGTTCAGGTTCAAACTACAGGTTTTTTTGTTTTTTTTTGGTGTGGACATCCTCTGACTTTTCATAATATATATATATATATATAGGTATATATATATATATATAAATAAAACAAACAAATATAACACATTAGCAATCCACATTGTAAGAAATCCATCCAGTCCAACCGAATTGAAGTTCACTGAGGGATGAACAGCAGGGTGTTTATGAGTGTAGGTGTGTGAAGCTGACCTGTTACATCAGAGGCTGGACTGAGGGGGTGTTGGAGGCACAGAGCCTTTCAATTGGAGGCCAAAGTTCTTCTTACACTTAAAGTGAGCATTGGTGCTTTCCCTACTGCAGCTCCCCAGTGGGCTGGCTTTCTTTGTTTTGTTTTTTTAACACTTTACACTTTAATGCTTATTCCTCTCTACACACAAATACAAATTCCTTTTTGTGAGTAAAATATCCTGCTTCCCTCATTGTCACCATTGATGAGTAGAAATACACCAACATTTCAGGAAGGATACAGCACAATCAGAGTCAGATTTATTGGCCAAGTATGTGTACACATTCAAGGAATTTGACTCCGGTAAACTTTGCCCTCTATGTACAAACATTAAACATGACATGTTACAAAAATTATTACAAAAAGAAAATTACAGAAATTACAAAGGATGTACAAACCAGACTAGACATTTAACTTATAAATACAAGACAGCAGTGCAATAATGCAATGATGAAGAGTGCAGTGGTGTGAAGAGTGGTTGTGAAAAATCTACATTTCATATTACAGGTGGCTTATGTTAATGAGGTAAATTAAATATGCATTGTGTCATAACAGTCAACATTAAAAAGAAATATATATTAAATACCCTGTGCAGGGGTCAGATGAGAGGAATGATTATAGATTAACTGTTTGAGCAGTTATAAAAGTCATTTACAGTCGTTGAATCCCTTTTTCAGGTTTAATCTCACCCAGACAATCTATAACTTCTATAATTTCAGCAACTCCAACGAGCAAGTAAACTTGATTGAATTTGACCGTCTTGACTCTGACTCCATTGTTTACTGTTGTCTTCCTCAATCGGCCAGATTGGAAGTGGAAAGTGGCCTAACGCCCTTATGCCAGAGGTGAAAGTGATGCATGCACTGACCCATTATACAGCCATTACAATCTCAAAATTTCTCCCAAAATGATCATGGTCATTGAACAATGAGTGATCAAAAACTATAATATCAATAAAAACGTTGATTAGACAAGATTTGTGTCTACATTTTCAAGTTTAAATTTAGTCTCTTAGTGAAAGTATGCTGGAGCTGTAGATGTGTGATTAACTCCAATAGTCGCTCCTTTTTTTTTTTTTTTTTTTTTGGCTTGTTGCATTAAATTCAATGCAAAGTTTTTCTGCAGCAGCACACTGATTCCAATCAGACCGCACGTTTTGACATATAATTTGTCCTACAACTCTTCAAGCTGAAGGACTCGTAGCCAAACGAAATTTCTCTGGAAGAGGAAGAAGAAAAAATCCACAGTCTAAACCTTTGAGGCGGGGTTATCAGTCAGGCTACTGCTGAGGATCTCAAACCTGCAGAGAATAATCTGCAATTAACTGATGAAATGTGAAGATAAGAAGACAACTATTTGTGAACCCTCAAATGTAGGGCTTTGATTTTAAGAAAACATTTGTGTTGCTATTGTGTAACAGGTTCAGGTATATATAGCCTTACTTCAGAGTTCACCGTTAATCACAATTTTTTTTCTGGCAACTGTGTAAAAATACATTGATGAGCTTTGAATCATTGTTTCATACTATGCAGTTCCCTGTTCCTGTGTGTTATTTCTTCTGTGCTATTTTATATATACACTTTATTGCCAAAGGTATTCATTCATTCACCCAAAAAATCAAAATCTTGTGTTCCAATCACTTCCATGGCCACAAGTGTATAAAATCAAACACTTGTGAGAGAATGGGTCACACTCAAAAGCTCAGTGATTTCCAGCGTGGTGCAGTAATAGGACGCCACCTGTGCAACAAGTCTGATAGAGAAATTTCTTTGAAATTTTCCTCCTAATTATTGTGCTGCCGACTGTATTGCAACAAAGAGAAAATGATTGGGAATGGGTTTCCATGGATGAGCAGCTGCATCCAAGCCATTCATCACCAAGTGCAATACAAAGCGACTGCTGCAGTGGTGTAAAGCATGCCACCACTGGACTGTAGAGCAGTGGAGATACACTCTCTGAAGTGACGAATTGCCCTTCTCCATCTGGCAATCTGATGGGCAAGTCTTGGTTTAGTGGTTTGCAGGAGAACCTCTTAGTTCCAGTGACAGGAACTCTGAATGCTTACCAAGAGCTTTTGGAAAATTCATGCTCCCAACTTTGAGGGAACAGTTTGGGGATGGCCTGTTTCAACATGACTGTGCACCAGTGCACAAATCAAGATCCAATCCATAAAGACAGGGATGAGAGAGTTTGGTATGGATGAACTTGACTGGCCTGCACAGAGTCCTGACCTCAACCCAATAGAACATCTTTGGGATGAATTGGAGCAGAGACTGAGAGCTATTCCTTCTCGACCAGCATCAGTGTGTGACCTTTATGCTTTATGGAAGAATGGTCAAAAATTCCTATAAACACATTCCTAAACTTTGTGGAAATCTCTCCAAGAAGAGTTGAAGAAGTTACAGCTGTAAAGGGTGGACCGACACCATATTAACCCCGATGGATTCAGAAAAGGGTGACACTTAAATAGATTCTGAAGCTTTTATTTTGATATCTGCAAATCTGCAATAAACAGAAAACAGGAAGTTGGAAATAAAGAGACACTGTATAGTGCAAACAGTATGGCTGAATTTGTATGGTTTCATTTGTTAAATTGGAAGTAATCCTGTGTGTAAATTCATCTGAAAACAATGGATGATATGGATCAGAATAGGCCATTTGATTGTTCAGCGTTAACAATAAATCCATAACCAAGGAGTATTTCTTATCAATACCACAGACTTGAAGCTATCTTGGCTTTAAATGTGTGTAACTAGACTGTGCATATACAGTAGGTGTGTGAATTAAAGCTTCCCCTTTAGGTCAGAACTCTTGCTGTAGCGTGACTGCTTTGTTCTGGGGAAAGGAAAGTAACATGATAAATTCATGCCTGTTCAATCATGGTCAATCAGTACTGCTCTGCTGCATTACTGATGGACCACAATAGAGGGGGCGGACCCAAAACATCGCGCTCTATCCTCACAAAAGCCTCCAGAGAGCCACAGGAGAGGTGGCCAATCAGAGGAAAGTAGGGTCGTGGTGGGGGTCTTGAAGAGACAGCAGCTAAAAAGTATTTCCGACAGAGGCTGCAATAATGGTACTTTAATACACCAAAGTAAGAAACACAGGGCTGTTTTGATCATAAAATCATGTAACACTATTAAAGAGGTATTATAAAGGAAGTATAGCATCTGAAAAAAAGCATAATATCCCCTCTTTAACATGCAGGAGGTGGGAAATAAGGAGACACTGTAAGGAGCAAATAACATAGCTGCGTTTGTGTGGTTTTCTTTATTCAATCTGAGGTAATTCTGTGTGTAAATCCATCAAAAAGCAACAGCTGTAGGCAAATTGAAACTGGAATTAATTCAGGAAAATAGCCAACTCTATAACTTAGCGGTAGTATTTGTCATGTAGTCAAACTGAGACAGGGAAGGAAAAGGTCTGGTATGTTGATCAAGTAAAATGTGACCAGGTGGGGGGGAAAGGCTGATTACAACTTTGTTTTACGGTGGCCCTGAAGTGCAAAACACAACAGCAAATTAAAAAACACAACAACAAATAACTAAAAGAGTATTTTGATACTACACCAAATTCACTCATCTTGATGATCAAACATCTCCTCTAGTTTATATTATAGCTCTTTTTTAGAGAAATAGGTTTTAATTTAAAGTATGCAATTTTTTGGGATTGTGAATTATATTAAAACAGTACATTACAGTTTATATAGTCATTACCTATTAATCAACACTATTCAATATATCTAAAAAAAAATCATATAAATTAAATTAAGCCCTAATTCTCCAAAGTAAGAGCTGTAGTGTAAACTTGAGATTAACATTCAGATCACATAAATATAAAGGCATTTGCTTTATTTTCAATTTTAAAAAATCCTCTAAAATATTTAAATTCATGTTTATTACAACTATGATATGTAGTATAAAAAGAATAAGGTCATTTATTTGTACTGTACTGTATGTATGTGTACGAATTTTTCCCCACAGCATTGCTCCACTATGGTAACTTGCAGACAGTCCCTACACCATAGAGCCAACACCAGCAGTGTATTTAGACCGATTAAAGTTGTCTGGCCAAGAGGATGGCTTGTTTTGGCTTGTTTTGAGGAAGACAATTCACAGTCTTCATGACACTAATTGAAAAGAGGGACCAATTTGCAACTACAGTGTTTCACTGATGAATTATTGACCCAGAAAGTCCAAATTTGTAAATATCTTTCTATCTTTACCAAAGCTGAAATGTCCTGGTTAGTCCTGGGCATATCCAGCATGATCTCACATGTATGTCCTGAGTCAAAATATTCTTTGATAGTGGCAGTCACATTTGGATCAGCAGGAACGCTCATGTTTAAAAACCTTGCTAAAGGCAGAACAACTTTCTGATCAAAGGATGAACGGTGTCCTCCCTCCCTCTTCACACCATAGACTGTATTGTCCAATCAGCAATCACGCATGTTGCCCACCAGTACCTCTCTCTACTGGTAGGTTAATGTGGTTGTGTTTTACAATTTGCTGTTGTGTTTAGTGATTTGGTGTTGTGGTTTGCACTTTGAATAGATTGAATAGGCATGAATAAATCATGTTACCTTCCTTGTCCCAGAAAGCAGTAATGATATAGCAAGAGTTCTGACCTAGGGCTGAAGCTCTTATTCACACACCTATTCACACACCACGTTCTAGTTACGCACAATTACAGCTGAGAAAGCTTCAATCAATCAATCAATCAATCAACCAAATTTTATCTATATAGTGCCAATTCACAACAATCGTCATCCCAAGATGCTTTCCAAAGAAAAAGAGTAGGTCTAGACCACGCTCATTGTTTGATGAATTATCAAGACCCAACCTAAGATGGGATTTGGCCCATCTCATTTAACATGAGTAACAGTGGCAAGGAAAAACTTCCTTTTTTTGAAGGCAGAAACCTTGAGCAGGACCAGACTAATGCTAGACAGCCACCAGGCCGCTGCTGGGTTGGGGAGGAATACAGAGAGACGGGGGGAGAGAGAGAGAGAAAGAGAGAGAGAGAGAGAGAGAGAGAGAGAGAGGGCAGGGGGAGAGAAAGAGAACAAGATAGAGTGAAAGAAAGAGAGAATGAGTAGGGAGAGGGAGGGAGAGAGAATAGAGAACGAGGGTATATTATGAGAGATAGACGGGACAGCAGCAACATAAAACAACAACAGCTCATTCAGAGTTGTGATTGCAGAGCAAGTAAAGATGAAACAATATGAATTCAGTTTACAGGATTAGGATATATGTAATTTTGGACGATGTTAAATTAATTTAATGTGATTACAGTCAGCTGGCCTAATAGTAGTTAACAGCTTCAAGTCAGTGGCATACAGCAGGAAAGATAGGTCCTCAGGTGCGACCACTTATATTCTCATAGTCATTTTTAACCCTCCTGTTATCCTTGTGGTCAATTTGACCCCATTCAATGTTTATCATTGAAAAAATAATAGCTGACTTTTTTTTTTGCTTCGTATTTAATGACTTTTCCTAATTTGATGGGGACAACTGATTTGGCATAAAATTTTCATGATGATATATTATTAATGTGCTGTACACATATTGCATGCATCGATGTTCCTCTGGGGCCAGTTTGACCCCAAGCTGTTCTGGCTGTGTGAAACTTGTCTGTCTTTGTGCGCGACCTAACATTCCCGTACCTACAGATGCAGACTTGATACTTTTGAGTTGATACATAACTGTGAGGTGGGGAAAACGACTATTCCCTCTAGAACTTTGGTACTTCTTGTGGTGTGGACATGTTGGAAACAACTTGACTTGTAAGCTCCTGCCAAAATGAGGAAGCCACTGTAGGCTTGCAAGTTGATCACACCCAAGTCTTTCCAACTACAAATAAAATATTTTCAAGTGATGGTTATACGAAGAGTTCAAGTAATGAACAACATGGCGGACTGTGTGTCTGGTGAGACACACTCATAGCAGCATGTCCACCCTGTTGTCAAAGTCAGTAGAGGGACCATGATTTGGGAGAGGGGTAAACAATATTTTCACAAAAACCTTCCTGCACTATGGGCATGAAGGTGTGTATGAGTGACCTACTTGATGATGTGGTAATCAAGGTTGTCAGTAAATTTGAGAAGATTTGTATGAATACTTTTCAAGTTATTAATTCTACTTTAAAAGTTTAGCTTATTGGTGGCGCTAGAGAACAGGTCAAATCGTTGATAGGTTTCATTCTTAAGGGGTTATTTATGTACTCAACAAATAAACAAAGCACTTGGCCAAAAATCTTGGTCAACAATTGCATGTAAATCATTTTCTGGAGGGAAATATACCTGGGGTCAGGTAAATTTGAGGATAATAGGAGGGTTAAGGTATTTCCTAATGTGATACACATTTTCTTTCCTTATATTATTTATTTGGGGGAGGGAGTAGAGGCACGTGCTTGCTTTTGAAGTAGAAAAAGAAACTCATCTTTGCACAGGCGGCTGTTTGCGTGGGTAAACGAATGCATATTTAATCGAGGAGTGGGCTGCAATATTCAGAGCACTGGTTCACCAAGTTGGCCAGAGAAATAGGGGGCGAGAGAGAGGGAGCAGGCACGCTCCATCAAAGAATAGGGCTTTTGTCAACAAGATGCACTTGATCAGCTAAGCCCGTCCTTCATTGTTGTGCTTCAAGGGGTTAAGAAGAAGTCTGCCTATCAACCTCTACGTATATGTAAATACAAGATACAGGGAAGGCTGCAACTAAACCTAGAGCAGACGAACAGTTGAAATGGCATCGGCCTGTTAATGAGTATTAAACCAACTTTTTCTTCGACTTGATGTTTTTTTTTTCTCCTTTTTTAGATGAGTGATTTGGATGTTTTGCAACCTCACCCTGTAGCTGCAAGCCATCAGGAGTCAGTGCCGTGCAGGGACCGTTCAGGGCTGTAGTTCACAAAGCCAGCACGTTCATAACCGTCTGCAGTAGCCGCCGAGTGGTGCCGAAAACCATATCCAGCTTCACCGGAGGAATCAGCAGCAGATCGGGGAGGGGTCCTTTTCTTTTCTCGTTTCTTTCTTTTAATTTATTTTTTTCTTTTAATCTTTTGAAGCGTCGACCAACGCTTCAAGGCGACCATTTGCTGCTCACCAGTGACTCGGGGATAATGAGGGCTCTGGAATGAACAGATGTGTTGCAGATGCGCTGTCCGAGGTGCTGAAAAGCCACCGACAAACCCGCCGTTAGTCCTTTTTTCCAGGCGCGACGAGACATATGAAGTGGCGTGGACGCCGAGCAGCACATCACGGCACACCAGCTCGATTGTTAACACATAACCATCATCAAGAGTAAATGGGACCGCACGTCGACCGAGCGTTAGAAAGATGGAGAGATATTTTTTCCTGCTCGTCCTTAGCTGTCTCTGCGTCTCTAGAGTCACAGCGGGTAAGTTTATGTTAATGTGCATTGGAGGGAGGATTCCGTGCATTTGGCGCTGCACCTTGCAGTGTGGTTTTTAATCGTCAAATATAACAATCGAGGGATTGCAGGGGCATGTGTGTGAAACGCAATTGTCTAACATTGATTTGCAAATTTGACTAGGTAATGCTGCTGTGAGACGCTGCATAGACTGTTGTGTTTATGGAAAGGCTAGCAGTGGTTGTTGGCTATATAGGTATTTCCATGCCGTCATCTGATGAAACAAATGGTTTTTATCAATTTACTGGTTATAAGTCCAAACAGAATCAAACATGTTAAATGACTGAAATTGCCTAATCGATAGATTATCAACAAAATTCATATTCTTGTCTCTTTCCTCGTGCCAAGCAGTGTGTGATTGTGTTTTAGAGTGTGTGTCTGTGAGTGTATACATGGCTAAAATGGGTTTCAAAGGTGAGCTTGTTGGCTCACACAAATACCAATACACGAGCACACACACGCACACAGACACACACACACAAAGAAGAAGAAAAAAAGAGACATGTACATAATTACTTCCCCCATATTGCCCCGGGGGCTCATGTGTCTTCCTCAAGCTTAAGTCCTCTGTCAGAGGCCTGGGAATTTGGAGGTTCAGTGCAGCATCTTAACTGGTCCTCAGACTGTGCTTTTCTGAACAGAGATCTCAGGTACTGGAATCTGCTGGGACCACTCTCCCAGTTTCTGGGTCACAGCCCCCAGTGATTCCGTCACTACTGATACCAATGTTGCCTCCATATCTTCCAGCCTTTGGTATGATCAATTGTGTTCTCTGTCCCCAGTGTTGCTGTCACTCAGGATTGCTACATCTATCACCAGTACCCTCTTTTGTGGTTTGTCAATCAACATTGTCTAGTTAGTAAATCGTCACTGCTTGGTCAGTCTAAATTTTGAAATCCAGTCATGATCATGGCCCAACCACATCAGGGGGTATCTTCCACTCTAACAATGTGACTCAAACCCCATACTCAGTGCAGATGTTCCTGTACAGTATACACTTTGCCAGCCACTGTTCCATGTATGCTATTCCTGCACCCTGTTATCACATGCTGCACTGTCTCGGGACCATCGTAGCACAGTCTGCAGTGCACATAGGGTCCTGGTAAGGTAAAGCCCACCCCTTTAGATTCAAAGTGTCTCCTCTTGTGCTGCTATGATCACTTTTCTTGTGCTGTCTTTTTGTGGATAACAGTTTTCTAGACATTAGCCACTTCCTCTATCACTTGGTAGTACGTGCCATGTAGAGGCTTTTCGTTATCCTGATCTTGGTCAGTGATTCAGACCCTCAACATTCATCGTATTTCAGGACCTGCCTTTCTGTGTGTAGGTATTTAGCTGTGGCTTACTTCCTTGTGGCCTCCTTATTGGTACCATTTGTCTGCAGGATATCACAGTTTCTGTAGCTGTCCTAAACATCTGCAGTGCTGCTATATAAAATGTATACTGGACATCATTGGAGTCCAGCTTTTAATTTTACTGCATATTATCGGTATGAAATGAATGGTCCCTGGCCACTGGAAACACATTTGGTCAGCCATTTTGGTCCTGTATAAGATCCAAAGGAACACTACAAAACTGTCAAGTGTGTGAGAGTTTTCTAAAGCTTAAACTGTGCAATATGCTTTTTAAGAGTCCACACAGACACACAGTATTTAGACACTTTAATTAATTGTTGAACCTAAAATGCTTTTATTGTTTGAGCTCTCCTACATTAAGTAGTAGTAGTAGTAAACAAGTTTGTACATTTGTTAGTTGTGTTGATGTATTCGTCATTTATGAAACTCACAACTGGTTAGATTTTCTAACCACATGTATATTATCTTAAAGTGTCACTTATCTCCTCTTATACACTGAAGTGTCTTGATGTTGTTATGGTGAAGCATCCTAGTAAGTGGATGCATTGAGACAATCTACCCCTCAATCATAGGATAATTAACAACAAAAAGGAAGATGTACCTGTATATAGCTGCAAAGTTATGCTGATTTTGCATTAAAATGTGTTTTCAGATGTTGTAATTAGGCATACAGTTAGGACTGTATTGTACTGCTGTAGCTGTGTTCACAGAAGCTTTAGCTTTGAGTTAAGTGTGCACTGGCAGACATATATTTATAATGAATGTCTATGATTTGTTCTCACCAGCTGCTCCTTTAAGCTATTTAAGAGTTTTTTCAGTACTGCTGTTCTTATCAGGATGAAATTGTAACTCACAACAATACAAGACAGAGAGATCATTATTACCCTTTCAGTTTTAACCATTGATAAGATGAATATTGCAGGAACAATTCATGAATGCATGGTACGAATACTGTTCACTTCAATGAAATAATCTCAAGAAAGAATGTGAGCAATGGATTCAATGACAAGTTTTGGTATATATTTTAAAGTCCGATTTATAGCTGTTCTGGACCTTTTGCTCATAAAACATCTCACAACAATATTACCAATAATTATACTGACTTATATCCCCAACCATACTAGATAAGAAGTGATAAGAATCAATTACCCAGACTGAATACCTGCTTATCTACTGATGGACATTTAATGACTGACAGATATGAAATGATCAGAAGGTTTAGAGCCGCAACCAAATGGACTTCAAAAAAGCAATTCTCCTTATGATCAGTAACTACTTATATACCTTGATGATTCTATATATTTACACAATAAACCTGAATGAAGTGTATTGAATGCAGCCTCATTCAAGTTATTGTCCTCAAGTTTATCTTGGGAGTTAAAAAAGTGCAAAAGGACAACCATGCAAGATCATTTTAGAGGTAGTGAGGGAAACTGACAGCAGTGAGAGGATGCGTGCCACAGCTCCATTAAATTTTCACCACAGTGACATCTTTAAGTGCGTCTGTGTTTATTTGGACTCATAAACTGTCAGTTGATTCTGAGACAGGGGAGAAGATGCTTCCATTTAAAATGTAAATCGCTTCTCTAACACAATCATTCTAAAAAGGCCAAAAAACACTTAAAGCAATTTTCCCCTGTTCCTAACTATTGTAGCATCAAGACAACCCTGTGTGTGAAACTCACACATTCCTCACAGGAAAGGTTCTTGGGTATCTGGTCCCTGGACACAGGATCATATAAATCTTTCCAGAAATGTTTGGACTTTCAGGTTACAACCAAACTATCACTCTGACAGAATAAATCCTGTATTCTTTAGTTCCTTCAGATCAGCAGCTTTCCAGACAGTGTTATGAATTTTTAAGAGTTGAAATTATTGAGTATGAATCATTACTTTAATTCACAGAAATGGTTTTAAAATGTTTTAACCATTCATATAGTATTTTTAACCATTAGGTGGTTATTATGTCATTTAATAATCCAAATGCAAATATATAGAATCCATTATTAATCATGAAGTTCATTAATATGTGTTTATTCTTCTGATGTTCACAGTTTCTATGTGTTACTATCTGTTTGATTTCAGAGTAATTTGATCAGTGCTCTTTATAGAAGTGATACATAAAGTATAATGGAAATGTTTGATGTGATTCTACATTTCCTGATATGTGTTAAGTATCAAATCATTCATTATGAACAAAGCCTTTAACACAATTAATCATAGTGAGTGAGTATTAAATCTGACTCCTTTACAACAAAGGTATAATCAGGGATCCCAAGGGTCTCCTCGCAACCACGAAGTTTGTGCTACCAAGTAAATTTCCTTTAATCTGTCTGACAGCCAGCAAACCTTCAAGCTCACCTGTTTCCTTACATTCCCACCAGTGTCTGGATTAGTATTTGTTAGCATATGACTTCTTCTGTTCTTTTCTGGCAATATGTTTCAAACAGCCTGGTACCAATGCCATCAATGTGGTTCATAGCAAGAGCTATGAAGCCTTAGCATATATGAGCATATATCATTTACATTTGCAGACACGCAGAGATTACCATATGTGGTCAGCTTCATCACTTTTAAAGTCTAAGTCATGCGTATGCAGTGTTATTTGTTCTAAGCAGCTGATAAAAACAAACAAACAAACAACAATACAAAGTCAAAAGACACAGACAGCTGTTAAATCCTGAGGAAGAAAGTGTTTTCAGAGCATCTGAGTTTCCCTGCATGAACTAGAACTGAACATAAATTTAAAAAATTTCATGAACACCAAAGTATTTTGTTTAAAGCACAGTTGCTGTTGTTTATTTCCTTAAACTACTACTGTGTAATAGTTCCCTTACCTCTTTTTTATAGCTGAAAAATTTAGGGTCCTACTTATTAAATCGGGCCATCAGCTTTTTTGGCAGTAGATATTATCCAGATATAGATAGACACTGAGATGTAACAAAATTGTCATTGTATGAGGTTGAGATAAATAACTGTGGTAATTAAAATATAAACTGCTTTAATAACGGTGTTAGCCATTTAAACATGGGGATATTTTGTCCTCATTGCTTCATAAACCAGATGAGTTCTTACGAAACAACACAAACTAAAGTTCCAAGTTGGGACATTGAAGCTTTGGAGGCGATATTCTTTCTCATTCTTAAATGATTTACGACTTAAGTTGCTCACCAGTCTGGGGTCTTTGCTGACGTATTTTGCACTTCATTATATGCCACACATTTACAAAGAGAGACAGGTCTGGACTGTGGGCAGGTCAGCCTGGTACCCCAACCTGACCCCAACCTGTATGTACTTTTCAGTATTACGAAGTGTGATGTCCATGACATATTACGTGTGATATTTGGTGTTGTCAGCCTGAGTGTCTCCAGCCTGAGTCAGTGAGTGCAGCTCATTGATTAGGGTAATGTCACATACCTGTGCTTAGAATGAGGAGGTTATATAAGCTCCTGCAGTCACACCATCATTCTCTCTGAGTTTGACCTGGCCTCCACAGGTATACTACCCTTTGAGTTAGTTATGTAAGATTAGGTTGAGCTTCGGTTAGGTTTGTGTTTTACAACATTTACACACATTGTCTTCACTCATGCATATCCCACAAACCTGGTTCTTCTGACTTACATACCTCATGCTGTAAATATTAAATTTGGTCTTATGTGAAGTGACGTTTAGTAATTTGTTTTAATTTGGCTTAATTTGAACAAATTAAGAGTTATCTAAAAAATTCACCATGGTACAGTCTCCCTCATGATCGTTTACAGATGTGCAGAACTTTATGTGAACGAAAAAAAGTCTATCAGTTTGAACACTGAATATCTTTCCTTTGTCGTGAGCTCATTTGAATATAGGTCAAAGAGGAACTCCAAATCACTATTCTGTTTTATTCATGTTTTTCACAGTGTCCCTACTTCATTGGAATTGGGGTTTATAAAATCAATCATTCTCTTCTCCTCCAGAAAACAAAACAAAACTGTTATCTGATTTGTTTATAGGCATCGTCATGAGCGGGTCTTTGTAAAACTAAAGCATTAGAGATGTGGTAGAATATTAAAATAGTTTTTTGTTTTCTTGCACTGGTCAGTAGACAGGGAGATCCATATGGTGTTTTCAATTTATGCAGCCTGCAGCACTCGTGGGGCCCCTGAGGAGTTTACCTGCACATTTTAAACTAGAATCAACTTTTGTTATCGTTACCTGTGACAAAAAATGTCTGCTGTTATTTTTTCCAAGAAGTTTTGTTTGACAAAGATAAGCACTAATGGTCCTGTTTTAGTCTCTGTGACTGTGCTACCTGTCACCAGAGGCATTTTGTTTTGTACATATGACACTGCAGTGAAATCAATAACTCAAAATGTTATATTTCTACATGTAATCTGTTGTGTGTAGTTGATTTGTGGTGAAAACTCCTATCATGCTTGGCTGTCTTAAGGTTTCTTTGAACAGGCACTTGCTGTGCAAAGATTTAGGAACAGACAGGCCTTGGTGCGCTGTCATACCATAGAAATTGCTCACAATCTGAGATGACGGTTATTGTAATGCTTGTATGAATGTGAATGCTACCACATAAATAAGCATTTATTACTTAAAACTGGGAACAGGTGGGCATGCTTGTTTGTTGCTGCAAGTTGTTGTTAGTGGGTGGGTTTCAACCTTACTCATGAGCTGTAGTTGGTCACAGCATGTATTTTTATGAGTAAACACTCACTAAAAAGAAGCATGGAGTAGAGAGGGACATCAAATAGATGGAGAATTGCTGGCATAAAAAGAAAGACAAAGGAAAGCATCAACCCTCGGCAGGCTACCCTCACATTTCCACTAACAACAACCTCCAACCCTTTGTCAGGATAACCAACTCCACGCACCTCCAACCCTGCCACATCATCATCACTCCCATCTCATGCCTACCCTCCACCCCCAAAGCACCCTGTGTTATGACTTAATTTCGCCTGCCGAAATTATCTAAAGAGCCACTGAGGTGTAAGAAAGCCTATTGTTTCTCACGTGTAAATGAAACGGCAAGTCCAAGTCACATTTTCCTTGTTTATTCTTCTTTTGTAAAAGAAACCAAATGCAAAATAAAGACAAAGCAAATTCCAACAAACGTCGACGACAGGATGATAAAGATATAGATGGTCAAAAAACTGTCTGCTTCTCTAGCTACCAACACACCTGCCACTAATTGCGTCTTCTTCTATTTCTAACAAACAAAACCCAAGACTTCACGCCACCTGGTGTGGCACCAGGACGATTACAACTGAAATATGTTTCAAAACACAAACCCAAAGAAAATATAGCAAACGGCTCTAACACCCAGGTTACACCCTTCCTCCCACCCGTTTTCTCCCAAAAGCCATTTTAGTGGGTGCGTTTCAATTGCATTGATAATTTCACTGGGAGTAATCATTGCAGAAAGGCTTTGCTGTCCCTCTATCCACAGAGACTGTATGTAGTTAGGGTGAAGGGAGAATTGTTAGTGTTAGTTTACAGAGGAGAAAAACAAAGCAAGAAAGGACAGAAAGAATGAAGGACAGAGGGAGGGTATTATTTGCCTTCTACTCTTCCACTTTCCTCTGATATCCATCCTCCTGACACCAACTGTGGGCTCTACGGTTGTAGAGTCCTCAATGGCCTTGGAGGACTAGAGAAAAAAAAATCTAGTAAATCAGAGGTGAGAGAACAAGAGAATTTTTTTCAAGCAATAATTTGAAATCATTACCCTCTATCAAACTGCATTGTTTTAAAATGTAATTACAGCATTTTTATGAAAGAAAGACAGAAAAAAAGGGTTTTACAATCTAAACCTCACTTGGTTCTAGAGGCCAGAAGAGATAGAAATTCATTTCCTGTGAGTAAAGAAACATTCACACACAAGTGAACGGAACAACCCTTGGATTTGATTTGTGTGAGAGCCCTAAACTTTTAAAGGGAAAATGGAGTGCAGAGAAGCCACAGGCTCTGTTCCACTTTCACAAATGCAGAAAGCACTTGCATAGAGCCATCCTCCCACACAAAAAGGCGCTATGTGGGAGAGGACATCCTAAATGAGTTTCAAATCAATATTTATGCACAGACAATAAGTAGCATCCATTTATTAGCCTCATATTTGCCAACATTCACTTGATCCCCAGTGTGATATCATCAATCAATATCAGAATAGCAGAGGAGGGTGTCAAATCTCTGCTATACCTCCCCTTTTCACCGTCCACCATCTGTTCCCTGTACCCAGGATTCCCATTGAAGGCAATAAGCTTTAAACATCTGGCTATTAAAAAACCTGCCAAAAAGCCCATGTGCAGTAGCAGCACAGAAATAAAGCAAGGGAGAGATAGACAGAGGTGAAAAAAAAACAGAGACAAGACATTTTTTTTTGTATGTGAATATGAAGCTTAGCACCAATTGTCTGTAGTATGTAGTCCAAAAGATAGTTGAGCCACTTAAAAAAGTACACAAAGATGTATTAGGTGAGAAGGCAAATGAAGTAGTTGATACAGATCCAAAAGCTTTGAATGAAGAAAGTGCCAAATCAAAACAGAGCTTTTAAGTCTCCTTTTGCTTCCTGGGATCGTTTATTAGCGTCAATGCAGTTTGTTTGAGTCTGTGTCCTTTCACAATGACAGGACCACATGCCAAGGTCTCCTCTCACACATGCTGCGGCAAACTCCAGATCAGCACAAAATCCTGGTAGCTCTGTCTTTTAGCCGTTCACTAAAGGAGAGGGAAAGCTTGCAGTCCTGCCAGCTTTATGCTAGTGGTTAGCTGTAAGCTAACTGCAGCTAAAGACCACCACAGAGACCTCCTTTATATGCATGGGTTTTAAAATGAACATACTTAAACTCAACACAAATCTTGTCATCCCTAGCAAAGATCTCCAACACAAATTCATTAGGTTTTGCCCAGCAGAAAATCCAAACAACAAAAAAGAGTGTCCTTCAAATAATTAAGCTCCCAGTATAGCGTCTGAGTTATTCAAAGGAGAAGGTGAAAAAAAAATCCCAAGATAGTGGGCCCGATCCAACCACAAGAGTCCAAAAATAGTCCTCCAAAACTCAAAAACATAACAGTCCAGAAAAAAAATAATAAAACAACAGCAATGTGTTGCAAAAGAAAAAAAAAAAATCTGACTAGTTAAGACTCACCAGTCCTGGGAATGCTTCCTCTGCCAAACTCTGACAGTTCCACCACTCACAGCCACCCTTTCCACCAGCGACCAAGTTTAGGCACAGTGGAGGTTTTCCTGCAGCCCTTGAAAAGCTTTTGGTCTCCACACAATGGATGGACACACAAAAACTCAAAGTTCCTTTCCTGATCCAGCGAAATCTCCCTCCAAACATTTCCCTCCTGCTCCTCCATTGTTCTGCCTCTCTCCCCTCCCCCTCTCCACACCTGAGTTCACCTGGCTGCAGCAGGTCACCTGCCCAGGCTGACTGCAGCTTAACAGACAACACCCCCACTAAAACGAACAGCAGTGCCAAGGTAGGGTAAGCTAGGGGATAACATCTTGTATAAAAAAAGTATGAAAATAAAGTTATGACCATAGGTGAAAAAAAGGAGCGCATATGCATGATTTAAACGGGGGTTCTGCATTTTTTGCAGACTTTATACTTTCTGTCTGATTCCTCTGAATACCTTTACATGATTTTAGATTTTTTTAAAAAGCCTCAAATTTCTGACAATCACTTACGCTTGTCAATGATTGGCTGATTAAATAATCTGGCATTTTAGATCAAAGGCACAATTTTACACAGTTTTCATTATTGACCTTTTAAGTATTTTTCCTCTTATAAATTGTACCTCACAATAAAAAATACTCATGCATTAGTCCAAGTGCTCCAACTACTGATGTCCGAGCACCACATTGGATCACTCTTTGGTCCACCAAAATGAAGAACACTGGATCTTCTTCCTTTGCTCTCGATGTAAAGATGGAAGATGTCTTGCATCAATTTTTGAGAGCCTGGCTCCTTCCTGTAGTTTGGATTAAACAGATTCATAGACACATAATGAATATAACATACTTGACAAATTTAAGATTAATTATTGCATTCCCACATCAACCTGTTACAAAAACTCCTAACAACTGGAGAACAAATGATTTGTTGGTATGAAAAGCCAGTGGTACATAGCCTACCTTGAGAAATCTCATAAGATGGTTAGCTCCCTGTGCTGAGCCCATCTTGGCTGGTTGTTCATGATGGGAAAGTGCTGGTTTATCTTTCAACAAAGAAACAATGTCAAGTTACATCGCTTTGCACTTATGAAAATAAAGGTATAAAGGTACTGTAAAGTTTTCAAAATGGACCATGTCATGAAATCCACTGACTCGTACTCATTTATTGAGCTGTTTATTCGGTTTCTAGTGTTCAGCAACAGCTAGTGCAAAGCACTATGGCATCTATTAGCCTAGCTCAACAGGCAACTCCCATATATCACAGAATAAAACACTACACACTTGTGCTATCTACAGTCTGACAGTGAGCCCCAGAGGTGAACCGAAGTAGGCTGCACTTCAGTCTTGTCATATCGCCCCCTTTTAGAGGAACATCTGAAAAAAAATCATAATTAAACTGGAATTTTTTCCTCTTTTTTTTGGCTTGTCCCATTGACTTCAATGCAAAAAAAAATCTGCAGTTTTTCACAATGTAAAAGCAGAGCCGGCCCAAGACTCAGTGGGGCCCTAAGCAAAATTTGATTTTGGGGCCCTCTATTTCTTCCAATGATATTGATTGTTGATCATTGACTCACCTTCACAAATCTGATTAACATTCCATGACATGCAAACATACCTTTATCTTGGCATTTTTTTCTCTTTTTCCTCTTTCTTTTCTCTGCTTCTGAAGGATATGTCCTTTTTTGTGACACAACTACCTGTACTTTGAATGCTCAGCGCACATTGCACAACAGGAGGCACATAACGGTAGCGGAGCTTTGACATATCGGCAGTAAGAATCATAGGCCTTCATCAGCAGAAGCACTAAAATGTTTTTACTTTGTTTTATTTTATATTTACAATAATGTATATTTGATCATAGAGAAAGCATCACTCATACATGCATAAGAAAAAAAATATTTAATTTTTTTTTATTTTTAATTGCTCTTGCGGGCCCCCTACTTGCAGTAGGGCCCTAAGCAGGCGCTTAGTTCACTTATGCCCTGAGCTAGCTCTGTGTGAAAGTAATAGCACACTGATCCCTATCAAACCGCACATTTTAATATATAATTGTCCTACAACTCTTCAAGCTGTAGGACGAGTAGCGAATCGAAATTTGTCCTGAGGAGGAATAGGAAAAGATCCCCAGTATGACAATGGTGCCTTGGTTCGTTTGTCCTGTGGCCCCATTAAGACTTCACACACTATAGTTAATATTTACAAAACTAAAAGGTAGTCTTATGAATAATAAAAAAATCAGTACAAATGCTTTGAATGAACAAAGGATCAAATAAGGAACTATGTAAATATAATTACCACTCATACCATTTGTGATATTTTTTCCAAGTATTGTGGTTATGTAATTGTCAATCAGCGTTATGCCACAGTTTAGCATGTAATGCAATAATTCTATGACGAATTTACTTGGTCCAATAAACCTATAAATCTGACTCTTTCTGTAAATTTACATGTCAGTATCTTAGTTCATGGACAGAGTTTGAAAGATTCCCCTTTTTTGAGAACTAGTAACCTTAAAACAAATATCAGACCATTCACGTAATGGTTACTGTTGAATGGAGAAATGGAGAAACTAAAATGTTGGACATTATAAATGTAAACATGCCCTTGTCTGCTGTTCCTTTCCTGTTTGCAGATAGCTTGTTGCCTCCTGTCAATGTGACCATCAAAGCGGTGAAAGCAAACTCTGCGGTGGTGACATGGGACATCCCAGAGGGAGACCCCGTCATTGGCTTTGCCATCACACAGCAGGTGAGCAGAAACAACTTAAAAGGTTGAACAGGTATGTGTTGATGTTAAGACTGTCATATGATAAACCTTTTGGTCCAGATTTGTTGCATGATTGTTCATAGCTTTTTGCAAACCACTTGCATGATTTGTTTACTTAAGGGATATTTATCAAGTTTTGATAGTCATAGCAACATAGATGTTATGTATAGTAATAAAGTGAAGGTGTGGTCCCAATATTGCAGATTAAAAAAGAAATCAATCAAAAAAAAGGCAAAAGATTATCAAAGCTTACTAAAGTCCAAACACACACACACACAAAAATAAATAAATAAATACATGAGAAACAGAGGTCCAACAAGGGGAAAAAACCTAAATGGATATTCTGGCAAAAAATTAAGTTAGGGTCAAACACATCGTGACACAGAGCTAGACACCCCAGCAAGAGATGAATGATGCTGACCGCTTGCTTCTATAGTGATACCAACTTTAGTAACGACTGCACGATAGCAATACACAGAGCCACGTGCTCAACCAAAAAGCCACTCTATAGCCACAAATAATGCTCAGAACAGCACCTAACTTCATCAAAAGTAGAGTCCCAGCCACAGCACTAACCACCAAACATCTTTTTAGCTTTGCCTGATTTTTCTTAGCAAAGAGACGAAACACAACTCACCCACTCTCGTCCAGCTGCCACTTGTTTGTAGCGAGACCTCTGGCCAGTCCACGATGGACTGCTGCGGGGTGACGCAGCTTGAGGAAGAACATTTATGATCCTTTCCTCATGGAAATGCAATCAGACCGAGACGCTGAGGCAGAATAACTACTACATATGCAGTGCAAAATGATTAATATGATGATTATTACTTCGAGGAAACGATAAAGTAATTATTGCTTTTTGGTTGAGCGTGTGGCTCTCTGTATTGCTGTCGTGAGGCCGTTACTAAAGTTGGTATAACAAGAGAAGCAAGCAGTCAGCAACATTCATCTCTTGCCGGGGTGTCTAACTCGACGTTATGGTTTGTTCGACCCTAACTTAATTTTTACGCTGGAATATCCATTTAAGCTTTGTTGCCCCAAAGTTCCTCAGTTAGGGGACTTTGACATCTCGTATACTCATATTAACACATCTCAACAAATCTCACAAATCTTTCCTTTACTGTGACACCAACATTTCGAGCAGAAAAGTTAAAAAAAGGCCTCGGGCAGAGTTCAGGGAGGAGAGGACACAGTGAAAGACACAATAAAGCAACACCGGATAGATGAAACACAGAGACTGCATTTCAAAGCTTTAAAGTTTCACACTTGTATCCCTCACTTGCATCTTCGTCCCACCTACCAGAGATGCACGGGTGAGATGCGAGGAAATGAAGAGAGGAGAGAAAGTGGTTGAGGGATTTTGTTTTAAGAAACGTGCGATGTCCCATCCTCCAGAGCCTCACATGAAGCGACGCCTGTTTCTGATGACAGCATCAGCTGATCTCCTCAGAATCAGCTGTCAGTCAGCTTTAATAGTGGTTTGTTTCTGCACACGTGTGATCTGTAACAATGCTAAGAAAATAACAGTGTTTGTGTGATGGACAGTTCCCTCTGGTCTTCCCTTGAGTTAAAGAGGGACTCATCTCTGAGCAGAATCAGTGTGTGAGTGTCTGATTGGCTTGTGTGAGACCAGGTGTGTGAAAGTGATATACTCTAAGTCCTTGACCTCCAGGGCAGAGCACTGACTCATTGTTTCTTCCTCAGAGATCATAAGATCATAAATCTTGTATAAAGATTTATTTGTTTTTGTTTCGGATCAGACTGTAGACGCTGTGCTTTTTAGGTCTCCAGTGTTTTGTGTTTTTCGTTTGAACATCCCTTTCATTTCTGAGAGTTTGGTTCAGGTTTTGTTACTTGTGTATCTGTCTGTGTTTAAACATTCAGACTTCTACTTTATTTATAAAACTCTCCTTCTATATTGTATACTTCTACTGAGACATTCTCTGAATACATATACTTCAAGGTGACTTTTTCATCTGCCCTTTAATGTGTATTCCTTTTTATCTTTCATTGTTAAACTTTGTTGTCAATGCTGCTTGCTTCTTCTCGGTTTGTGCATTCCTCTCAATTGATCCAGGAACATATAGAGAAACCACAGCCACAATCCATTTATATGGGAACAAATTTAGTCAATGATGCAACTTTAGATCCAGTTTATTAATATATTTATTTATTTTATGTCAAACCATATCACATCTGTCTTCCTAATGTAAACAATGACTTTTCTCTCCTTTGTCATTCTCCAACAGAAGAAAGATGTGCGCATGTTACGCTTCATCCAGGAGGTCAATACCACCACACGGTCTTGTGCACTGTGGGACCTGGAGGAAGAAACAGACTACATCGTGCATGTCCAATCTATCAGCATGTCTGGAACGAGTCCACTGAGCGAACCCCTGCGCTTTCGAACGCCAAAGGAGGCAGAGACTCAAGCCTCTAAAAGTAAAGGTAGTTTTTGAGTCTCAAAAAGACAAAAATCACAATATAAACATGTTTTCAGTCAATGAACATAACCAGACTCAGCGTTTAAAAAAGGAACATTTTCACACTTTATTTTGAGCCTTTCAAGACAGAAAGTTGCTTATTAACCTTATCATTAGTGATTTTGTTCAAAAACCAATTACATTAAACAGACACACAAAGTGTGATATGAAATTTCTCAACACAGTTCTCCTCCGGCTTGCCACAGTTCGGGGACAAAATGTCCAAATGGATGTATACTTTAGTGTGTTTTGGCATGCCTCAGCAGGCCTCTCCTTGCATGCATCCAGCCTGTAAAGGTGTTTATCAGGCACACAGTCAAAGCTGCAACGTGTTGGCTAAAGCTCAGTCCCATCCATTTCTCCTCAGACTGAAGGATGAAAATATAAAAAACTAATGAAATATGTTAATTAGTTAGAAGACAGTGGAATTTGTTGCCCTTAAACAAACCCAGACTGGCTCTCCATCTGCTTTCACTCTCTAAGCTGAGCTACATCAACTGCTAAAAAACTTTTGCTCAGAAATATGAGCAGCATCATTCTTCTCGATTTACTCTGCAAGGAAGCAAAGAAGCAAGTTTTAGGAATTATTCCTTTGCAGTCTATGCTTGATCAAACGTAAGCCTCTTGTATTTTAGAATAATATGTTTGAGTTGACTGGTTAATGGATAGATGGATTATATAGTGTTAATCATTTTACCACTCTCTAAAGGATTATTTTACCTTTCACTGCGGAAAAATCTAAATAAATCCAGCAATTACATGTATGAATTGTGTGTTTTAGTGTTTAACTCTTTTTGGGAACAGCCCCATGCGCTGTAAAGCACTAAAAGCAAACTGAAATCTCAAAAGTTAACATCTGTCATTATTATTTGCTTATGCTGTGTGATGTTTGTAGATATCACAACTATAACAAAGTGACTTTTTCTGTTAAAAACGCTGTTCAGTGAGTGTCTCTGTGACATCATGAGGGGACTTAAGATCTCAAACAAATGGAGGCACTGTTTTAACACCATTTTACTTGTATTAGCATGGACACCAGTGCACGTTTGAATGGGTTGAAGGACTAATAAGCGGAAGTGAAACCGCAGGAGAGTCCTTCTGAGCAGAGGTTTTTAGGTTGGTGTAAAATTAAGAATTTAAAGCAACAGAGGCTGACATGTCTCAATTTTTCATTTTGTTGACAGTTCTATGATGTTCACTTCTGCAGTGACAAATTTGACTGGCTTTGTTTACAGTCAGAAAGAGCGGGCCGCTCAAAAAATTTAAATTGTTGACTACACAGACATAACAAAACACAGTGATATCATTAAATTACCAAATGTCATCAATAACTAATAGCTATTGACTGATATTTAAAGCTTTTTTGTGTACACACCACAAAAAAGATGCTTCTTGAACGGATTCCTGTCTACCCCACCTTTAATCATGAAACATGTTGCATACATATTGATGATCACAGAATTTAAAAAGCTTGTATCTTGACTCTTTCAGATGAAGTGACAATGGAGGAAGTGGGCCAGTCCACACAGCTGAGGGCAGGGGAACTCATCATTATTGTGGTAGTACTCATAATGTGGGCAGGTGAGGCTAAACATGGTTTTGCCAGGATGACAGCAAATCAAACATTATTTCTGTGTTAATCTGGTGTCAGCTAAAAACAGAACAGAAAACACGCAGTTGTCTTCAAGAGTAGGAGCATGTACAGTATTTGTGTTTCCAGGATGACCAGTAAATCGATTGTAACTCTTCTCCTAGGCGTGATTGCTCTCTTCTGTCGCCAGTATGACATTATCAAAGACAACGAGCCCAACAACAACAAGGACAAAGCCAAAAACTCCTCTGAGTGCAGTACCCCTGAACATCCAACAGGGGGGCTGTTGCGCAGTAAGGTATAGCCCAACCATTTGCATTCCCTGGGTGCCTCCCTCTCCACAGCGCCGGGCAGGTGAATGATCCCACTCACTTATAGATCTTTTCCACTGACACTCCCAGTACCAGTAATACCATGTCATTGTATCATCTGGAGTTAACCTCCAAGGCTTCAACAAACTCGGATTCAACACAAACTGCTCAAAAATAAAGGGAACACTACAACCACACAAATCTTAATGAATGAAATACTAAAGTTAAAAATCTTTGTTGGTTACACAGTGTGATTTTTTTTTCAGAGCAAATTACATAGAAACAATTAATCAAACTAAAATCATTAACCCATTGAAGACTGGATTCAAAATCAAAGTGGGAAAATGAAATCGCAGGCTGATCTAACTTGACAATTCATACTGTGGCTCAGTAGAGTGTAAGGCCTCCATATGCCTGTAGGCACTCTGAAAAAAATCTGGGCATCTTCATCTTCACCTCAACATCTGGGCATGCTCCTGATAAGGCGATGAATGCCCTCCAAGGGGATCTCCTTCCAGCAGGGACCAGAGAATTAGTTGCATACTGGGCCAACCTTGTATTCAATGATACATGAACTTCCAGAGGTGCTGGATTGGATTTAGGTCTAGGGAACAGGAGGGAAAGTTGATATCATCAGTACCTTCATCATCCAGAAAGAGCTGACACACTCCAACCACATGAAGCTGGACACTTCCATGCACCTAAAAGAACCCCAAGGGCCCACCATATGGTCTGACAATGGGTCTGAGGTTCTTATTCTCATCTCCCCTAGCTAGCATGTGGAGGTCTGTGTGGCCCTCCAAGGATATACCTCCCCAGAACATCACTGACCCACCACTAAACCAGTCATGCTGGAGGATGTTGCAGACAGCAGAACATTCTCCACAGCCTCTCCAGACTCCTTTAGGTCCATCACATGTGCTCCGTGTGACAGTGGACGCCAGGCTCCTTGCTTGCTAGAGGTCATCTTGTGGGTCTCAGGCAGTACTCCTTCTGTTACTCCTTCATAAAGGAGCAGATAGTAGTCCTGCTGCTGGCAGTTGCCCTCCACATCTCCTGGTGTACTGGCCTGTCTCCTGGTATCTCCTTCACACTTTTGACACCATGCCGAGAGGCAAAGCAAACCTTCTGGTCAGTAGGCATATAGATGTGCCATCCTAGAAAAGCTGTACCACCGGAGCAAACTATGTGGACTGAAGATACTGCCTCATGCTACCACTAGTGATGAGGACACTAGGAAAATAAATTATAAATTATTAGGGGTCGTCTTGCTAATTGCCTCTCCTATCCACTTGTTGTCTGTCCCATTTGCACAACAGCAAGTGAAACTGATTCACAATCATTATTGCTTCATAACTGGACGGGCCGATATCCCAGCAGTGTGACTGACTTGATGTTGCACTGTGATAATGAAGTGTTTCCTTTATTTTTTGAGCAGTAAACATGACTTACCAACTTTTCATTAGCACAACACAAGTCCTGGCTTCTAGTTCTGTTTTATTCAAGCACAGAACAGCATCATTCCCTTCTCTCTTGCTATTTATGTCCCTCAACATTAAAACAGAGGCATCCTCATTAAAGGGTCTTTTGTGAATGATTTCTTGATCCAACAACCTCATCATACCTGTCATCTACCTCTCTACTCCTGCAGATCCCCAAGAGCAACAACAACAATAGAACGCCATCTGTGGACATCATAGAGATGTGGATTCAGGAGCTCCTCTCTTTATCTGAAAGACTTTGTGTTCTCACAAATCAGCCCCTTCCAAGCCCATCTGTCATTGGGATAAGGCTGGGATTCTGGGCTCCTCGGCAGAGCTTGTGCCCCTTAAGTCTGGTGCAGAGGTGGAGCTGCAGGACTCCAGATATTTGGACGCAACATGGCTGGTGCTGGTCTGAGAGCAGAGTTTTAGGTGGATGGTTTGTGGCTGTAAAAGTGCTCAACATCTTACCTTGGCATAGGACAGACAATATAGTACAAAAGTGGAGAAAGTGGAAATGAACCGATCCTAAAGGGCCAAAACCAAATTACAGAATCAAAGACCAATTCAAACTCTCGGTCTTCCTCAGTCACTTCTATCCCCTTGTGTTTTCAAACAACAGCAAACTAGAGAATCTACAATCATCTCTTCTTGTACACTGTACTTAAATCTCAGCTTAAGGTTTTTTTTTAAGAACATTACATTTTTTTTATTCTTCTTTCAAATAAACAGAAACGTCATGTGTATCTCTGGTTATACTTAAACGATTCTGGAAAAGGTGCATCTGAACAGTGTTCCACTTTCTACTTATTTATTTTTGGTTTAAATCCCCTAGAAGATTTAAACTCTGGAGTCCTGAGGGCTGTTTTTGGCAAGCCTGTTTCCCCCACCTCAGGGAATCCAGAGCCCACCGGGCTAATTTGGGAGCCAGTCCTCAGAGGTGCTGCAACAAGCCAGAGCACTTGTAAAGGGATCACTCAGCTCTGAATCACTGAACTTGTCTGCAAAAGTGAAACTAGCTCACTCATTTAGAGATGCATCTCTAATCTAAACACAAACATAGTGTAGTCTTAAACAAGCCAGACTTGGTAACATCTTGCTCATGTTTGAGTTTATCCTGTCAGTTTTTCATAGTTTTATTGTAGATTTCCAAAATGTAACATTCCAACATTCAGAACACCTAAGTATTTCCTTGTGTCTTTCACTTCAGAGGCAATGAATTTAAAGGACTCTAGGGATGAAAGGAATATCATTACTGAGCACATTCACCTGATGGACTTTTAAGGGGCTGGACTCCGTGGAAAAGTCACTGGAGAGACACTGATAAGATCCCTTGTATCAGCAATAACAGCCTTCAAGAAACACGTAAGGAAGGACTCAAATTCTGTAACCTCTGTCAAAAACATAATGCCTCAGCATGCAATTGTCTGACAGATGCTCCATCTGCCTATCAGCCAAGGGGAAATCCTGAGCTTCATTTGCAGACATGTGTTTCCCTGAACTTTCACAGAGAAGTCTTTTCAGTGCTGTCTTCAAAATGTTTTTAATGGAAAGCGTGGGATTATAAAGAATATGTGCCCAACCTTCAACCCTGACACATGACATCCTTAATAGAAGGGCTTCTATCAAGACTTATTCAGAAGTCTAAGAAAATAATAGTTTTGAAATTCTTTGTTGACGAAATCATTAGATATCAGCTGTCACCATATGGTAATGTGCACTGCATATGGTAAAGGAACTTCCTTTCAAATAGAAAATGATGTATCTGGGGGCTGCTTCAGACTCATTAGTGCTGCCTTAAAAAGTAATCATTAATTATTAAAGATGGCAAGCCCCATATCTGACATTTGAGCATATTGATTGGCTTTCAAATAAAATATGTGCAAAGTTTAAAAATACTTATACAATCGGTGAAAATGTAAACCAAGCTGGGATATTCTGAAACCAAGGAAGAGATGGGTATTTGATGTGTATATACATTTTGTATTTCATTCTTGTTGGATGGTGTCACTTTGGTACCTTTTGTGACAAAACTACTTTGAACAATGTTAAGACTCCTCATGTAAAAGGGTCACAGCTACTGGTGAAATGTATGTGTTTTTTGTGTGTTTAATACACTTAGTCCTGTCATTAATGAGCTTGTTCATAGCACTTGTCTACAGATATGTATTTCTATTACCTTCTGTCATTGTGCTATTTATGTGCCAACTGAAAAGACTGTGATGAGAATACGATGAGGAGTGTTAACTATTTAGCTTGAGCGTAATGGTTTTAAAGGCTGTTCAGCCTCTTAAAGCCTGTACTGACAGAATGATAACGCCATCAGCTATTTGCATGCTAGATGGTCGTCATCTCAGTCTAGAGATACACTGGCCACTCAATTATTGTGAACTCAGACATGTGGGGGCAAAATGAAGCTATGGTAGCTATGAGAGGAATTAATCTCACAAATAAATGATGACTTATGCAAAGGTAGGCCACCTTCCCCTTTTCTGTACGGCCATGGGAAATTAAGATAATTAAAATACAAGATCAAAATGCAGTCCTCTGAAAAGTGCTGATTTATGTCGAAGGTTAAAAATAAGTAGCTGGAGAAAAGGAAAGAAATGATCAGAGGCCTCTGACCTTTGGTTAATGTGAAATGTGGTGGCAAGGGCAACCTTGATGAGACTGCTCTTTGCACTTCATCAAAAAGTTTTGAGACTGAATCATTTTTTCTGTCCGTGGTGCCACATAAGTCCCGGACTGCAGAAGCTAGTGCTCTAATTGATCCACTCAGTGAAAGATCAGATGGATTGTGTCCCTGGATGATCTGTCCAAACTGGGGTCATGTCCTATTTCTCCAACAGTAGATTGCTCAAGCCGTGTTCCCACCAGCCATTAGCCACTTTCTTGTTTTGAATGATTTAGTTTCATTCTTTCCAGTTGCTTGAATGAGCCAGAAGCATGAGGTCTATTTTTAAAGCTGTAAGAAGTCCAATTGAATAGAGCACATTTGAAATGTATTATATAATCACCTCCAAATGATGGTTCAGTCCTCAGTCTTCTCTCTGTAAATATTGTATCCCTCATTACTGGTTCAAATGCAGGGCTAACATCGTTAACATCCACTTTGATAGTGGTCTACTTTGACATTTTTGGAAAATACAGGAGATTCAAAGTAGGTTCAAGCTAGGTACATGCCACTCTTGTGTATGCATATTCAACATGAAGCTACAGACAGCAGATTTCGGCCAATAAGGATAAAGACTAGAGCCAGAACCACACCAGTTGTTCACCACTGTAACCCTTGACACTGAGAAGCCAGTTAGAGAAGGCAAATGAAGAGAGAAATACTCAGCTATTCTTCCAACTCTTGGTACAAAATATTATTTCCAATGGTCAAACTATTCTTAATTAATAGGGCCTGCATATGAGCTGTGTATTGAAATGGGCTCTTTTGCATAGACATAATTCAGCAGCCTCAGTTGGCAGTGGACTACCATAAAATAATCTAAACATTAAAGTGGGTTTGACACAAAAATATCACAGAGGTATTATGTGTTGGAAAAATAATGGGACACATCTGGGTGTCTTTTTATCCCTACATCAAAGTACAGCAGAGCTTTCCCAGTCCGTTATAGATGCCAATTAGACATATCACCAGTTAGTCCTTCTGTTTAAGAAGTCAGCTGATCCCCTGGATATATGTTGTTCACAACTCTGAAGACATCTGCTGGTTACAAAGGCTTATAAGATGATTACAGAGACATCTGTCAAAGACAAAAAACTGTTATTATTTAACTAATGGTAATGACTGTATGAACTTAACATTCCACTGAACCCTGTGATGGAAAACCACTCTTTTCATTACACCGAGGATCTTTTTCAGTCTCTGAAGAAAATGTATTTCCAAATCAACTTGCACATTATTTAGTTTGAATGACATTTGTTGAATTCAAATTGGATATAGCAGATGTTGGCCTCCTTCATTATGGATTCTTGAAATACGGAATAGAAATGAGATGAATAAGCATGGTTTAGAAAATAAACTGCTTTATTAATGCTATCATGTTTATATTCCTTGTATGATGTGTACTGCAGTCATTGCTATATGAGGGCTAGCATGGTTTATCTATTATGCACAAGGTTACACAACTTCAATATTGAAGGATATAGTGTATATGCTTACTTGTGTATGCTTAAATAAAATAAAAACAACATATTTTCCACAAAAAATGTTTTATCTTAATTTGGGACATTCACATCAAATGGCAACATGTCAAACATATGACTCTGTCTGAACCTTACAGAAAAAGAAACTGAACAGAACTGGGCCCATGGGTGCTCGACAGTGAACAACATGTGTATGCATCCAACGGGACTGAACTTCAGAATGTGAACACTTTGGTAATACTGCTGCGATACTGAGTAATATACATGGCTAAAAACAAACACAGCAATTTGGTTTCAGGATACATTCACTGTCAATCCATCAATATAAGGGCCTGAATATGTGAAAATGCAGAAATGAACGAGACTTGTGATATCACTAAAGGGCAACAATACAAGACCAACTATTGGCTCAGGGACTCCTCTGCTGACATGCATGGTCTTTGCAGTCTTTCATTCTTGATGGGGAACTGTAAAGCAAACCAGATAAACATACAGACCTTTATCTGTGCTCTTGGTTGCAGAGGGGGAAAATATTGTTTGAAGGTGAAAAGAGGTGCTACGGTTGCTTGGCTACACATGAACCCTGCAGCCTGCCCAGCATGTGACAGTAGGACTTCACTGACACAACACAGCTGTCTTCTGGATGGCTAACCAGCTCGACCTACTGCGTACAGACAGGACTACTTTCCCCAGAGTGCATTATTTAAGAGATGGGTCCCATGTTACTAAGTTTCTCTGTTGCTTCTCTGTACTTTGACTGCCCGGGTTCACTTCTGTCATACTTTACACAGCACTCAGATGCTGCTTAGTACACTCAGAATAAAGCTGACAGAGATACAGCAGATACAAACATGTCAGTGCAGGTTAATACAAATACATTAAAAAGGCAAGCTGGTAAAACACTCTAGTGCATTGTTTTCAAAACATCAAAACACGTAAAGCATGCAATACTTAAAACATGCAGAAATATGGATAGAAGTATGAAGAAATATTAAACAACAAACAAAACACAATAACACAAAAATAGAAATACAACTTTGGTGGAACCACTAAAACAAGAACTCTTTGTGTATAGCTTCAGATTTTGTCACAATCCAGGTTGTTAAATCTCTGTGACACAAGTGCTCTTCATACCAGACGACTGTCTAAAAGACTATTTCTAAGGATATGGAATCCTTTTGAAGATTTTGGGGATCCCGCTGAAGCGCTTGTAGGTTGCATCATTCTGTGCCTGCCATTCATCAAGCGTCATTTTTGGCTTTTCATTTCCAAAGCGTTTTTTGTAGTTTCTGCAAGTAAGCACAGGGTCGGAGGCACACATTAGGATCGTTTGTATTCCAATTTTTTTTCTCAATAGAAATTTGGAATTTCTTCTCTCCATAAACTAACTTCAATCAATTTTCTACCAATTACCAGCTCTGATACAGGGTACGTAAACTGACATTTTGTAAAACAGAAAAACATCAAGAAAGCCACATTGTTTTTAATCCTTTTTTAAAAGTTCCACTGTCAGTCACCGCCATAAAACACATTAATCTTGGAGCGTTTATTGAAAAAGACGGTTTTTGAACCACATCCTTTCCCAGGTAGCTTAGGAGAGCTCATGAAAACAAAAAAGTGTTTGATGTTTTTACTCATTTCATTTTTAAAGCAGACAAAGAACTTGAGTCTGTACAAGCCCTAGCATCCAAGGATAAGCTGGTAGATAAGTAGATACAGGGTCACAGATTTTGTGCTCAGAAAGCAGAGAAAATGCTGTACCTCTGAGTGAGATCTGAGGGATGCTGCCACTGTCCTTCATTAGTGCCTGAGGTCTGATCCGTCACGTGGGTCATTAGGTTCTGCAGCTCACTCACTGCATCTTCACACAAACGGGAATTTTTTTTTATCCAGATTAGATGACAAAGAACGCAAAAACATTGATCATTTGACAGGTGGTTTATAGAACGAAGAGAAAGAAACTAGTTCCTTCTAAGTGGGAAAACTTGGCCTGTAAACCACATCAAGAAAAAAAAATCACATTGGAAAAATACAATCTTATTCATTCTGTCAAACATGAACATAAAAAGTAACAAAGGTAAATAAAACCTGATGAATGTGGTGCATCTAGGAGGCAATGTGATGAAAATGCTCAGCTGTTCTATGCTACTTCTTCTTCTTCTAGTGTTTTCTAATAGATTTAAGGGTCATACCTGGATCTGCTGAGGGTCTCTCATTCATATGTTTTGTGACCGATCGGACATACGCCCGTTTTCTGCTCTCCAGGTCAGCCTTGTTGTCAAAGATCACTGATCTAAAAATGAAAATACCTCTAGATTAACTATTTTAACCATTTATTCAAGCAAAAACAACAAAAAAAAAACAATCTTATCAACAACCTCTGGGAATACAAAACATGAAGCGCATACTGATCATGAAAACAGCAGACAAGTAATATGAGAGCATTATTAGGGATAGGCTGTGCTTCCCTTCCAACACCAGGGCCATGGTAGAAACTTCCAGTCTTTATTATGGTCATTGTACTCCCCCTAGAGGGCAAAGGGATCATTACTGTACCTTGGATTTGTATCACGGTTGATGAGTCCTCCAGACTGAAAACCTCTGCTCCTGGTTTGGCTTTGCTGAGGACAGGATGATTGATTGCTGTTGGTAGTGGGATGATTGATGGCAACAACAACTGATTTTACCTTGAAGGGGCACAAAGGTTCAGAGGACCAGAATTTACTAATATTATACTACACAGTGCACACTTCTGTTCAAGGTAAAAAAATAAAAATACAAAGCCTACCTTCACAGGGGGTAATACAGTTTCTTCCCAGTCAAGCGTGGACTGACCCTCCTGGATCGATTCTTCCACGTTTCCCTTCAGCTCTTCTGACACCTGCTCATGACTATCATCCAAAATCACAGAGCTTTTTGGACATATAGATGACTCGAATATGGGTAGACCTATATTCCACTCCTCTTCAATATCATTGTCTAAAGGCTCTTGAGGACAGTTTGTGGGTTCCAGCTGTGGTCCACTAATAATGGGATATAAATCATTACATGTGAAGGACACATCGGCTGGTTTTTGATAACCTGGTCTGGTTCGACTTGCTGGCTGGCTCTCATCTTCTGGCAACTTGGGGGTCAACGAAGGGTTCACTGGCTGAGAGAGGATCTTCGCCAATTCAAAGATCTTCATGTAGGACTCAGAAGAATAACCCTTATCTTCTTGTCCTCCATCATTTGCATCTAGAAACATCTTTTTGGTCTGCTCTTCTCGTTCTTCAGCCTCTTGACAATATCCTTTTGCCTTTTTTCGTATGTGTGCAACAGGGGGACTTACTGTGCGTCCACTGGGAACTTTGTCGCTCTCAAGGGTGTTTAAAATTAGTCCAACAGTGGGAAAACCACGGGGACTGAGGCAGAACATGTTATCAACATCACTGTCAAGGTCAGGTGAAGGATTTAAGAGGACTTCCTTACACTTCAAGCTGTGTGGCTCAAGCCCACATTCTTGCTGTCCTTCAGAGGGGGTGGAAAAGTCCAAAACACATCCATGGTCTGGAGAAAAAACATTTGGACTATAGGCTTTTCTTACTGGAGTCTCATAACTGTCATCAGAAATAAAATCATCCAATTTCAGCTCATTCATCTTAAAATCAACAAATGGAGGGGAAAGCTTGGCTGCTTGATGCAGACTTGTGTGTTGCTCACATGCGACCTTCCTTGCATACTTAGACAGAGGTTTCAAGACTCCACATGTTACTGAATTGAGCCCACTGAGTGTGCTCCTCTGCTCGTCTTTCTTATCCATATTTGCTGGAAAAAATAAAGGAAAATGTCAGTAAAAAGCTATTCGTGTTTTCGTATATGAGTTGTCAACAAAACAGCAGTTATTCAGACTCAAGCAGATCTATATTCATAGTATATAGTGATTAGATTAAATTACAAACTTTTTTTGTTTCCATACTTTGAGATTATAATCGAACAAGAAACAACTTCATGAATGCCACTTGTAGCTGCTGTTCTGAGGATCTGATTTCAGGTAGTTTATCAAATGGCAGCAAACAACAACAGAAAGGATTTGCTTAGAGTCTAACTATACTAAGCAAAAAAGAAGGCTTTAAAAAGGCAAGGTTGTTTTATCAAGACAACTCCTCCAGTTAACTGGAAATGTTTCCCATACTGAGTCTTTGTTCCTAAAATCATTCATTTTTCAGTCATGACTCACCTTAGAAGACTTTAGTTAGTATTAGTGCCATTTGTGTCTTATTTATCTGGTCAATTGTTCCTTAAGACCTAACCTAGCTGTAATCTGTGTGCCATTTCCTAAATTTCAGTCAGCTTTGGCCTGCCTCAAGATGTATAACAAATAACAGCAACATTTTCTTATATTACAATTTTCCTTAAATATTATGGACACCTCTTCTTTGTTTTATTAGAACAAACGCGACAATTGTTAAAATTAACTTTTCACTCAACAGCTTACTAGGTCAGCGATATCAGTGTGCTCATCATTGCTTCAAGTTCGTAGCTAGCGTTAGCGAAAGCTACAGCAGCCACGTCGGTTAGGTGGCTATGTCCTTTTTTACCCGGACATGTTCGCTTTTTGGGGGGCTGTCCGGGGAAATTTATAAAATACTTAAAATTTCCGCAGCTTTGTATGAGAGTTTTGATTTTGTGTCATGTGGACTAACTGAGTTAGAAGCGCGAAAAAGACAATGATCCGACCCGAAAACTCTCAAAATTACCTTCGTGCGACACCATGACTCCGTTCTCGCTAGCCGTGTCCTCTTTATGTGAAGTCAGAATATACGGCCACCCTAATAAAACAATAAGTTGCACTTACAGATAAATAGCAGTTACAGATAAAAACGTGTTGTTCTTAAATGTTAAGAGTTCTCAAAGTGCGTTATCGTTAGCTTTGTCAAGCACGGTCGTGGTTTTGCGCAGCAGAAACATGGCGACGACTGTGGAAGCTAGCTTGTCCTAACTGTAGCTAGTGAGATTGCATATGGCCAACTTTGTGAGCACGGATAATAGTATGGAACAAAATTTAGACTTTGAGCGGCTGACTACGATGAAAACGGTCGTTTGGACCTTCCCGTAACCAGGCACCATCAAAATATAGCGAAAATAATGGGACTCACCCTTTGGATAGTCAACCAAATGAGACTTTAACAGCTGCTGCCACTCGGTGTACTGAATAAGCAGGTGGAAAAGTAACGGTGAGAAACTGACATCCGCGCGGCAGTTCAAAATGGTGAGGTCATTGCCATCGTCTGCTGTAATTTTGTCTTTTCATTCCTATTGCCTAACTATATACCACTTTAAACAGAGTAGTCCATTGGTGAAAGAAACCTGCCTCACAAAATTGCTCCAAAAGACTTTTTTTTTTTAACGCCAACTGCTATGGAGCCAAATCCAGGCCAAACGGTTTGTTAATTAAGAAAAAAAAAAAACTAAGAATTAAAAGTTTGATCTGAAAATGAAAAATAAATCAGTCGTCAAAATTAAAAGTGCATGAAAGTCTTTTTCAGTTTAAACATTGTTTTGATTCAGCTCTGGGATTTTTTAGATACAGTCTTTTTTTATTTTTCCGATTTAATTTTTTTAAATTTTAGTGTAATTTTTTAAGTCGCAGGTTTAATGTTTTTGGATTAGGGTTTTGTTTTATTTAATTTTTTTACTTTTAACGCCAACTGCTATTAAGCTAAATCCAGGCCAAAAGGTTAGTTACTTAAGAAAAAAAAAAAAAAAAAAAAAAAAACACATAAAACCTGAGAATTTAAGGTTTGATCTAAAAATGAAAAATAAATCAGTCGTCAAATAAAAAGTATATAAAATTCTTTTTCAGTTTAAACATTGTTTTGATTCAGCTCTGGAATATTTAAAAAAAAAAAAATAATTTTTGGTGTAATTTTTTAGGTTGCAGGTTTAGTGTTTTTGGATTAGGATTTTATATTATTTTACTCACTCTGGTACAATCTTTATTTTCTGATACTTATGTTCTATAACTTTTATTTCAGTTTCTTGATCAACTTGTATATTTTTGATCAGTGAAGGTTTGCCTCACTTTTTGTTGGTTTTCCACAGTGAATTTTTCCTTGAAATGTGTTCTTTATATGTATGTAACTCAAATAAGTCACAGTAATTTTACCTCTGAAAGATAAACAAATAAAAGGAAATTATTTTGTTATCAAACAGTTGGCTGAAGAAGGGAAGGAATGTAGGTTTTAAATTTCACAAAATAAAAGCCATGTGTCTCAGAGACTGAGATTCAGACTTTTGTTTGTCCTTCCTGCAAAAATGCACAGTTTTCCATTACATGTTTTCTGCATAGTATTTTCAGGTTTTATAAATACAGCATTGTATTTTATTTTAGAATTATACTTTTTTCTGTTCAAGGCTCCATGTTAGTAATGTGTAAAGCATTTGTTCTGGGTTATATTTTCGTTCCTCCTGTAGATCTGTGTTCTTTGTTTTGGCACCAAAACATCACGGCAAATTCCTTGTGTGTGTAAAAACTGCTTGGCAATAAATGCCATTCTGATTCTTTGCAAATCAGGGAACAAATCAAGGCGAGCGTCGTTTCTTGTTCTTTTTTTTTTTTTTTTTTTTTTTTTAACTTTTTAGTTGTAAAGGACAATGACGGTAGAGCTTTAGGATGTCAGATTCAAAATGTGGTAAGATTTTCTGTTCTTCATTAATGCACAGCTCTAAGACGCGGGTTCAACATTTACAAATTTTCTCCTCGTTTGGCTTTCAAAAGGTGAAAGTGGTTAGTTTCTTAGATCAAAAAATATAAAAAGTCAAGGACAATATGTGTACCTTTTTTAAGCTTTAAGCAAAAACATGGCGCTAAGGTAAAAATAAATGTGAAACCATACCCAACTCAAGACAAATGTGGTGTATTTCTTCAAATTAACATCTCACATTTTAACTCTGACATTATGTAAATTAATGAATTAAATTCATTGTATACATAAACAGATACCAAATGTAACACTAGGAACCATCCATAAAAAATCCAGTTATCTAATAAAGGTAACATACCAATATAAATGCATCTAAAGTGGAATAGTGCTCAAAGAACACCTCCATGCCCTTGGCCTTTTAGATAATTTGTTGAATGCTAGCTTAAATCATTTTTCCCTTGCATGAAATGTGTGCTTTTAAATTGGATAAATGCTGAGTGCAAAAATAGATTTTGCATTAGAAAGAAGAAAAAGGATTGTCATTTTGTCTTTCAATTTTCTAAAAACACTCTGTGACCCACAAATATACATTACTTAAAGCTTTTGTAGCCAATGAAAGGCTAAATCCTAGGACAGAGGGGAATTAATCCTGTTTTTGTCCAATACTGGAACAAATGGTAATGGTGACCTTCACCTCCAGTGAGTCCTTCCGCTTATGTCTCCATCTCTAAATAGAAAATATATATGACAACTCTTCCCAAATCCACTCAAATAACAGTTCTCAAATCTCATTTGTATTATCCTGTACATCAATGCATGTACACATGTGCACACAGCCACTCATCCCTACACACAAACTCACACACACACCTTACTGCACACATATAAACAAAATACAAACAGGTACAAATTACAACTGGGTAAACCATCAAAACAAAAGAAATGATACATTGACTGTAACAAACACTAATGACTGCATTTTCAGGGATAAGTTGGTTTCTATTGCTTTGGTCTGATCTGTGAGCACCGTACTCATCTTGTCCTTGCTTGGTGGTCATGTGGATGCAAAAGCATCACAATTTCACTCGTCCTACCCGTAAGAGGACTTGGCAACAGTGAGAAAGTAGGACACAAATATCTGTCTCCTCGTTTCTTCCTGTTTTCTGGCCTGGCATAGGTTTCACATTAGAACCCAAAAGTGTCTTTTTGTGCAGCAAAGTCTGCTTCATCTTGGTCCCATTTCCCTGGGGATAGGCACTCTTCAGCGTTGAAATCCTGAGGGTTTACCCCAATGTCCAGGACCTGGGGGTTAGTGCGAGACTCAGCGAGTCTGAGAGAACAGACAAGAGAAACCTGTTATGAAATTTATTCTTACTATTTATAACAATTCATTTCTTTCAAAAGTTTCTTAACAATGGACAGATGAGTGTTGGTACAATGGTTGGTTGAAGACGAGTTACTGACACACTAGCATTCATATTTGTGATGAAAATAACCTTGATTGAATAAATGAAACCCACAAGTAACTAGATAAGAGTATTTTTTCCTGGTGGAAAATGTTTGTGAGCGAACCCTAGAAGATACACGAACTGTCATTGGAACTCACACGAGACAGAGCTTCATGTGTACACACCCTTACCAGTCACCTGTCAATTTTCATACAAAGACACAACACATTTCTGATGAGGACAAGAACACAATGGCAGACTACAGTGGTTTTTGTGGAATGACAGTGAGGCGTTTCCTCCCGTGTTGGGACCGCAAGTCATACCATCATGTTTATGGTGTATGAGCTTCAAAGAAAATGTGACACTACATGAGTTTTATCTGAATGGTTGAACACTGATAACCAGACAGGAGTCTGGTTTGAACAGTAGGTGGACTATGGAAAAATGAGATGGATGTCACTAAATCCAAATGACATTGTTACCTGAGTAAGATTCAAAGCTATCCAGACTGCGGCTGAGGGTGCAAAGGAAATATCAAAAGTCAGGCAAAAATTTCACTCTAAGCTACTTTGAATATCCTTACAAAAAAGTGAATTCATTCATTTAAATGGCCACTTTCTAAAAAAAAATTTGAGCTTAAAAATGACCAAACTACCTACAAAGTTACTATAGACAGCTACAATTGCATAATTGCTTTAATCCTTTGCAAGACAGGAAACAGTTGTGCACTTAATACTTGTCTTTTCCCCCACTTTTACCAACAAGCATTTCTAAGGCTTTTACACCTACAATTTTAAGTGATCAGCACTCCACCACCAGTAGATGGTAGCACAGTACTTTAAATATTAACATAAATGATATGTTAATACTCTGTATTGATCCTTCCTCAGTGGACATGGTGATTTGAGAAAAAAAAAATAATAACTTAAGGATAAACAATCCATCATCGAGAATTCAAACAGAGATTAAGTCGGCCCGTATGTGTGAGACAAACATCATCTGCTGGGTACAGTGAAGTAAATACAAATACCATTATTCTATTCTAGCAAAACTTACAACTGTAATCCATTCCCAGCATTTTTTTGTAGAGAAGAAAAATCAACGTAGAAACATCGCTGCTAACAGCTGGAGCATCCTCATTAACTACAAAAATGGACTGCATAAGGATGTCATTGCAGACTAATAACCACCTGATAACAATACAAAAAATGCTCTCTGAGCACTTGAGACTATCCAGTTCATTCTCCTAACCTTTGGATGACTGGAGACAATTACTAGAGAAAGTAAAAGATGACTCCAAAGGGGAAAAAATATTGATAACATGCTGAATCTCTTCTATGGTCCAAAATAAACAGCTGGGAACTGTCAGCAGCAGCTATCTGAGCTAATATGGAATATTATTATTACTAATATATTTTTTTTACACCAAGCCTATTAGAAAAACAGCACAACTAAGGATGGGTGTTGCCTGTGATGACCTGTCAACTGAACCCATCTCGAACCCTTTGGAGTGCACCAGAACAAGCAGAAAAGATGGAAAGGCAGAGCATATTACAAAAGCAGTGCAAACCACAAGTGGCTATTTTCTGAACAGAAGATTGTTGCTTTAAAAATAAAAAGCAAACACAATTAGCACAAAAGTCCACCCCAGTTCTCACCTTGAGAAAGCTTCGTCCAGACCATCCTCCAACTCCTGCCAAAAAGACAGATAGGTTCAAGTCAGGTTTATATAGCTTAGTCCTGAGTCTCATGGTCATAGTTTATTTTTCTAACATTTATTATATTTATATTATATTATATATATATATTTTTTTAACATTTCTCTAATTTGTTTAAATGCTCTTAAAAGTCTTGTGTAAGCTATGTGCAGCCCTCACTCAGATACATATATGACAATTTTGTTAGGGCAGTTCAGCGAAATGAGATAATACTATCTACCTATGCAACTGTAAAACTGCAGAACACACTCCAGTGAATACAATATAGTACAATACCAAGCAACGTGGATAACCTTTCAGTGTTTTCTGCATGATAGCACTCTCTTTTGCTGCCTCCTCAAGCCAAAAAATCTGAGGCTTACCGAGTAGCCTGACTTGTCTTACCCATACAGTATTGTTGTTCTCTGAGGTGTGATTATGCACCATAAAAGGATCCATTTCAGTTTGATTTGTTCCTGAGTTGGCCAGTGCCACATTGGCTCCCTCTGCCAGATCCAGAAGTTCTCCTGTGGCTACCTCTGTGATGTAAAACAAGAATATGTTTTTAAACACAGCGCGTATAAACACATTTAAAAATTCCATGTGTCTACCATGATTCCCTCTGGATTTAACCTCTAGCACAGAGTCAGCAGTTTAGCGATAAGACAAATTAGTGCAAGTTAACCCCTTGATTAAAACCTGTGATCTATCACACTTGTGCAACCATAAACAGTAGCATGCATGAGATAAGTCTTTTATGATGTGCTATTCATTAACAATCCCTCTTACTTGCCAAGACTTGAATGTATCTTATAATTTGAATCATCTGTGAATGTCAACAAGTGATTAGTGACAGCACTTATTTTTTATGAGCTGGGATAGGCTGTGCCCCTTTCTGTGTAACCCTGACCAGTAAAGATACTGGATGGATGGACGGACCACACAGCAAGGGGCCTTCATATTTTTGAAGATGATTGTGAACCTTATCACTGCCATTGTCATGAACCATCAGAACCCGATAATGGCATTTACTGTTTATCATAATAATTGTGAGGAGGAGTATAAATTGATGTAAAACGGTAATTGTTGAGCTGCCAAACTTCCACTTTGTAAACCAACCTCTGAAAAGCAGCTGAATAGCCTCCCGCCCCCGAGGGCTGTAATTGCTTTGACAAAAAGAGGAAAAGGAGGAAGAAAGTGAAAAGACGTGATGGTGGGTAACCCTACTCACCTCCTCCCTTCAAACAACCCAGGCTGGCCAAACTGTCAGACTGAGTGTTGCTGGCACCTTCTCCATCTGGGCTGGACTTCACCCGCTTCTCTTTCTCTATGTAGAGAACACAGAACAGAAAAAGTGTTCACTTTTTGAACATGGATCTGAGAATGACAATGGTTGTTAAATGTTTTTAACCAAAGCATGTTATTTGTGTAAAAAAAAAAAATTGCTGAAGCTCGCTGGAAATCCCTTCAGGATGTAATTTAAGTCATCTGGCAGTAAAAATCTTCAATAAAACTGACAAAGTCTTGTTGTGCTTCTAAATGCTTACTAAGGGGTAGATGGGTAAGAAAGTTGTTGTTGTGCCTTAACCATAGACTGTATAAAGAATGGACAGAGTCTGCCTCCCTGCTGGGTGAAGCCACTCCGAGAACAGCACCCTCTGTTGATGTGCTGCAGTATAGGTCATAAATCCCGCCTCCGCCAGCAAAGCTTATGGGGCTGTGGACAAACTTTAGAAATTTATTACACAGAACATAATTTTTTCTCCCCCCTGCTTGTGATGTTGACATGTAGTTATTGTAAGACTGGTTTGTGCTCAAGTCCTCTTTTTTCTGTGCAGCTCCGTTTTTAAAAGTTATTAGGGGGTTCATGTTCTCTATGATTGACACCTGATATCGCCTATTGGCGTTCAGGGATTGCGTAGCTCTCCCAGGGGATAAACTGTTTGAGCCGAGCGTCATCACAGCGACTCTCTGGGAATGCGCGCATCGCTACTGCGCAGCACTGGTTTCAGGAAATGAAGAAAAATCCCAGAAATACCGAGAGCTATTTGGCTTCAAATCTGTATACAGGCAGTAGGTGGAACCAAGTTGTCCATAGTATATACAGTCTATGGTCTTAACACATAAAAGTGGGATTTAGTATTCTTCAGCTAAAAGATGACAGAGAGGTACGTACTCTCACATGGCTTCTTTGTTAGTCTGGCTGGGGAAAAATCTAAGGCTGTGTCAGAAATGAATCACTCAATCCCTAACCCCTAACCCCCATATGGGATTTTACTATATAGTTGACTACGTAGTGAACTCAGTTACCGGAGGTTTCGGACACTACATGGCAAGACACAATGCATGATGGGATGCCCACCACCGGTGAGTGACCATCGGATGGTCACTACATTTTGAAATGCTTTATGGGAAATTTTGAGTCGCCTATATAGGGCACTAGAATTGATTACTGAGATTTCGGACACCCCTCAAAATGGCGCTAACCCCCATGTAGTCACCTATATAGGGGTTAGGGATCCATTTCAGACACAGCCAAAGTTTCTGAGTGGGGAGTTCATAATTTTTACAAAGCACCCCACAATACATTGTTGCCCTCTAGTGGTATTAACATGTAACAACAAAGTGACCCTAAACAGCACTTCAATAAGTACACACAACTTCTGCTTACTGTGCTTCTCCTTTAATTCACCACAGTTGTCTTAACCTCAAGAAAGAAAGAAAAAAACTTCTCTCTACTTTGTTGCTCTTCTTTCCCTGAGAAAGGTCCCTTTCCTAGCTTCAAGTCTAAGTCCAGTGCTTTGAGTCTTCAGATAACTAATGGTTGTAATTTTGAAGAATACATTTTGCATCCTTGAATAACATGAGCCCTGGAACAGTTTTGACTGGCAAAGTGTATGATGGCAAAGTGACGGTTTATTAAGGTATAGTGTAAAGTAAATTAAATTCAGCTCTGGAGAATAGACCCTTCAGCTACCCCTGTTGTTAACCCATGATGATTCACCATAAAGATACGAGCCCAAACAAAGTCAACTTAATCAAAATTGAGGTACTCATCATTATACAGCTGGTATCAAGCCAGGATAACTAGTTGTGCAAATAAAGTGTGCTCAGAGAAGGTATTGACAACCCTCAGTGACGACACTCAAGTGTAGCAAAGATGAAACGTACAGATATGCCATTTCAAAGCTAGCTGCGGTGTTTACAGAACATATTCTACGAAGAGTGATCTGAGCTGCAAAATACAGGGGAATGTGGGTCAGGAATGTGTGTGTGTGTGTGTGTGTGTGTGTGTGTGGGGGGGGGGGGGGGCTGTGGGTGGTGTCAAAGAGTTAAGAAGAAACAGTTACAGTGAGACGAAAACAGCTAGAAATCAAGTCTCTTTCATGGGTGCCACTTTACTGAACTAAACAGAAACAGCTATAATTAAAAAGATCACATTACTCATCGAGGAAATAGAGAGGAAAAGAGCTGAATAATTAAAGAGAACAGGCAAGCAAAGACAGGAAGCAGATTTGATATATTCAAGTGAAAAATACAAACGACTAATAAGAGGCATCAAGACATGTGGCCTTGATTTTGGGATAAATAACCCACCCTCTAAGTGGAAGTGTAAACACATTAATAATTCTTTGACATCCCATTAGAAGTAGAAAAACATATTCAAATCTGTTATGAGTGAAAAAAACATTCGTAAAAAATTCTCATTCGTACAAGTGTGTCTCCAAAAAGACAGATTACTAATAACGATAATTACACCCCCAGTATCTTGATGTTTATTTAACCATGCCTGTAAGAAACAGGCATCACTAAACTAAAACAGGAACCTTGACTCCCCAGGTAATAATTCAACCACAGAGGGAGCTGTGTGTGTCTGCCGGGACTGAGTAAAATAACAGCAGCTGTGCTGATTTCTAGAGGAGTCTGTATTTCAATGACTCCTCTAGAAGTTGAGGCTAAGGAAGACACAAAAATGTGCCTGTGTTGTGGGGAAATGCTACAAATATGTTTTATTGTATGTTTTAGAGGCCATACACTAATCCTATTTCAAAAGGGTAGAGGGTTAGAAAAGACAGGAAGGTCAACACTTGTTCATCACACTCATATGGTTGTCAGGGGTGACTAGGGCACCTTCTTTGGCGGCTTGCCAGAACTCAAATGCCACTCTGAAAGCCTGAGCCACTGTTAGGGTTACAGCTTGGGCCTGTTGGGGAGCAGAGAGAGAGAGAGAGAGAGAAAGAGAGACAACATGAAAGAAGGGAAAGAAGATCCATTATTTCCTTAAACATTTCATCCAGGGCAAGGAAATCAAGGAACTATGACTGTGACAAAAACAGGAAAAGACCACCAACACAAAAGTCTGTTCACAGACACTTATTCAAGACAAAGAGAACCAGCAAGCTCCATGACAAGCTGTTTATGTAACTGGGAGGATACTTGTCCTTATGGCCAGAAGCAAATTGGTGAGGGGAAGGAAGAGGAGGGAGTGGTTCACTAGTTCTGTAAATCTCCAGGGATGGAGAGAATGTGGGAGAGGGTTGACGGCCTCCCAACCCTTTACGTTCTCACTCCTGGTGTTTTTCTTGGCTGAAAACTTGGATATGAGCGTAAATACAAGCAACGTGTGACTCAAAGTGGCAGTACAATTCCTATCCTGTCTCTTGATGAGCTGTACTTAAAAACCCCAGGGTTTCAAAGCAGCTTTAATCGGCAGTATCAGCATAAAAATCATTTTCATAATGCCTAAAGCAAAAGCTGAACCAATTACCCAAATGCAGAGTTCCGCATTGGGAGTGTGTATTCTGCTTTTGAAACTTCAGCATGTATCCTAGATGGCATAAAAAGATATAAGTTGATTCAGTGGGATTTGCATAAGGACTCAAAACAGAGGGATCCTTATTTGTTATTTGGAGCAGTATTAAAAAAAAGTAAAACGTACAGGAAAGAATAACAACTTGTTAGTTTCTTGGTGTTATTTATATTTTTGACAGGTGCGCACAAATAACTAGCAGGGGAGTCACTGGCTTAAGAGAAAGAACAGTCTGTCAAACAACAATAAACTGGAAAACACTTTAACCTGGGGCCCTGATAGCCTAGCAGTTCAAGCACCCCTCGTACAGAGGCTACAGTCCTCATCGCAGCTGTTGCTGGTTTGACTCCTGACCTCGGCTCTGTGCAGCATGTCTATCTTCCCCTGATCTCCACTCCCTGCAATTTCTGTCTCTCTTTGGCTGACCTAAAAAAATAACTTAAAACAAAAAGAATTAACCTTACTGATGATAAAAAAAATACACAGAGAAGAGACACATTTGGGACATTTAATCTAACTTTTTCACAACACGTTCTGCATGTCCAGTGTGTGCAACTTTCTTTCACTTGAATAACTTCTTAGACTACTTATTCAAACAAGTCTACTTGTTCACTCAGAAGTAGTTTAGACATCCCATAATTCATCACCTTACCATTTTTCTCTTTGTGCAGAGGAAGGCATGACACTCTAGGGTTTCATTGTGCTGACTCTGGACAATGTAGGCAAAGACTTTGTCATGCATCTTGTCTGCTGTACAGTATGATATTCTGAAAACCAAGCAAAGCACAAACAAATGCAGAGACATTAGTAAAACAAAACTCTCATTTTACAAAGCCTTCATAGATCACTCTGGGTCATCATACCAGTACATCTGTACTAAGCCTTTGGGTAAGTCCTGCTATCTGATTAATCTTGCATTTCTTCCAGCTGTTCTAGGAACAATCCCTGATATTGTAAGTACCCCCCATGTTACAATCTCAATGACTGAAATGAATCAAACAGGAACGATCCATTCTTAATGAAGGAATAGAAGCTGAACATGTTTGCAGCAGACTTATGTTACTTTCTCAAAGTTACCTCTGCATTTCGGAGTTGTAACATTCTCATCCCTCTCTTTCTCTCTGTCAAAGTTAAAAAACTGCAGGGCTTAAAGCAGCTTTTATATTTGAACTGCCCCCTGCAAGGGACATAAAAGACTGGTACAGACAGAAGCCAGTTCTCTGTCTTCATTTGGTGGAGGAGAAGGAAGCTTGGTTTTTCTGTTAGATGTGAGGATGATGGCAGTCCTTCTCTTCAAGTGCAAAATAAGAATCTCAATTAAGATGTACCACTCCATTAAAAGCTTTTCTTTTCCTAATACTAGAAATGCTAGCGGACATTTGAGGTGGGTGACCTGCTATTTAAGTTAGAGGAAACAATAAATGCTGGCATCAGTTCTTACCTCCCCTATTAACATTACCATTGCATGTAAACTTCATACATAGTAGGTGCAACAATTAAATACAAGAAGTAAGGGAGGTTAAGTTTCAAAGGGTGCAGAATCATCAGTTGTGTTTTCATGAAAACAAATAATCGGAATAAATGCCCAATCGGAATAAAAATGCGTCATGCAAACATGTCGATCAAAAGATTCTGGTCAAATTTGGCTCAATCGGAAAGAAATTGTATTCCGATTGAGAGGGGTGGTTTATGCCGATCGTTATTCTTAAACACATCCATGTAAACACTTATTCCGGTCGTGACTCTCTTACCTGACTCGATCTTCACTTTTTAGCCTTTGGCTTATTTATTCAGGCCAGTACAGGAGGTTTCATCATTAACACTCTGGCATAAAAGACCACCGCAGATGCTGTGTCTGCTCCTTCGATAACATAACAAGGCGTACATACAGCATAATGATGTCACATGTGCACGCACAGTGTAACCTTTGACAACATTTAACAGGGGGAAAACTCCTGAATTGGACGGAGTGAGTGAGCCACTATGGCGTTTGTTGATTTGTTGACAGCACAGGTGTAAATACAACTCTTCTTCTGTGGTTGTTTTAGCGAAATCAGACAACTCTGCACATATCCAAATACTTCTAATCCGAATAAAGCTTGGTGCATGTATACACACGTCATGATCAGATTATTTGATTTTGCACTCATATAAACAGTGGATTGAGATTATCCAATCCCTCAAATTTTTAATCAGATCAAGAAATTCTGCCCATGTAAACATGGCTACTGTTGGGGACTACACATCAAACCCAAGATAAGTAAAACACACATTTTGGTACAGGAGGAACTGGGCCTAAGAAAATACTTTTTTTTTTATTAATCCATCCCTGTCTTCTGAAGTAGATGTCCAGTGAGAAGAGCTCTAATGGAGTGCTGCTTTATCTGTGCAGCGTTTTACTGGGTATACGCACATATTTTTGGGTCATTAACAAAAAAAGAGGAAGATTTCTACTGCACCATTTTGATGACAAAGGGTCACAAGAACAAATGAGAGTCGTGCAAGCACAGAAAATACAGAGGAACAGAGAATAAAACAAGAGGATTCAGCCATGTCTGCACAGTTAGATCTCTGTTCACATTTGAATTTCCCTTCGAGGATCAATAAAGTTCTCCTTATCTTACATACCATTTTCTTTTCTTTTCTTCTCTTTCAATGAACTTTGGCGGCCTATGATTCACCATGGCAAACAAAAAGAGCTCTGCCTACTTTACCTCCTGTAAGACTAGAAACTCTCTTGCCTACATGCCTCAAATTTTAACATATTTTCAGCAAAAAAAAAACAAGACCCAGTACAGAGCAAAAGGGAGAAGAGCAGCGTAGGAGAATATGCTGCTTTTGAATTTAGTCTCATTTAATATTTAATTGCATAATATTAAGTTAAAGGTGAAAAGTGGTGGAATGATATTGAACCTAAATTAATTCTTAATTTGGCGGAGATGCAATCTGGGCAGGGGGAAAAGAAGAGAAATTGCTTATAATGGGTGAAGTTTGTGATGTTGAGGCTCTATTAGATCATGAAGAGATACACAACCGAGATTTGAAAAAACAGTAACACTCAAACTGTTGTCTGGAAATGACTGAACATTCAGCTGGGTCTCAAAATCCTCTTCCAATGGAAATTTAGCTCTCAGTAGGGTAATGCAGCCCCTTAATCTCGAGACTATTTGATCAAAGGACACGCCATGTTTGGAAAAACTACATTCTACATGCCTAACTGACGTCTAGATCTTTACTTTGATAAATGATGAATTTCTGTTTTCACACATCATACAGACTTAGTAAATAAATGTACAAATGAAACTGGGTTTCTGACTTTAGAAGAGAAAGGAAACAGAGAGAAACTCAGTGCTCACTGAAGAATACCAGCTCCCAACCAGATTAGGTCCACAGACTCAGTTACCATAGTAACTGACCCAGAGCTTCTTGAATGGGCCTAAGTTATGTCCCTTTACGTCCTTGTCCGAAACAGAGAGACCTAGAGTTTCTGCATTTCTAGGGTTAACAAACTGAGGGTTTCTACTACACCTGCTTTGTGAAGCATGGCCCTGGTTAAATCAGAAACAAAAATACCTTAGCAATGCAGAAACTAGAGTTTCTTATGGTCGAATGCTACAAGCTTTAGAGATCAACTTTATCCTGATTACTTTAAGCTGCACAAAGGAGTTATTGTTTATTGACAAGCAATGACAAAACTAAGTAGCTGGAAAGAATAAAAGTACCCAGTAAACCAAGAAAATGGCCCAAGGTTCTGCTGAAAAGTGAGAAAATAAGGTTAGTTTAGATATTGTGTTGGTCATATGATGAAATTGGAAAACCGATGGGCAAATGGGAAATTGATTGGCAGTTCAGCCACTGACTGATATATAGACTAACACATGTTGATTCTTGGTGAAGGCCAGAGAAGATCATCTAAACTTGCAAGTTGATATACAATCAAGCACAATCTGTTGACACTGACTGTATAGTTCCATGTGTAAATGGTAAATGGACTACGTTTATGTAGGACTTTCTCTCGTCTACCACTAAAGGCGCTTTTCATCACTTATTACATTCACCCATTCATACTATAATTCACACACTGATGTTGGAGAGACCATCAGTTTTTCAGTGATCCCATCCACACACCACTGGGCGCAGCAAGCGGGGGTATATCGAGTCAAGTGTCTTGGACACTTTTGCAGCTTTTTTGCACACAGATCATACAGATACGCAGGAAAACACTTAAGACTGTCTCACAAGACCCCCCCCCCCAAAAAAATAAAAATAAAAATGAAAATATATAAATAAAAAATAATAATCATGAACACAGAGTATGTTGGAAACAGCAACAGTTGAAGGAAATAGAATTACCTGTAAATGGAGATATTTTCTATCAGCTGGTTGGAGGCACTGTCATAAAGAATGATTCCTCGAGGGGAAACCGTTAATGTGACTTTCTGAAGTTTTTTCCCACTAGCTTTAGCCTTCAAGAACAGGAAAAAGAAGAAAAAGAAAGAAAAAGAAAGGTGCGGGTTACATAGAGAAAGGCGGATATGTGAGTTGTCATCAAACAATAACAACCAGACTTCTTGATAAATATCTAAACTTGATATCTTATAATACTTAGTGAAAACAAGATTTAAAACAGTTAAAAATAGAGAGATACAAACATTCAGATATTTGAAATGAACATCAAACAGCACATGTGACCTCTATCTCCTGATCATCTTTGACATGTTCCAACACCTCAACTGGGGACTTTCTGAAAAACAAGAGACCTGTTTCAGGTCTCAGAGCTGACATAAGGGGGAAAAATAGAACTCAGTGATCTCCAGTCTGATAAAACCGAGATCAAACTGAGTGAAATCTCTGTAGAGTCATTATGGACTGATGCCATCTTGGAGTTACCTTTAACCTGTGTTTTCCTTTGCTTAAATTCGCAGGGTTTGACTCCTGGCTGAATTGGTTCAGGCATCCTTCGACTGAGAACTGAGTTTACAGATTGACTTATTCTCTGAGTACATATTCTTCTAATTTAGATACATTTACTAAACTTTGCAAAGTCCCACTTCTGCCTTTTCATTTAGTCATGAAATGCAAATTATTGTCAGAACAAAATGTGTTCACAATTTGCATCTCCATAATAAGTTAAACAAATGCGAGGGGTGTTAATGCTTTTTGAATTTCCTTTATGACTTGGTAAAAGGAGAGGAGGTTTAGGAGGATTTTGTTTACTTTTCAAATGTACCCTGTGTGTTTGGATGCCCTGCTTTTTGCATTTGAGAGGAGGAGGTGTGTTGTCTCTTACCGTGGCCACTATCCTCTTTACAGCAGCTGCAGACAGCTCCTCGCCTTTGGGTTGCTCAACCATCGTCACCCCAAGGTATTTGAGCTGGAACACCATGCCCTCCAGAAGGGTCTCCCTCGTGTCTGACCAGTTTTCTGGAAGCTCTGTGGATAGGACACACACCAATAACACATGCTCATTGGCAATCCCACTGCTTGTGCTGTTTGGCAGGCTCAGATACATGACATGTCAGCACAGCACTGCATTCTCTCAGTTAACTTTGAATGGTAAACTCAACTGCTTTAGATATGACAGCACCCAAACCTTGAATTGCAAATTTCCACATCCTAAAAAACGAAGTTATGAAATGTAATTAATTCTTTATACCTGGCCTATGATGTAAAAATGGAGCAAGTTTTGATGTGCAATCTACAGATAACATCTCTATTTGGCTGCCGGCAGTGCCCACAGACATAGTTTATTTATTTGTTTATTGATAAACCCAAATATTGACTGATGTTGATTATTTCAGAATTCCATGAATTTCTCGGCCTCAAAAATCTCCAAGTCATGTGGACTTAACATGAAGGATAGAAAACATTCATAGAAAAGCCTCCTTGTCTATTTGCCTTGCAGAAAATAGATTATGCACATTGGCTGCAAGACTTGTTTTATCTGGCTAGACCCCACAATGAAACCTTTGCTATGATGCTAGTATTAGCAGGCAAAAGTACTACACCCCGGTATTACACACTCTTTCCAGTTATAGATGCCATTATGACATTCATATCCTATTTTTATCATTCGGGTTAAAGGCCTTGCTATGGAGCAAGGAGTGATGACTTTGTGCTTTAAACTATGGCGGGGTATTGTCACGAACCTTACAATTCAATTCCATTTAACTCTTTGTGTCATGATTTATCTCAGCATATATACTAGAAAAAAAAACTCAATATAATTTTCTAATAACAGTGGACATGAAGAGACGCTGAGAGTATAGTGTGAATTAAAATAACTTTTATGGTTTTCACCCGACCTGTTATAACAACCGAAATACTGCATAATCTGCAAACCTGTCATTTCAGATAGTATAGAGGACTTAGATTTTATCTCTCTCTAAAATGTATTCAGGATGTTATTTTGACAGAATCTGGAACTCCAGATAGGTCAGGTAGAATTGACATCCATGGCAAAAACAATATCACACAATCAAGTACCAGCCTTCATGCCAACTGAACTTGCTGTCCCCACAGAGAGAGAGTTATCGCTCTATATAGTCATGTAAATAACATATTAAATAACAACATATCGAATAACAACAAAGGGGGTCAAGGGAAACCATCTCTTAAACAGGAGCCAGATTCTACTGTTCATGCACTGTCAGCTGAGTTGATCATGACAGACACATTCCGACTTCTCACATAATAAGAGTAAAAATATATCTGATATGAGGCCTTAATAACAGACTACACCACAGAGATGGGGAAGTGAAAAAGAAAAACCACAAACATCTTGTGTGAACTAACATTTACTGACAACTGAAACAAACCAGGGTAGAAGCTTAGACAAGTTGATCTGGAATTGCTTCTTCCTGTCCAACAGCAAACATCTAAATTCTGTCTGAAGCTCATAAACAACTCACTGTTGTGCTGTTGTTGGCTGTGATAGTGAGAGAGGGCAAAGGGATTCGGTTTTGTTCAACAAAAGATCTGTCACAAACACTCTCAACAACATCACGTCCCCATTGTTGGGGGTGATCATCTTATCTACATCATAAGGATTGTCAAAATTATCCAAGCAGATGTGCAGCCAACTATTATTGGTAAAATTAGTTAATCTATTCTGCATTACACTTGAGTCTCCTGGTTTCTTTTACAAGGCACAAAAAACACTTTTTCCAGCCTCTTAAATGTGAAAATCTGCTTTTTGATAGGTGTGCATGACTCAAACGGAATATTAGGAGTTTGGATTTACAGCAGTTTAAAGTGTTACACTGAGAAATCGTGATGGGTCAACAAATAGTAAAGAAAAGAGCAGTTACAACTAATAAAAAGGGTATCTGTATCTAACAGCAGCACAGTCTGGTTAGCAGCCAAATGATAACTTCAGCTTTTACATGTATAAATGACATTTGAGATTTACTATTTCTTTCCAGGTTCTTAGAGGAGTTGGCTGGTTTACTGTGTTGACTGAACAGGTTAAGTTTACAGCTGATGCATTTCCTTACCATTTTTACTTTGCAAGTATTTTCCTTACGCTGCATTAGCCATACATTTATGGGCACATAAACCATGTGGGAAAAAGCAGCAGAGGCTAACCAAAAATAGTAGATTTTAACATTTATAAGAGCAAAGCCAATCAAATAAAATAGACACGTGGGTAAGTTTTTTGTTTTTTTTTCATTTAAAAGACACTTCTCTAAAAATCACTGGATCTGCTTAAACTTGAGAGTACAGTTTTAAAGCACAGTATGTGTCAATGAATTTGAAAGACTTGCTCAGACAGCACTCGAAGATTTAAGGCTCAGAAAAGATATCATTTGTATAATTACGAGGGCTGGGACAACATGCTTTTCTCCTGATTCAATTCTTCTACCATTTTTGGATGCTAATTCGATTTAAATTGCGATTCTACGATATTGTTGATTTTCTCGATTTCTAGACTACATTTAGTCAACACCAGTGAAACAGTTGAATGATTATGATTGTCTGCTGACTATTCCAGGAACCATATTTCCCCCTCAAAAAAACATCACATGTATGTCAGTTTTTACGAAAAGTAAGCCAGTAACCTGTTTTAGATGGATTTTAATTATTTCATGAAACACAAGGAAGCAGTTTGCCATGCTATGGATTTCAGAAGATGACTAGTACTCATGTCAGAAGCAATATTTAACTGATATTTAAGATCAATACAGAATTAATATTGAAAACGAGCCTGTAACTATTATATATTTGAATTTAAGATGAGAAAAATGGGTTATCATTTTGGGGGATGTTAATATACAACAGCCTTAAGGCTTTGTTAAAACACACAGTCAAACACCCACTGAAGTATTATTAGTCTGTAATTTGACAGCAGGTGGAAAACCATTCTACCAGCTGGAAACCTGCTCCCATCACCCTGTTTTGACAAGTTTCAACACTCCACCAGCAAAGCTACCAGGAAGAGACACGTGGAACAAAGAAAAGGTATGCAGCTCTTACCATGCTTAGCAACTAGTCTCCCTAAATGAACAAGAGTACAAGTTTACATCTTTCTAAATCTCTTATTATAACACTTCCAGCTCAGCAGAAATGTATTGATAATTCACAGGTACATCTCACTTCTGAATGATCCTTTAACTGGTTTCCAAACCACGCAATTATTATTATTTTTGTTGTTGCTTTGTTTCACAAACAATATGTCTATAGAATTAGAAGAAAACAGCACTGAGATATAAGGAGCTTTGAGCAGAGGTATTTAAGAGCTGACCCTGTGAAGTTGAAGATCAAGAGTGTTGTTGGTAAGTGGGGTGGGTAATTTTGATCCAAGTTAAAAAAAAAAAACATATTTGCTTGACTTGAGGTGGTCAGAATAGTGCCAGTTTGGTGAAAGTAATGTTTTGCTTATGAATGACTGACCCAAAATAGTGAATGTATCCACATATCACCCAGGGCCTGAGACCTTTAGCATGTATTTGCATGTATTCATCTGGATGTAAAGCCTTCAACTACAAGAAACAGGGTCACTTTCGTTTGCAGATTTACAGCAGCACGGTCATTTCAGAACCAGCTCCTGCTAGACAAGAACTGTAATGTTCATCCTAGTAAAGAAACACGACTTTACATTACCAATATAAAGAATTGGTTTATGAATATGTGGAAGTGTAGGGCTCAGAAAAAAACAATATGTCAGACAAAGAACAATCAAAGTTTTTTTGCAAAGTCTTTTCATGGAATAGAATGACCATAAAAAGACTGAGTAAGCACTATCAAACCTGACTTCAACCACAAATCACAAACAACTTTGAAAAACAGAGTGCTCCAAGTCATTTAGGGTCCTAACCAACAGAGCTGTGGTGAGGAGATGACCTCCTCTTATCTCACAGTGATGAGGCATATGCAGAAAAGACCTATTCCAGCATTATTAGATTCCAATCAGGACACTTAAAACTAATTTAGAAACGGCTGACTCAGATGAGGAAGTAATGCCCCGAGGGATACACACAGAAACGGTACAACACTTGTTAGAAAAAAGCCTTGGACAATTTCTTTCTATGCAACAAAATTAAGTCTAACATTTTATTGCAGATTTGTAACTTCTATGGTTCAGTCTTAACCATTTTATGGTTAAATGAAGTCTAGGTCAAGGATGTGGAAACATCCTCTATTCCTATTCCTTTGACAGAAACACTGACACTACAGGAAAAGGCTGGGATAGGGCATTGTTTGGGAGAAAAAAGAATTAGTGTTGCTGGTCAAAGGGGACAGCCTGTTACTGTACATGGACCATTCACTGTCTGTCTCTGCCTGGTACAAAGACTGTTCCAGTAGTGTTGTTCCGCCTCTTGAAAAACTAGATTACTGAACAAGAATAGACATTTTATCAAATAAATGGAAATGGACTAATATTAGGCTCAGTAAAATTTCATCACAGTGGACTTGATCTGAAATTATGCAAATATATATCATCAGGTAAAAAATATTGAGGATGCAATAAAAAAAGAAATTTGTGTGGACTAGCCCATGAAAGTCAAATGGTTACCTTAACCAATGAACATGTTTTAGAGAAGACATTTAAAATTTCCTCGGAAAGACAAAGCTTCTAGGTTATGCAAAAGATTTCAGGAAATGATTGATATTTCTGGCAATACTAAAGTGCAATTACATCAAAATGCCAAAATCGACCTGGAGAATCAGCCCCCGATTCAATGGTCTCTCTCTCTCGAGGTCCTAGATTGTCATTTTTGTTGCCAATGGTCCCTGTTGCTCTTTCAGGCCATAAAGAGGCATCACTTCATTATTAGTCTGTTTCATAGCCAGCTAGAAACTCTTAACAGGGATATTACTACAGTTAAAAAAATAATTATTATAAGAATAATACTGGATCAAGTGCTGCATGACTATGTAGCTATAAGTATTTCATTTGATGACCATGCAAAACAATGACTCTTGGATAACAGGAGGATTACAGGAGATAAGCGTCTTACAGGCGTAGTTTAAGTCGTAATATTTGGACACAGGTCTTTCAGTATTGGCCAAATCGACTCAAAGGAGGAAAGTTAGGGTTAAACAGAGTGTAGGGAAATGAGTGGTCATGCCAGATGGGGATTACAGCTGATAACCAGCTGAGGCCAGAATGTGCTTTCAGAAAGCAGCAGGGCAGTGAAACTGATCTGTTTAAGCACCCTCTGTCAAGCCAAACAGGAGGAGCCAGTTTCTATTGATAGTCAAATGGTTTTGAGGGACATCCTGAGGTACATCCTAAAATCAGTAAACATGAGCTTAACTAAATACACCATATAAGAATATAAACTGGAATTAAATGAAGAAGGACAACACAGTTGTACATGTAATTTCTAAGCAGTAGAGTTGGTAGAAGTAGGACCTTAAACATTGGTGGATTGGCATAAATACTGTTGAAATGACAATTGAAAAAAATATATGTAACTCTCCAAATAGGCAAAACATGAACAAAGTATCTCATGTTTTAAAACTTTGTAACTGGTCTTTGTAATAAAAACTGAATTATTTTGGTTTTAAGACTGTTACGTTATAAAGACAGGGTTCAGGTGTAGTGTCCCACTCCCACATTATGTGTCATAACCATTTCAGTGATCTAATTTTGACCAGTTTGACTTGGGTTCTGAGTCAGTTCTCAGATACTAAAAACCATGAGCAGGAATGACCTCTGGGTGTCATAATGGCATAATACCACCCCTTCAAATTAAAGGGATCAGCCTAGAATCCCCAGAGGACTTCAAATACACGAGGAGTTCACAGTAAAGGCCGTCTCAAGTGAAGTTTCATAAGACTTCACAACACTGGCCGAGAAAGAAAAGGACACAAGTGTCAGTCTGAGAGTGGTTGCTGAACAAAAAGCAAGCCCTGCCAGAATTACACGTTTGCATAGTGGATTGAGACAGAGAGGCTGCCTCATTAACTACTTCACTTTTATTCCTGTCTACTGACCTTACACCGGGAGGACATAAAAAAGGCCTCAACAGACTGACAGGCAAGTTTAAGTAAAGTCAGGCTATAATTACTGCCAGTTCAAAACAATGCCTCACTTGTGCTTTTGGGGCCTTTAAGCTGGGATCATATTTGCAGTAGTTTATAGGAAAAATAAATGCTGTTCCCATGCTGTTAGCTAAATATATTTAGTTTGGATTCATAATAAGCTCCCCCCTTACAAACAAAGTAAAACTGCATCTTTGGAGTCATGTCCACCTGACAAGAAGAACTGTGAACAACCACACTGATCATGTCTACACATATGGCTGGTAGAGATTACATCAATTATTTGTCACAAGGAAAGGGAAACGGAGGCCACCTGTGTTTCCTGTGGTTACGTCTTTCAGAGTAGCCAGTAACATGGCAAAAAGGGACACACTTGGTTTTTAAATTTTGTTTCTGTTTTAGGAGAAAAAAGAAATCAAATGTTGGTATCATGTACATGTGTACTCAATATAGTTAAAACAGATGCAAATAGATCAGATTATGTTTGATAAACTCATTTGGCAATAATCAGCCAACCACTGATCATGATAACAAATTTGATGATCAATGTCTGCCATGTAACTGCTGTGTCAACTTTTGAGTGAGAAGTCAACATCCATTTCTCTACAACACAAATCATCCTCTTTCAGAAAGAGTGAAAGTGCAGTCCCTTTTACCAAAATATTTAAATGACACTTGTGACTCAAAAAGACCGGGGCAGCAGAGGATAGAACAGGTCAACAAATCACTGAGAACAAAACTGTTCGACAAAGAGGCAGTCTCCATTACAGCCTAGCAGACCCCATTGACTGACCTCTGTGAGGGACATAGCACTCATTATCCAGAGCAGGGGCAGAAGTGCAGGGTCAGTGCAAGAGCCTGTGCAAAAAAAGGTAGACCTCTTGTATAAGGATGTGTACCATCACCTCACCTCACCTCAGCTTCTCTCTATATACGTGCCTTTTCTAAACCACAAGAACACGTAGTGATCAACAGGTACACCACAAACCATCTCTAGAGTAAAGTTTAAGCAAAGTTGACTTGGCACACATCTTTTTAAAAATATAGTTTAAAGGTTTGAGGTCTACTTACTCTCCCCATTTGCCATCTACATGGATTTACTGACACAGACTGTGTGGCTGCCTCAGTACAAACAGTCTTAAGGCAGCTATTTGAACAGGTATACAGGAGGAACTGTTTATCTTTGTCAGTGCAGACAGAGATTTTCTGCCACTCAGTGTCTGGATTAAAAATGGATATGTTACATTCCCTTTTCCCTACCCTCAGCTAGGAACCGAACTGACTCATTCCAAGCAGGAAATGGCGTAACTGACACATGATGGTGCATGCACAGTAACAAGACTGAGGAAAACTATTACTATTCCAAAATGTAGAGTTATCACACTTTTAATCACCTGAAATTTCTGCCAGAAAGGCTCCTCATAACAGAAATGTCTTTTTAATATCATGGCCAAAATAGAGGTGGTAACTTGATACTTTTCCTGCAGATACAGGGTCAGCCATGAGTCAGTAGCTTACTGACACAAGTCAGAACATGTTGCCTTTCCATTTATTAATCTGCAGTTCTTCTGTGCTTGCTAACACACAGTAAAGTCTATAATAATGTGACATTTCCTGCAGATTGAATGTGGAGTCAAGGTAAAGCTCACCATCAGTGTGAGGTTTCAGCTTTAGAGATTCATTGGTCGTTAGAGCCCTGTTCCTCCTGCCTTGTCAAGATGAGAGTGGGTCGTGCGATTAAAGCATTCCCGCTGAGGAGTTGACCAAAACAATGCATCGATTTCACTGTGTGGCACGTGTGGAATCTTGCTGTCAAGTGCACTATTGTCTATGAAATAGAGAGAATGGAGGGTGTCATGGGTCCTCTTTTGAGGACGCAATATAGAACCACTCAAGGCAGCTTATACTTCGAATGAAAGCCATGCTAGCCTATACATTGAGTATCGTAGCCATGCTATACAGTTGTAGAGCATCAGCTACAGCCTGACACCCAAAGCGATTATTAGCTTTACCCTTGATTTGAGCGTGGCACACGAGTTTAATTAGACTCTTATTTGATTCTGGCTCTGAATCTACTCATTGAAAAGTCTGCTTTTTTGTTTCACTTAATGTATCACCTAGCAACAGTGAGTTGCTAGGATTGAACAGCCTTGCCAGAGAGACTACTCATCTCTTCGTGCTTTTTCACACCGGCGACTCCCTTACACCAGTCCCCGGCCGCTCTACAGTCTGGTTTATGCTTTTAAGCTCCCGGCTAAGCCGCTGTTGTGAATTTCCAAATCGTGACAGTTTGTCGAAGGAGTGACGTGGCAGACGACCACAGGATTTCACCAAACTCTTTAAAGTTATGTTGTATCATGTGGTTGCTTTTGGCCAAAGTGTACGAGAACGAGTGACTAATATGACTTGTTCGATATGCTATAACCAGTGTAAGAGGCAAGTGTGTAACTCTCTGCTAAACAAGAGTTTGTTTACAAGCTCCGGGACGCTGCTGTCAGTATGAGTGTACATTCAGTCTAGTAGCCATGCTATACAGTGAAGGTTGTAAAGCAAGTTTCACAGGTGTTGTGTCGTAGAATGCACCCCTGCATCCCATCCACTCATTAGCTTCTTAAAGTGGAAGAAAATGACCTCATATTTAAAAAAAACACGAGTATTGGATTATGACAACATGTCAGATGGAGCAGCAAACTTTCTTTCTGTTTTAATGTGTCTCAAAAATGCACAAATAGAGGTGTACTTGGGTATGTAAACTGTACAGTAAGCTGTCAAGGTAGAGAACATTATATTTTCGGGACAGCAAATATTCCGAATCAGATGGCTATTGTTTTCGGCTTATCTGCATAGCCTAGATGATATCATTCAAAGGCACACGCTTTTGAATCCATCCAATAGTTGAGAAAACTTGGATTATTTCGCCTTGTTATGTACTTTTAACCGCGCTGCCGTCAGGAGGTGCAGTCTACGGCAGGGGTGCATTCTACGGCATAACACCGGGCAAAATAAGATACTTTCGACATCAGTTCGTCGCACTGGAGATGAAACCCCCCCTACCAACATTTGGTTTGCTCAACACTACACTGGCAGCTTCTATGTGGCAACAACTATGTGTGACATCCACAGGCGACTTGGAAAGTAACGCTGAGTAACATATAACCGATGTTAGCTCCTTGTCGGTGCTAGCTTGTTTAAGCCCAGTTAGCATTTTTTAGCTTAAGTGGCGTCAGCTAACGTCTTCGTGGTAGTGCTGTGAATTACTGTATACTCACTTCTGTGCCTGCCCGCACCCCACGACTGTTTGGCGATACTCGGGCTTCGTATAATTGCTCTTCCAGCGGATTTCAAAGCATCCATGTCGTAATCCAAAAGTGGGGCAAAAAGCCCAACAAGCGCCTCTAGGTTTCGGTCGAAACACTTCCACTAGTTCAAAACAGCCCTCTCTCCGCAAACTTTCTTTCAGCTGTTTTTCTCCTCCTCCCCACAGACAGCTTTCAGTCGATGGTGAATTAACATGTTCGTCCCCCTGGGCGGCGTTATGTATGTATATCAGCCGAATAATGTGCGTGACGCCCGTTTGTGAAATCACGCGAGTGAGGTTGTTGCAGCAGCAGCAGCAGGGCAGGCAGGCAGCGCTCTATTCCAGTGCGGGCGGGGCTGTTGCTCCTCTTTGTACACGAGAGCGTTTATTCACACCCTGTGTCTTCAGAGGCTATTCATTTTGCAATAGTCATATCACAGACTGTTGTCATTTTTTCTCTGATTCAATTTAGTTACCTTGGTATCTGCTTTATTGAGCTTCTTAATTTATTGTGTAGCCGGTGGAATGTAAAGCAACCATTCAGAGTGGTGAATGACAAAGCCTGGACCTAAACACAGATCCTTAGCGTGCATGTATGTGTGATGTTCCTCTTGTGATTGTGGTCTCCTCCTTGTCATTGCTGTTCGGGTTTCACACACACTTTGCCTAACAACTGAGAGGAGGCTGACGGGTTAAAATAGCCCATTAGGGGAGAGTGGGGTAAGTTGAGCCACCCCCTGTAGTTAGGAAAGAAATTGATCATGTGACCAAATATTTAGGAGATGGGCATCAATTCATTAAGTATATGAGGTAAGAAGCACATTGGTAAAGGGGTTAGACATTTATTTCCATAGAAAAACATTTTTCACTCTTGAAAGTGAATTTAGTCTGTCATAAGTTTAATTAGAATTGTGTTCAGACCAAAAAGATTATTTTAAATTTGTTTTATGCATCAATTGTGGTATCTATGAGCTACAACATGAGATCAAAAACCTAGCATAGAAGTCCACCATTTTAGCTTAGAGGACTAATAAAGTCATAATGGTAGTTCTGGGGTAAATTGAGCCAGTGACTCAACTGAGAAAGTAAAGGAGTCTGATGAGAGGATCAGAGTTTCAGTTCAGATTGTTGAAATGTTTTTACTTTATCTTTTCAAAAATACAGCTGTGAATGTTCTGAATCACTCAAAGGCATTCTCATGTTAAACTGTTTTTTTTTTTTTAACAGCACAGCTTTTTAGCAGTTATATGCAATAATAATAAAAATATTTATTGTACCAGTTGAATAGTGTATAATAGATAAAAATACACATGAATGTGAAGAAGTGACTGTTATTTACCCCATACACAGGGTAAGTTGACCATAGGAGACCACTTTTTTTGGCATGCTATATTATCAAGACAGTTATGTTTACACTCATTCTGTTGGTTTGCAGGGATGCACGACATCTTGAAATATATGCCGATACACTAGATAGAGACAAAACTATGATTGCTTTGATGTAGTGATCCGAAGTATGAAAAAATGGCTCCTCTTACCCCACTCTCCCCTATATCATGAATGGAGACTCAAAACTACAGCATAACCTCCCTTTGGAACATCTGGAGATGACAGGTCTTTGGATGACTGACAGACTGCCAATTTTGATTGTTTTACAGTAACCACCAGGACCACAGATATTATCCCCTTTTGTGATGTATTCAGGGAACTTCATTATCCTATCTTTTGAGTTGCACTAAATTATGAATGGGTTCTGAATAGTTAAGTCTGAAATAGTTTAAAATTAATATACTTTGATAGCATCCTGTTTCGTGTTGTAAGCTTAATCATATTCAGGCAATTTTTGGGGGGCCCCCTAAAAGCAGTTTGTCATGTGAAAACAGTTATAAGGGCAAATAAATAAATAAATAAATAAATAAATACGTGTTTTTTTTTTTGTTGTTTTTTTTTTTGTTTGTTTGTTTGTTTTTTGATGCATTTGTGCGTTTTTTCTTTTTTTTTCTTTTTAGAGAGGCTTAGCACTTGTATACCAAGCTAAATTTTATCGTTGAGCTACACTTGACATAAACTACTCATGAGAACAGCTTCTAAAAAATCTGGTTCTACCAGATTTTTTAGAACATAGAAAAACTCAGATACAGGACACACCAAGCACTTCTATTCTCGGGTGCATTCCTTTTAAGTCACTGTAGGTTCATCATGCCCCATGCTCTCCAGAGAAAGGGAGATGGGGAATGAAAAGTGTTTCGTCACAAAGAAAATCACTCAGGTACCAAAAAGGTAAAAAACAAGAGCAATGTGCCTTAATTTTCTATTTTAATCTTCCTCATATAAAGAGCTCAATTTACTGAAGAATTCCTGGTTTAAATCTGTCATGCCAAATGCAGATGGCTTAAAAAAAAACATCCATTATGATCTTCTTAATCCATATGAATAACATTCTCAAACAAAACAATGTGTTGCAAAATTCTAACCCAGAACAGTAATAAACCACGGAGGAGTGTAAAATATGTTTGTACTCTAAACCCACTTGATCTGGTAAAATAAAGCAAAAGGCTTTGCCTAAGTTTGCTTTGTTGCACATGTTAATCAAGCAAATTCAGGCAAGCATGGAATAAGACAAAATGGTGCATATAAAGCTCCTTTTTACACTGAGCAGTGCTCCAAAATCTCAGTGGTTGTGACATGTAGATATCTCAACCTGAAATGTAGAAAAAGAGACAACATTAGGCTTTCATATTCATTTAATACATCAAATTACCCTCTGATATTATTCAGTTTTTGTACCAGATTCATTTACCTTCCAATCCAGTTCTACTGGATAGCCACCATTGGTCACACAGAACTGCTGGATAACGAGAACTGGTCATACTGCTTTTACTAAACCATGATAAGGAGTCAGCAGAAACATAACTGCATTAGATTTTCTGGTGTCCAAAAAATAAAATGACGTGGTTCTTCACGTTTGATAATCAGTCCTGGGGGATAGAAGTTCTCTCAAACTACACTTCATAGACACTGCCCCCTAGTGACAAAAGCATGTCTTCATTTAATCAGTAGCACCCAGTTATGAACAGCTTTACAATGCAATAAAATGTTTTAAGCTTTGTCCCTTTTACTTGTGTATTACATTACTATAGAATACAATATTAGATATTGTTTAACTTCATTTATACTCAAGTTTTTTCATCATTACTGGATCGGATAAAGGAAATTAGAAAAACTGTCACACTAATATAAAGCTGGTGGACTGTCCAAGCAGTGATTTTGGTGTAGTCTGATATTTTAGTTTGAAATTCTATAAAGTGAAGAAACAATCAAATAACTGTAAACAATGGAGGCCTAGATATAACACTGGTCTTTGATAGGTCTGTTACGATCTTGTTTGTAAAGACTTCTGATCAAAGTTTAATCAACTCTCTTGTAAAAATTATGTATGTGGTAATTATAATGCTGTTTTATTTATCTAGAGCAATGGTTCTCAAGTCCAGTCCTCGAGGCCCACTATCCTGCATGTTTTGGATGTTTCCTTGCTCCAACACACCTAATTCAAATGATTAGCTCGTTATTAAGCCATTACAGAGCTTGATAACGAGCTGATCATTTGAATCAGGTGTGTTGGAGCAGGAGAACATCCAAAACATGCAGGACAGTGGGCCTCGAGGACTGGACTTGAGAACCACAGGTCTAGAGAAATGGCTGAAGTAGGAGCAGAGGAGGAAAAGTCAATTTGCGAGAAAAAATGTTTATTCCTTGTAAACCTCACAGAGCGAGACCACAGCCAAGGTCAGACCTGGGGAGAAACACAGCAGTGACTGTGGGCATAGAAACAAAAAACAAACAAAACACTTCTCTATGCTTTCAACAATCAGTTGACCAAACAACTGACTAATTTGTAATTTCACTTTTTTCAAGGAGCCAATGACAGCACTCTGAGCCAAAAAAAGCTTCTCCATTTACAATAGGTGAAAATTACACGCATAACATTGACCATCTCAGATAATGGTGAAACCACATCAGACTTAAGCAATATTTCTCCCTGCAGAAAAATAACAATACCAGAAACAGGAAGTTAAGAAAATGGATTTTAAACAGCCACATGCCCAACAGTTGTAAATACTGTAACATTCACAAAAGAAATTGACTTTCTAGTCCTTTAATTTAAACTACACAGTCTACTACAAACAGGTAACCATTTTCTCTGCCTGCTTAACAGAAACTTCCATCAAGTCATATTCAACTGGCTCTTTGACAAACATGTTGGCCAATGTATTTGCAGTACATTCATGAGAAAATTACTTGGAAAAAAAAGCATTTAAATCTTGGCACAGGAACTGAATGATTAACTAAATAAAATAGGCTACTATAACAGAATTGGCATTTCTGAAATGTTTACATTGCACAGTCCGTCTATGCAGTTTTCCCTTTCAAACAGCTTGTGTTTTTTTTTATATAGTGCAACTTTTAACTTGGAAAAAAAGGATAGGGCTGCAGTTGCACCTACATATTTGGAGTCTAACAAAAGAAGAGTTGAGCTGTGAGTGGACATGTAATGAACAGGAGACCTGTATGTAGTAGACTCTGTGGTGGCTAACATGTCAACTAAATTACAGTAGGCTAACAGGACTATGGTGAAATGTCTCAGACTCAGTGCTGTCTACTGTATTTATCAAATTTGTTTTAGGTTTTCAATATGAGGAACAAGGCCACCCACATTTGACCACGATTCCCTAAGAGCAGGTAGTCCAAAAATCACATCAACATCCCAAGGCAACTTTGTCCCTTACTGTATAAAGTCAAATTCTGATCCTTTTTAGCATAGCCACACACTTGTCTTCTCTTTCAAAAAGGGTCACGCCAATTGGATCCTGTTATTCAACTCATTCCATGTCTTTAACTCAAGGCACAGTGTTTATGACAACTAATGAAAGAGTATGAAGAGCCCTGCACAGACGCTGGTACACAACACAGACTCCTCTTGCTGCACTCTTTCAATTCAAAATAAATATTTAAGCGGGGAAACTTAACTTGTATTTTCAGTTATATTGAAAAAGACAAACTGCTTGGGGTCAATTAGGTGCGGAGGCTCTCTTTCTTCTTACAACACAAGATTTTCAAATTTGTTGAAAACAACTCTTAAATCTGAACAAGTGAACAAATGGAACTACACAACAAACCTTCAGAACTTACCCCAAACTCAAAAAAAAAAAAAACAGCTGAAAGCAGGGTCAATATGTCCAAAAATATAAATGAAATATATCAGGTGTTAAATTCTGTGCCAACTTTGCACTACATTCCCTTTGGTTGTTCTGATGTTACCGTTATTACCTCAGGAAAAACAATCTTTCAAAAGGAACTGGGTAATGAGTAAGGCTGTATGATAAAAATAAAGAACGCTGTTTTGCAGTTTTACGAGAGAAAAGATGAACCTAAAAGCATTACAAGTTTCCCAGGGCAAATGAGCGAGGGGAACTGATTGCAGGTTGTTGCACTGGGGTTCTCATGGAAAGATATTGCAACACCCTTGAGATGAAGATACATACCTGATTCTGTGAGGTTTCACTTAACACTTGGGAGAAAAAAAAAATGGGACTTCCTAGTTCACATGTGATGTCTGATTAAAGTTTTTTTGTTTTTTTGTCTTTTGTTTTAACTACAACAAATACAGTCACACAACACAACATCCTTCTGACCTGGCGTGGAGAAAAGTAAAACCCAAGAAAAAGAAAATTCTCAGCTGCAAATATGCCGAGCAGATTGGAAGGTGGTGGGTCTGCGGGGATAATAAACTGACAGGAAGATGGAGGAAGGGATAGGGCAGGACAAAGCGTTCACTTTTTCAGTGGCTGATAGACAGAGGCGTTGGGGTCCAGGCCAGAGGGATTGGTGTCCATGAATTTGGAGGAGTAGTGAGGGGCAACGGGGGTCATGCTGCTGGTGTCGGCTGTGTATGAGATGCTGGGCATAACTGCCATCACTTCTGCTATCTTCTGCTTCAGATCTTTTATCTCCTGGTCCTTTTGCAGGATCTGACCTTTAAGACAGAAATAGGATAGTTCAAAATAAAAGGATAACCTTACAACAGTGGCCAAATTTGTAGGTGTTTTTGAACTCCAAGTACCACCTTCAAACCCTTTTTTAAATTGGAATCATGCTGACCTTGTGCAATCTCAAGCTGCCTCTTGGCATCTCCCAGAGCAGAGAAGAGGTCCAGTTTGATCCTGGTCTCTGCACTCAGACTGTTCTCAAGGTGCTGTGTCTTGTCTTGCATGGCTGACAGTGCCGACATGAGCACCTCTGTGTCTTTTTCATTCTCCTTATATTTATGAAGTTCCTGAGATGGTGGACAAAACATAGTACATGTCATGTCTGGAGGCTACTGACAAGACTAGATAGTACATTTTTCAAATAGCAAACTCTGCACCAACAATTAAATCTCTATCTATCTATTATAGCACAGTAAAATTCTTTGTTTTTTCCATTTCCACTTGACTGAAAAACATTACCTGAACTTTAGATTCAAGCTCTCTGATCTGGTCCTCCTTCAGCTTGATGTCCATTGTTAGTTTTTTACACTCTGTTTCTAATTCAGTGATCCGCCGCCGTAGCGTGTCCGTGCATTCCCCTCTGAAAATAGAAAAGGCAAAAAAAATGGTCAGTCTATGGTGGCGCGATTCATGAATGACAACAAGCAACAAGTAGAAGGAGTACCCTCTACCTCAAAGATGTGCGATTACCTGGATGCTGCTGCCAGCGCTACTGCTCTTGCTGCTGTGGCCTCCTCTATCTTCTTTCGCTTCTTTTCCTCTGAAAGCTGTTTTTCAGCAGTAGCTCGGGCCTCCTGTTCTGCTTTGAGCTTCTTCTCCAATTGGCCAACTACCTGCTTGTCCTTTTGCTTTGCCTGCACGGCGTTATGAAGCCTACAAGTGTACAGGCAAATATAATGGGTTAAGAAGCTATTTGAGAGGTCCATCCAGTTGGTTCATAAATATTCATGTCAGGTTGATGTTGCAAACATCATTCAAGCAGGAATTAGCTCTCGAGTTTAAAGCTGTTGAGCACCAAGTATTAACATGGTTTAATCTTTTTCCATTGTAGTAATTTCTACAAAAGCAGGGCAATGAACACACTGATGCACAGTAAGTAATATCCCCTGGAAAAATGATACCACTGGTGTAATCCCCTTTTATCCATTAAATGGCATCTCAACTTACTTATTCTGCAGAAGCTCATTCTCTTGGCGCAGTTGGCCCAGCTCAGTGCGTATGGAGCGCTCTGCGCTGCCCAGGGAGCCAATCTGGCTGCGCAGGTCCTGCTCAACCTGCCGGCTGGCCTGAAGGTCTGCCTTTAACTTCTTAACATCTTGCTCCAATCTATACCGGACGAGGAAATGAATGAAGAAGAGAGTTGGTGAGAATGCTACTCCAACATTTTGCTAGTTTGTTTTTAAAAATATGTGTCTACATCAGATCTTCCAATTCTGTTCTTAGAAAGAGAGGCTTGATGTTGGTGTAAAGTAATTAAACTATTAACAAATTAATAATATCTTTAAAATTACTCTCCACTGTCAATCCTGATTGAAAAAACTTACCGTTTTACAACAACTTCAACTGATTTTAAGTCAACATTATGCAATTAAATGCAGAATAAAAAGGTTGCAACCCTTGGTGTTACAGTATGATCAGAAGGGGGGGTTACTATTGGTAAATTTAGAGAGTATGCTAACTCTGTTAAGCCTAAAATCCAAGTTTCCTATGCCTATGATGTGGTCAAATCCTCATGGTTACTTGCTCTTAAACTCATCATCTGGTTGGGACCATGTGATGTTCAGAGTTGCGGCTTGAAAGCAGGTGTATTGATGGATGCCTGCTGATATCCAATAGCAACCATTATCTGGTGCAGAATGAGAATTTGTGTAACTGTCAAGTCAATGTAATGTTTTTGATACTATATTATTTGTGTGCTCATTCAGTTCCTTTTGTCAAGAACATAATCCACCCCTTTGCACCCTGCCATCTGCCTCCTACATTTAAAATCAACATTTGAGATTCCAGCTGATCATTTGTAAAGTAAAAGGAGTATAAAAGTTAAAACCCTGTACCAATAAGCCTTCTACTTAGCCTCATGTTATTTCCATTTTTTTGTTGAGGTATTGAATGCAATTGCGGTTTCTGCTTGTACTAGTGACAATGTGTTTTGTTTTAAGGTTTAGGTGTTGTCCTGTGCGGTTGTCACAATGGAAATAACAGAGAGGTACTTAGCAAATACTGTGACAAACCAATTTACAGAAAACAGAGTAACAACATTTGTCTTTACTCTGGAAGAGATGTTGGAGTCTGATTCCATACTCGGTATATGCCTTTACTAAAGTCTCAACAGTTCATGAGGATCATAACATCAGACCCCAGCACCTGCAGACAACTATTATAATAACGATTTCTACCATTATCATTTGCAATCTTAAGGTTATACTCAGTAATCAATTTTTATTGTTTGTTGATTTGTTTTCATGTCTATCCACATCACTTTTTTGGTCTCTACCTCTATCACACTACTCTGCCCAAACAGTCACAACTGATGGATGGATCCTGGTAGTTAGCTACTCGCCCATGACTGTGGCTCTAAGTGTTTATCCCTGCCAGTGTTTCAAAGTATTTGCTTTTTGTATTCTCATGGTAGGTCTTTACAATGTAAAGCTTCATTTGCTAAACTTAAAAATGGATTTATCTCTATAATAATACATATATTAGTAAATTTTTTAGGGGAGTGATGTCATTGATTGTATGGTAGACTGTAAAATAATTTGGCGATAACATTTGTCTTCTTTAGTATGTGTCTGTGTATTTCTTTCTTACCTAATAAGTGCTTCTGGCTTGCTCAGCTGGTTATTAGGGATACAGTTGTCCGTGGGATCCCTGTGAGGGCCACCCGAATTCCCTTTCCCCACTGCTAACTTGTGTTTCTTCTCATTCTTCCCCATAGAAGAGGAAGCTGATGAGGCAGAGGAGGGCACACTGCCATTGGTAGCATTATGGCCGCGGGGGGAGGAGTTGACTGTTGCTGCATTGCTGCTAGCATTTTTGTAGTTTTTGGAGGAGGAGGATGATGAGGATGAGCAGGAGGAATTGTTGTCCTCTTTAAGCAACAGGTTCTCTGTGCTGCCCAGCTCTGTCAGTCTCTTGTTGTTCATATGGTTCTCCATGTACTCCATCTCCTGGAGTTTAGAGTCCACTGACGATGGTAGGATGCTGTTGTGCTGCTTTTTAGCATCCCCGCCACTCCTTCCTTCTTTCCCTTTTTCTCTATATTCTAACTCCGGCATTGGTGCAGATGCCTTTTTATTTGCTGGAGCACCATTCTGTGATACTGGAGTTGTGTCCACTTCGGATATTCCTTTTGCTGCTGCTGCAGCTGCTGTATAAGGAAAAGAGAGGTTAAAGTGTATGTAGTCACTCTTTATGACTGATGTAATAAGGCAGAGATTTTATATCCTCCTTTACCACACGGCTATTCTTCATTTCTGAAGTATAACTTATGTACTGTGTACTTATAAGCAAGAAGTATGAAGATAAATATGTAGCAAAACTTGAGAGCTTGCAGGATTCGATGTGAGCACTTTTAAGTTGATAATCTGATAATCAGAGCTCGTCACTCACTTTCATCCAGCTGAGCTCTTTTTAACTCTGTGTCTCAGTGTCACAGACAAGTTGTATCCTCCAGCCTAGGTGGCCACATACTGTCACTTAGGTCAATCCTCAGTTTTCCACATGAATGAATCTCCTGCAGGTCAGTCTTTGACATGCGTCACCAGGGTATCTTGATCGTGATTGGTAATCCCAGTGCCAACATTCACTTGAGTTCTGAGATTTCTAACTCTCCCAAACAAGTGCTTGTAGGGACGAGCGCGTCAGACTTCATATCATTCACGCCTATGATCCACCCAATTTACGGCATTCGTCTGATAAATTTGTGCTATTGGCACCGCATCATTTGCGCCTGAGTAGAACGCATGACAAATGGCGTCTTTGCATTGACTTTACTTGTAATTCACTGGCATGAATGATTTCATTCCCACTTGATATGAATGTACTAAGTTGAAAATACTAGTGTGCAAAAAAATTTTTGAAGTAAAAATTTTCACTTACGAGTTTGAAAAGGTTCTTTAAGCTCTCCGATATAAAAAATTTTTGTGACATCAAATCCATCAAATGTGTGAAAATTATATAAAAAGGACAAACATTTTTCATTCAAGTTATAATTCTTTTTCTCAGATCCCATTTCACAAGTTTTCACATCAAACGCTGCAAGCTCTCAAGGTCTCCTACATATTTACTTTCACACAGGAACCAGCGTAGAAAGTTAAAAATAAGATTCTGGTGCTTGCTGCCTCTGATATGTAATTTATCATCCACAAATTTAACAAAATCCATGATAGATTGAATACTTTCCACTGTATTTAGTGATACTCAATACAAAATGTCATGCTTTTCTGACCAATGCCATCGTATGAACTTTTTGTTCTTGCACAAAAAAGTTAGTGTAAGAGTCAGATTTCAAAAACCAGAAACAATACTTGCAGCTCGTGAGTTTATGTTTGAGTGTGTTTGACTTTTACCTTCTTCTGCTTCCCTCTCTTGTCTCTGAAGCATTTGTTGCTCTGGGGGCAGAGCCTGTTGCAAAAGTTGCATGTAAAACTCGTTCTCCTTTTGCACCTCCTTCTGTTTCCGAAGGCGCATCTTATAGCTTACATAGCTCTTGAAGCCGAAGCCAAGTGTGACCACCGGATAACCAATGCTACAGAGATAAACATAACAACAAACTCAGGTGCATCTCTTTTTTATGGATCAAAATGAACATTTCATTATTAATTGGGGTGTTACAGGAATCTTTCCTCACAACATAGTATAGAGGGGTATTAGGGCCAAAACACTCCATTTAGAAAAACTCTCCTTATGGCCAGCGGGGGAGGAGCTGAGTGTCGTAAAACAACCAAATAATAATTTCTTGCATTCACTCAACATCCCTCCTGTAAATGCTCCGATTGTTGAGGGAACTTTCCTGTGTGCGCGATGGGCACAGTAAGGGCAAAACGAAAAAGCGTCATAAACTGCTCTGTACAACAAAGAGGAGGCTCAACTGTGTGTGGGAGGGGCGCATGAATAATGGTCAATAGTTTTTTTTAGCAGGTTCAAAAAATAATATTGATAGAAGGGGTTTAAGCTGTGGAAACCTACTAACTGTGAGGAAAGTTGTATATTCCTATAAATATTGTATATACATTAAGGTGATTTAAAATTATGAAGCCTACTTTGTCATCAACAACAATCAATAAACCATGAGATTCAACATTTAAGTGTCGTTTTAGAAAAGAAAGTAATGTAGGTGATGAGTTTATCTTGTCATGATTCTAATCTGGAATATTTTGAGGAAAGTCATCTTGACGTGGCTGCTACCCGAACCTGTGTACACCTGTGCATCAATTCATGATGAATCAGGATGATTGATAATTGATAACAGAATCAAGCTGGGAGACCAGTGACAATGTACAGTCCCTCTTGACATGTTTTTCTATTCAAACAAAATATCTGTGGCTCACCAGTGTGCTGCAAAAGGACGACATAGGTCCACATGGAAGTTCTTCAGGTCTTTGAATCTGATTGCAGCCTCTATGTACACAAAGAGTATCCATAGAGACACAGTGGGCAGACAGACTCCTCTTTCTGGAAGAAAAAAAAAAGGCAAAGATGTTACAAGTGGGGCATCAACATCAGTGTGTGAAACCTAAACTGCCCCCTTCATAGCAGCGTGGAATACAAGTTCAATCTTTATTCTGTGCAGTAAAAAGGCATATTTCTTTTATGACTGTCAGCAAGATCCCTGTGGCCTGAGGAATAGTATACACCACATAAAATGTATTCATGACAGTAAAATGGCTTAAGGCACTTAACATACTGTACACAAACCTCTAACAAATTGCGGAAAGAGAAAGACCTAACACATGACAGTGGTCAGGATAGAGATATTAGATGTTGTCTAAGACTGCAGTAAAACTAAGTCACTCTCAGCACCATGCTGTGCAGTGGAATACAACATTCATATGCATCTAACATCCCATGTTGATTTTCTTAGTAAAGTTGGAGGGCTTGGAGAGCAACAGGCTACTAAGTGTTACTCCCTCCCCCAACTCAAGAGTTAGATTTCAATCCGACACCTGGCCCATGGTCAACACAGGGGGATACCAATAAATCTGACTGACAACTAATCTTCTGAACACAGCTCAATTACAAGCACCATGCCAAATTCTAGGAAGCAAGCTAACTATTTGTAAATAAGATTACACAATGTGCATGGGTACAGCATAAACCTTTTCACACCTGCCTTTCCCTGTAGCGCCAACAGAAAGAATACTACATAACAGTGGTAGTTTTAAGAGTAACTGTGGTCCAAGACTTACTTAAACCCATGTAATTACTTCTCTTGATGTCTCATACTCAAATATAACAAAGGCTTTTTTTCCTTTCTTCTCATGGGTATGGCTTTTTCAACCTGAGCCCTATTTTCCTATGTGTTTGTGTGTGTTTGACTGTTGGGGGGGAACATTTGACTAGGTCTGAAATGGGTCCAGTATTGAGGGAGGGCAGAGCAGCCAGCAGCTGTGAAACAAGCTCAAAAGTACTTTGACTGGACTATGGCACATCGTCACTGTGTCCACTACGAGTGCTTCATTTTACCACCGACAGGCCCAGATTGTTATTACAAGTCCCGAGAATGGAACAGCAGGGGTTTCCCTTACCTTCCACTTGTGCCTGTTTGTGTACAACCAAATCTTATCGATGGAGATGTGTCGTTCTAATGTCTTAAGAGATCTTACTTGTTGCAGGAAGACAACAGAGGACACGTGAGTGACAATGGGAGAGTCAGACAGGCACCAAGACTGGACCAGAGTTTGTTTAAGAACAGTAACATAGCATAGTTTCTTTTTTAGAAACATGGATGAATATTTGCCTGATTTTGACAGCTTGGATGAGGTCTTTGAATAGGATGGCCGACTGTAATTACTGAGCCGATACCGGAGCATACTGATGAAGAGTTCCAACAAGCTGATCAGCAAACGAGGAGAGAGAGGAGGGCGAAACAGCTGATTCAAGGCCACGAAGCTTGGGAAAGTGGTGGTGTTACTATGAGTGCTGTGATCCACTGCCCACAGAGGAAGAATGTCTGTGTTGTGATGAGTGGGACCTGTTGATGGTGAACATCAGTGGTGTTGTGTCTGGAGGAGATACCTCGGACACACAATACTGTGTGACCACTTCAGAGAATTTATAATAACACTCTGAGCCTATCATTGGTAAAATAAAGCACTTGTAGGATGCAGTATAACGATGCATAGTTGCGTGATCAAATTATGCTGATTAATCTATTTTATTTAAATGTTCATTTCATTCATTAAAATCAAGATATTTTAATATACAGTACACACTTAAGTTCCATAATCTGCATGAAAGGGAGCTGACAGAAGAAAAATCTTAAAATCTCCCCTTTTTGCCCGAGGCGTCAAATCACAAAGAACTTAAATTAAAAAAAAAACAAAATAAGCAGCAAAATAGTAATAATAATAAAATTATTTTCAGCCAACACTAAAAGTCATGTTTCATTTTATAATATATATTATATTATCTGTGTAAAATGTGCAATGCTTTGTTATCTAATGAATCCTTTGCCTTATTTAACATAGCAATTGTTCTTGGTATTTTTACATTTATATCATTAATTTGTGGTTTCCAACTCAAATCCTCATCCAAGATGACACCCAAAAATGTTGTTTCCCTTACTCTATTATTTTCAATACCATCTATAATAACTGAGGCATACGGGCCTCTACTTCTGTTACTTAATATCATGAAATTTGTTTTTTTTTTTTTCAAGATTCAACAATGATTTATAGTCCTGGAGGCCCACTGCCCTGCATGTTTTGGATGTTTCCCTGCTCCAACACACCTGATTCAAATGATCAGCTCGTTATCAAGCTCTGCAATGGCTTAATAACGAGCTAATCATTTGAATCAGGTGTGTTGGAGCAGGGAAACATCTATTATTTTCAATACCATCTATAATAACTGAGGCATACGGGCCTCTACTTCTGTTACTTAATATCATTATTTTTTTTTTTTTTTTTCAAGATTCAACAATGATTTATTTGCATTAAACCATGTTTTCAGCTTGTTTGCAGCTAACAGCTGCTCCCTCAATACTGGACCAATTATAGAAATTTTGAAAATCCCCCATTACTCAGACACCCAAACACATGGGAAAATAGGGCCCAGGTTGAAAAATGCCAAATTCCCTTTTTAACAGAACCATTCAGAAACAAATTGGACATTTTTCATTCCTGATTAATGTGAGCCTTTTTGCAAAACACAAGTTAATTTCATCCATTTCTTCAACAAAGTATCAATATCAACAGTTACTGAGACACCTAAATAGTAGATAAATTACCTGTGTGCCAGACATACTGCACCCACACATAGGTACTGGCAGCGAAGAACAGCCATTGCACTGGGATGAAGAGGAGGCAAATGATGTCCGAGGTAAACGCAACACACACAAAGAATACTGAGAAGGCCTGTTGAGAAGAGGATGTGTGGTCACATTAATCAGCAATTTATATTGCAAAACAAATATACTAATTGCCTGGTTTAATCTGTTAGTCACTGCAAGTGTTCTATACTGCAAACTGTTTTTGTGATTCTTGTGTTTAACAAAGCCTGAAAGAGGGATTCCAGGATAAAAACCAATCCTTATGACGTTGAACCCCTGTTTACACAGGTATGCCCCTGCAGCTATTTTTTTTCTTAATAGGTTGATCTGATACCGTGTAATTTACCTAAATCATCAATGAAAATTGTACCATGAATAGTTTTAAGAATAAAATCAAAATTAAACATAAACTCTTCCTGCATCTCTTGGGGACTGAGGCACTCTAACAAACACAAACCATAACAAAGCATTTAATTAAAAACCACTACTCAGAATTGATCAACTCTTACAAAAAGAAACTATGATGGCTAAATATTTGCAAGAAATACATGATAAGTCCAGTAAAAGATTTATTTTGGTTTGCTCAGGTAGTGTTAACAGCTAATAAAATCAAAGAAATCAAGTTGCTGTAGAAAGGCAACAACGGTGGGGTCACTTAATCTTTGTGACAGCACAACTGCAATGAAGAATACCCTTAAATCTCTACATATCAGTTGGAGGGTAACCCCTTTAACCCTGTTCATATTTGTATCTAGTTCTCTATCTAATGTTTCATCTAAAGCAGTGGTTCTCAAGTCCAGTCCTGGAGGCCCACTGCCCTGCATGTTTTGGATGTTTCCCTGCTCCAACACACCTGATTCAAATGATCAGCTCGTTATCAAGCTCTGCAATGGCTTAATAACGAGCTAATCATTTGAATCAGGTGTGTTGGAGCAGGGAAACATCTAAAACATGCAAGACAGTGGGCCTCCAGGACTGGACTTGAGAACCACTGATCTAAAGGACACATGTTGAACCAAGAAAAGCCGAAAACACTGCTTCACCTAGCATCAGCAGCTGTATCACCGCCTTTATGACAGCATAACAAGTATAAGGATATTGCCACTCACCAGCCCCTGGTATCTAAAGGAGTCGTACACACTCCGGATGAAAAGCCAGAAAGGCCAGAGGTACTCAAATCTGAACTCCAGTACAAAATCTGCAAGTAGAACCAGGGCCCACACCACCAAGAACTTCAGGTACAGGAAGGTACTAAAGGAAAAAAAAACAGTCACAGGATGTTTAGAATTTGCCCTTAACAATTTTCTTCTCAGCTTTTGTGTTTGAAACTCCAAATGTGTGAAAATAGGCATTAATATTTCTGGAAAGGACTGCACTTAAGAGTTAGAATGTAGTGCTCACAAGATCCTAACGCAATGAGTCAAGACATCGCTTTACGATGGATCAGATCAGAATCAGAAACACTTGAATAATCCCCAGGGGGAAATTGCTTTTTGTCACAGTAACTCCAGTGCAAATAAAGTAGAAAGAGATTATTAATAGATAAAATAAGTAGAAATAAAGAGATAATATACAAGTTTATACACTTTATACAACACAAAATAGTAAAATAGTATGCATGTAGACCGTAAGCAGAGTCCAGATAAAGACTACTGACTGAGGGTGTCATAGTCTCTGAGGTTCAGTTCTGTTTACGGTCGACATTTTTTGTTGTTGTTTTAGCACTGGGACCCTTTAAAGCTCAGGTGTTTTGTGTTGTGGGCACTTACTTGAAAATGTAGGGGGGGTCGTCTATTTCTATGCCCAAATACCACATGTTTCACCCTTTTACTATTTGGTTTTCGCAAACGTGTCAGAGTTTAAACAGGGGGAAGACCTGGCAGTGGAGTGTGACAGCCCCTGTGTGGATGTGTAAACTATTGTTGCTGTCTGCTTGTCTCTCTTAATCTGCTTCTCGGGTACCGGGGTTACTGAGAGTGGGTGGGACATTCTCTCCTGCACACTGCTGGGCTGACCTAAAATATTGGTTATGTATATACTTCTCTTGTCCATCACTGGTCTTGTGGGTTTTGGTAGTGGGTTTTTGATCACTTGTTTGTTTGTAACTATAGATTTGTGGGTTTTGTCCTGGTGGTTTGGAGCCAGTGACTCCTATGGAGCCCCGACTTTATGGGGGGAATGTGACGGTCCTTGTGTGGATGTGTAAACTGGAGATGTGACATATCTGTCTGCTCTCTTTTGAGGTGCCTGGAGTGGCTCATTGAAATCTGCTCAGATGTGGAGCACCTGTGCCTGCTGCTCCAACTTCGACATTTTAACTTCCTGAGGCCTGTCCTTGCTCTCTTGCGGTACCTGTCTGGCCTTCTCTGCCCTGCCACTCGGCATCCTGCTCTGCTTGGCTGCCTGCAGATCATCATTCACATTTTCTTAAGTTACTTTTGGTAGTGCACTTCTCAACACCTCGCACCACACCATTCTTACACAACCACATCCACACTACTGATAATACAGACTAACACACCTCATACCTGTAGTTTTTCTTCGTTTCCTTTATTTCAAATTGTAAATAAATTTTGTTTGTTAATTCGTTCTCCCGTCCGTTTGTCATAGCCATTGAGCCTGGTTATGACAGGAGATAAACCTGTTAAAGACAACTCAGCTAACATCTTTCTCTACCTCATAACTACAATCTATCCTAACTTTACAGAGCCGCACTTTCCGAAATACAGCCTGAATGACTACTGTCAAGTTAGTTCATAGATGTTGATCTTAACCTATGCCGGATAGGTGCAGCGTATGTAGGGAAACGGGTGTCAAGTAGATAGCGCTGCTGTGACTCAGTGTTAGAGAGTACAAGTTACCTTAGCTAGCTTAAAGTGAAGCCGCTAATATGGTCGTAACTAGCAAATGACAATGGCGTTGGAATAGATAGATAATTATTGTGTTTATCTGAAGAAATAACACCAGGGTATTACAAGCGGTATCGTTGTACTGAGAAGGACGCTGTGATATGGTTCAAAACAGGCTGTATTGGGGCCTAACGCTACAGCTAGCTCCACATCCAGAGTCTCCAGCTAATGTAGCTACAACGAAAACATACTGCTAGCTTACACCTAGCTTTCATTAGCTATGTGCTACGTTAATGAGCTAACTTAGAGTGTCAGTTCATTGACATCAATGTTAACAAGAGAAAGTTTCGCGTTGCTGGGCATACAGGCCACGAGGATCCCCATTTAGCGACCCCCGTGATTATCAAGAGAACGATCCCGTCTCCAGACTTGATGTAGCTTACCTGCCGTAGATACCCTCAGTGATTCGGTTCCGTTTTAACGGCCGTCGGAGTTTGCTGCAGTCCGCATTGCGCCGCTTCATCCTCCTCCTCTTGGCTTTGGCCTTCGAGTAACCACTGTAATCTTATCCAGTTTTCTTGTGTAAACGGACAAAGATAATGAATGAAGTGGCTGTGGTATGTGTCTGCTGTTATTATTTTCCCCACTGGAAACAAAGAAATAAATAAAGGAGTCTATTCGGGAACCTCCTCCTTTCTGTTAGCGCAGACTCAATAAGCCTAAAGCGCGCTGTGTCGAAACGTCTACTTGATTGACAGCTGGTCTATCCAATCGAGCTATCCGCTGGAACATCTCTCATTGACGGATACAAGGATTGGCCATTTATTTAGCTCAGTAGTCGGTCGCCCAGCCCTCCTCCACCAACAGACAACAAGGGAACGAATGAAAGCGAGGGACGCGTTATATTTTTTTGTAGGGTGGTAGGGGAAGGTCCCGTCTCCTTCGCCTCTGATTGGCTAGAAAAGATGCACACGTCATCACACGCTCAAGCCAAACGCGGACTGTTTGCTCTATATATCGAACAGAACATTATCACACATCTGAATCTCCTAATACTAACCCTAATCCTAATCCTAACTCTAACCCTAACCGGTCAGACGATGACGTTTCACAGCCATAAGGAGTAACCAATCGGAAGCCAGCACTTCTAGCCAATCAGAGGCAAAGGAGGGCGGGACCTTCCCCTACCATCCTACAAAAAAGATCGCGCGAGGGACGCTTACGTCGCGCCGTTTAACTAATCGGAACACTGGGCAAAACGGGTATCGATGACTGACCAATCATTTGATCAAGGGGGCGGGTCCATACTGCATCAGTAAATTTGCTTCTGGGCTGAATCGCAAACAAGGGACAAAATTCCTCTCGTAGTTCGTACCTGGTGCTAAACATACCTTTCTTTAATTAAACGGCGGACATCAACGCCACAACACTCAATGGTTCATTGACATAGGCCCCTTTGTTGCACTGTGGTTCCCAAGCGAATTTGCCAAAATAAACGCGCACTCATGCCCGTGTTGGCCCCAAAACAATGGGGTGACAGCGGCTACAATATTTGCTCCTTTAGTGTAGGATTGTTCTGTGATGGGACAAAAGGGGCCCCCATTGCTGCTCTCTGTTATATCCCTAAAGGCATTTTGGAGGGTGGCTGAATTTATTCGATTTAAATAGGCTTCATGCGTTTTAAGATCGCCACACAACTGGAATCTTTCTGAAAAGCTGTGTTGATTAGTGTAATTGTTGCTGTTTGGCTGAAATGAAGAGTGTTTTTATATAGGAATAACCATAATAGACCTAAATCCATTTGAAACAAAAAATCTCTGACACGTCTTTTTGATTCCTGTGTATTTACTCGTGTATAGCAGACATTGAAAATAGAAAGCATGAATTGAATTGAACTGTATTGACGTTGCTCCATATCGATGAAGAAGATAAGAGTGGGGGGTGCACTCTATTAAAGCGCAGAGGGGAGCAGATGAGCGTTAGTTTTAAGAGAAGGGCCCAGAGTGTGATATGGCTCCTCGTTACGCACCAAGTCTTCGCTCACGTTTGGCACCTTTGTTGCTTTTACTGCAGTTGGTGTTCATTCTTATTTATGGCTTTTACACTGAGGTCAAAAGCAATGTAAAAGTTCGCGGGGATAACTTCTTCTGCTTCTACCCAAGTAAGTCAACCCTTCTTTTTTTCCCCGGGAGGTTGCAATGGATGTCAAAATGAAGACATGGTCTGTTTTAAATACTCATTCAAATAAAGGTTTGTGTGCTCAGTTGAGTCATTTACGCCATTAAACGGCCAAATGCAGTTTACAGACTCAGGGGTGTTACTGCTTGTTGTTACTGCTCGATGCTGATAAGCTCACATTTTATCGTGACGAAAAACCAGGTTGCCGTAGTGAGCCAAATCCAGAGAGTGACGGTTATTATATCTGACCAAGGCATGGGACAACTTTTGAGGAGAACCCTTTCTTTATTCTTGCAGACCTCCAGGATGTGACTGTTATGGTGTTCCTGGGTTTTGGATTCTTATACTCTTTCCCTGTGCGTTATGGTTTCAGTGGCTCTGGGTTCAACTTTCTTGTGGCTGTCATGGCCACCCAACTGGCTGTAATACTCAATGGGATTGAGTCCTGGTATTACAGTGGAAAGATCATAATAGATTTGAAAAGGTAGGCTATCAAATGATGCAATTATTTTGCTTCCCTTCTTTAATCTGCTGACTACACATTTGTTTAAACAAATGATCTCTTTGGAATGAATATGGCAAAATACAAGTAAACTGGGAAAGATTTACCAATATCAATACAATCATAAATTCCAAAGTAATATCTTTAATTCCTATACGTAAAAGTCCTTAGTATGAAAATGTTTTGTTTCAATTCAGCATTGTTGTTGATGAGATGTGTGCTGTATCGGCCCTGATTTCAATCGGAATAGTAATGGGGAAGACAAACCCTGTGCACCTTATACTCATTGCCATGCTTGAGGTATCAGGATTTGTCCTGAATAAATGGCTCCTCCGGACTCTGTTGAGGGTAAGCTTCTTACGAAAGTGTTTTATCAAATTTCCATACTTACAAGTTTCATGTAATTCATATAAAATTTGCCTATTCTGTCCTCTCACTATTGTAAATGGACTTACTATGTCTTTTTCACTCCAGGTACAACTCCCCAACAGCATTATGCAGCTTCACATCTTTGGGACCTTGTTTGGTCTTGTGCTGACTTGGATGTTGTATCGGACAGAATCTGAGCGACAATTTGAAAAAGAGAAATCTGATTGCAAAATGGGATTATTTTCTATGTTAGGTATGTTTATTCAGATGTTAGATTGGGTTTTGTGAAACACCATCACTATTATGGCTATCCTTCTACCTGGGCAAAAGCTAAAATCATTCATTGTCAATGCAGGATCTGACCTTAAACCTTTGTTCATTGGTCTACAGGGTCCATTTGCCTCTGGATCTTCTGGCCAAGTTTTAATTCAGCCCTTGTAAAAGATGGCGCTCTTGGGAGGAAGTTACAGGCTGTTTGCAGCACCTACCTGGCTCTGGCTGTGAGTGCTGTAACAGCAGCGGCTGTGTCTGTCCTCTCAAGTCCCAGGGGGAAACTGAACCTGGTATGATCTGGCACTTGATATTTCATATTCTGATCTGATGATCAGGTGTTTTAGGCTGGACAGACAAATGTTGTGAATACCTAAATTGCCAATAAAATGTCTAATCAATGATTTCTCTAAATACTCAAACTGATTTACGGCATTAAGGGGCATATATACAGTCTCTACACTCCTCTGTCAGATCCACATGCAGTCATGCATCCTTGCTGGTGGTGTTGCTGTTGGGGTTTCAATGACAGCGGTGCGTCAGCCATGGGAGGCCATGGCAATTGGATTCACAGCTGCAATTGTCTCAACCATTGGAGTCCGATATCTCAAGGTTTTGATCATCATACAAGCTCATATTTACTGTGAACAAAGAATGGAAACATATCAACTCATAAACTCTTATTTTCCAGATCCACATGCTTCTTGCATTTCAGTGCCACGACACATGTGCTGTCCTGAGCACACATGGACTTCCTAGTCTGCTGGGATGGGTAGCACATCTCCTTCTTCAACTTAAAGACTGTGCTGATCACACCATGTAAGAATGCACTTTACATGGAAAAAACATTCTATATGCATGAAGGTACAAAATGTGATGCAGCCTGTGTAATATGTCTTTTACTGGGCAGGGCAATCCGGTTCACCGTTTTTCACATTTGTACACTTCTCCTAACCATTGCGCTGAGTCTTTCCATGGGAATCATTACAGGTAGGTCTCTCAAGTGTGGTTTTAACTTACAGTACCCTGTGAAGAGTCATACAAGACAGCAAAAAGTTAACTTCAATTTTTTGTAGCCACAGAATACCATTGATAATGAAGTTTAATGCCAAATTTAAATACTTGATTTTGAGCTTTCAGCATTATGTCAAATACAGGAGTAAATGAATCTTATATTGCTCAGATACCATGTAAGTCAGTAACCCATGGATTAAATGTCCTAATTGCTCACACTTTTCTCCGTTCAAAGGGCTTTTAGTTAAATCAAACTTCTGGAGACCACCTCAAGACAAGAAATGTTTCGATGATCAGGCCTATTGGGAGGTATTCAATCACCACATTATCTTCTTATAGACAAATAAATATAACTTTAAATAATTAGCATTTCAGTGTTAAAGGTGCAGTGTGTAGTATCTAGAAGCATTTGGTGAAACCTGGTTGAAATGGTGTATAATGTATGTTTAAATTAGCACAATAATACCTGAACATAAAATAACATATTCTATATTTACCGACAAGCCCTTTATCTAAATATGAAGCAGATCCCTTTTCATAGACGTTGCCATCTGACACCACGTTTTTACAGTAGCCAAGATGGAAGAGACTATTAACAGCCATACACATTTTTGTATTTCATCTTGTGGCTGCTAGAAGTGCATGGGTTGGAAGAGATTATTTGTGCAGAATTGATTTTATGGATGAGCTTTTATTGTAAAAACTTGACAATTGGAAGATCATATTTAAGATATTACTTTATTGATGCCTAGATGGGAAATTCAGTTGTTGCAGCCACATAGACATGGTCAGAACTCCCCCAGATTATAAATAAAACTTGAATAGTTTAAAAAGACACAAGTATGTTTGTGAGTGTTTATACTAAAAGGGAAATCTGTGGGATAAAGTGTCATGGCATGATACTATAAATATAAAGTGATATTTGCATGCGTCACTGCAGCTTATATTCAGGAACCACAGTCATGCTTCTTTACATGGTATTTCAAAGAAAATAACTAAACTCATTATGCAGTACTCAAATAATTTTCTGTTTTTCAGTTTCCACATCTTGCAGTGCGCAAGTAGAGCATGAAGGAGGGCCTGATGACATAGGCTTCAAACTCTTGGCTTGGATTTTCATTTATCAGTATTTTTGAATAAAAAATACAATTTTCTGTCGTAAAAATTTCATATTTTTATGCATGCAAAATTACATGAATGGTAAAGATGAACCTTGGCTTAAGGCTAACACTGTGCATATGGATTTAGACTGTACCAGGGAGAATACAAAAAAATTATCTAGGTTAATAAGAAATTAAGAAGAACAGTCATAGACATTAATGCCCCACAAAATGTATTGTACCACAATAATTTATTTTAATTTTCTCAGTGAGAAACAGCTTCAAATTAAAGACAGTCATATAGTTAAGTATACCCAAAGAAAATGTGGCCAGTTCAGACAGGAAAAGTTCCCAAAAATAACTTTCTTATACACAAGTAGTAAACTGTTATAGTTTCTTGGCTATGCAATCTTAGTGCAAATGAACACATTGCAGATGTCTCACACTCGAAAAGATCACACGTTCAAACAATCAGTGAAAAGCTATGCTAAGTTGTGACTTGACCATTTACCTCAAACAATTTAAAATGTACAGGCCAATTTGAAAGCTATGAAAACATTTCATAAAGTGAATAATCACTAAAGCATATTGTTTAGTACATTGCAGAAAGCAGAGTGTATAAACTGAGTGCATGAAGACATACTGAATCCGTTACTGCCAGAGATCCTCTGTACGTCCAAACTTGAAGACCAAACCCCTATTCAGAAGAAAGGAAGATAGTCAAAAAACTTTTGACAAAAATACTTGTGTTCATGTGTGAGCATCTGTTAAAAGTACAGTATTGCTTAAAAACATTAACTTACCCAAAGAAAATAAAAGCGTTTTGGAAGAATATGGCAATGCCAGGGTACACAGGAGGTTTTTCTGCAAAAAAAAAAATAAAGCAAATTACAAAGTGAGGTATAATGACACAAGCTAAAACTGCAGCTGAGAAGCTGTACAAGACTAAAATGTCTAATATTTCGCTAGCTTCATGCAGCAAATTTCAGTGATGTTACTCCCTATGTCTTTGAACTTAAACATTTTGGAATCAAAGACAACATACTTCTTTGTTGCTTAGCTTCCGTAAATACTCAATGTCACACTTGTTGGTCCTATCTGTACTGTGTTGGTAATTTCTTTTGTTTTCAGTGCAGGGCGTTTTTGTGCTCAAGTGAGCATTTTGCGAGTGCTCTGACAGTGTGTGGATCAACAATGATCTGGAAAACAACAAAGTCTGTTAGGCAGACTGGGACTGCTGTTAAGCTACTGGGATGAAATTGTCTGCTGAAAGCTTGGTTGTTGAATTAGTTTGGTTGTTAGCATTAGTTGCATCCTTCAAAAAACACTTTCAGGCAGTTGTTGCCGTACAGATGGCAGCACTTGTTGAAGGTCTTAAGCATTTAAACCTTTGTCAAAACTTATAACCGTTTGCGTTTTCCCTTAGACTTTTTAGAAATTGGATTTTGTGTTGCATTTAAGAGTGGTTTTCTTGGTTGATTCCTTACTTTGAGAAGCAGTAGGGGTTAGCTGCCTTTTTTTAGTACCTATTTTGTCTTATTTATGTTAAGTGAGGCAGGTAGAATGTCGTTTTGATCTATCTGTTTCATACAGGGTAAGCTGTGTTTTAAAAAGAGTTAACTTGTTAAGGCTTTGGTTCACCCATATGTATTGTTTCACTTGGTTCTGTGATTATTGTATTTTACTATTTGTATTATGTAAATAAATCATTTTTGTTCACAACTGTTAAATTATTACGGCTTGTGGTTTGGGAACTGGGAAGAAAATATCATAACTCTGGTTCACACTTACTCTCTTAGCCGGATGCTACCACACCGTTAAAAAATTCTACTGCAAAGTCAGTGCAACTTAAGTCAAATCGTGTCATGCAAACAGGACTTACGAGGCACAACAAATCCTCCAAACAGAATCCACATGGAGGCAATGAGAGAGCCAAATGCCAGCATGAAGCCGATGAAGAGCCACACTCGAGCTCCTGAAAACAGTAACAAGACACAGCTACTGGGTGATTCCAGAGTTTCTCTTTCACTGCTGACTCATTGAGCTAATACAAAATGAAAGGACGATTACTAGATGGAGAACCTACACTTTGGTGAAGAAATATACAAGTATTTGTTGTTGGTAAGTGTATTAAGATATTACCATGTTCACTATGTTGTTAAACACTCACCAGTCTGTCCCATGCAGCCTTCACTGTAGCTGTCTCCTCTTACCTGGCCATTTGAAACAGCATTTATCCTAATTTTGTTGAAACGAAAGAAAATAAAAGAGCCACAAAGAATTAAACTTTTACCTGGTGATGGACATCATAGTAATAATAATAAAAAAAGAGGTTTACATGCCCGTTAGATTGCAAGACCCATATGAGGCATTATGCAGGTCTCAAATGCACAGATGTACATTGTTTTGGACAAACGCATCTGCTAGATGATATTGTAGCATCGTAAGAAACTATTGTAAATACCAAAGTAAGGGATGTAACTGTTATCAGGATCTAGTGTGTAAATATGACTGACCAAAAAATGACACCACAATGTCAACTTTTTACCAAGCTTTCAGGTCACGTTTTAAGGTAACAGAAGAACAGTGCCATCTCTGTGATTAATGAGGAATTTTACACGGCAAGGGATACATGGCAAAGGAGTTGTTGCTTCGGGTTAAGGCACCACAAAATAGTTGTACCACGGGATTGCCTGCTTTTTCAAACTGAAGAATGTGTCTTATATCAATATCTCTGTCTTACATGAGAAAGGCCACTGTAGCAATGACTCCACAGGTGTGATACGCATGATGGAACTGTCCCTCATCTGGGTATTTCACTGCGGCATCAATGATGATCCACCAACCAGTGAAGAACTGCAAAATGAGATCAGAGTAAGCATGAAGACTTTAATGACAAGTATGAAACAGTTATACCACTTGAAGCAGATTCATGTACAGACCCATCTCCCCTTGAGAGAGAATTAAATCTATCCCTACCAGAACTCCAGCAGCAATAGATGCGATGGTGTTTCTCCTCTCACCCCAGTCCACATTGCACTCGCAATCTCCGCACCGGATTCCGTCTAGAAAACCTGACATGACTGTAGAAAAGGACGTGAAATCAACCAGAGCATGCGAAGATTACATCATGAACTTGATAGACGCAAACTGTCATCAAGACGATGAACAATAGTTTTAAATAAACCTCGCATTCAAGTTCTACAACATCTGGTGTTAGAAGAACTCTGTAAAAGAGTGCACACCGTAGAAGTGCGTAGGATCGTCGGAATGTTACTGTAAATGTGATGTTCAACCCTGTCGTATACCACGTACGGTGTAATTATTTTCTTTAAATTCTTTTTTGATAATGTTTAGTGACATCTCTTCGACTATATTCCTGTCGAGTTATTAGGTTACAGTTAAAAACACAAAGCGTAGTTACATGGAAGATATTCAGTGTTGACGTTCAGTAGAAGCCTATTGTTCACAGCTCTGGCACTAGCAAACATTTCCTCAAAGACTTTTGATGACAACAAACACGCCTTAGTACAACCGTAACGCATACGACAACGATCTTACATTGCGAAAACTAACTCCCACACAACATAACTATATTATATTGTCGTTTTCAAATGATTTCTTACCTTTTATTTTCGATTATTTGAAGTAGACCCCCTGGATAAAACCGATTTAGCCTACAAGAAAGCTTGGTCATGCACATGCGCAGTTAGTCCACACCCATTTGCTGAGGGTGAGTGTTGCATTCAAGTGTCGAGAACAAAATAAGAATGCGTTAAACGGAGGAGTTAGACGTCAAACAATGGCATCTGTCAAATACCGCCATCAAAACTTGATATTCCATGTTATACAAAACGTGACTTCTAAGTAATTGCGCTCTTCATGATCGCATTTATTGCACCACTGTCCTGTAGGCTACATAAAAGTTAAATGTGTTGTTCAAGCTTGTGCATAGTATGTGCATCATCTTTTGTTTTTTGGTAACATTTCATGTTTCATGTTTGTACATAGAAGTTTACCTGAGTCAAATTCCTTGTTTGTGTACACATACTTGGCCAATAAAGTTGATTCTGACTTAAAGAGATAAGTTGATGTTTTTATTTAGTTGGCTGTTTACACTGATAGTAATAGAATATAAAGTATCCTAATCTTCAACAAGATTGCAGGATTGTGTTTAGCTTTAAATTGTCCCTCTGACAGTTTCATAGCAGCTTTACATGATTTACAGTCTAACAAATCTTTGACATATCTGCTGTCTTTGAAAACCCTCCTTTTAGCGTCTGTCTGGGATGCAACATTGAAGACAATGGCTCTTTAGGCCCATCCGTCATTCTAGAAACCTCCTTCACTGTTGCCATGCAATGAATTTGTGCCTCTTTTTATAAAGTGTAAAATTTGCCCTTTTAAGAAGAGTCACTGTCTGGTGGTACAAGAACTTTGTTTACCCCCAAAGGGATATTAACCTGATAAACAGCAGATAGACCAAGTTATGATCTGACCTGCTCAATGGTGGTAAGACAGTAGCTCTGTAAGCTTCTTAAATTTGGCATACAGCAAATCAAAGGTTTTTGTTTTTTCTAGTAGGACAGTTAATTAACTGTGTAAATCCAGTCAAGTGAGAAGAGCGGGTGACATGGATGAAGTCACCTGATATTATCACAAGTGCCTCAGAATGTTGAGTCCATATCCTAGCAACAGTATCATGGAGAACATCACAAGGAACGTCAACAGTCGCTTTTGGTGGGATGTATACAAGCATTGTTATGGTATCACTGAACTGTTCAGTATCTTAATAATGCCATGAGCTGAGCAAATCTCACATTGGTTTTGCTAAACTCTCATGTGACTTTTTGAACAAGTCATTCAGACCACCCTGTAGTCTCATCTGGGGATTACTTCAACACACATGAACCTTGCCTCAGGGTCATCTGTAGTACTGATACCCAACATTTTGACTTGACATTTGCTACCAAAAAAAGGGGGAAAGAGGAAATTACAAGCTTAACAGCAACTCACTGAGAAAAGTCATTGATGAAAAATTGGTTCACTACAAAGTGAAAACAGTTTACTTTGTACTGACTGTGAAAAGATTACCTGAGTATGCTTGACCCCACAAATACAGATCAATGTGAATTGAAAACAAAAAAATCATCTCATTAATATTAATGTTTAATTAAGAGAGGGTGCCTTCCAATCCAATGAAGCTAAAAAAAATGCTTGAAAAATGCTTGAAGCACTTTTTTTATTGGTCCATAAAGGAAAGCATGATCTTAGATTCATTACATCTTTAAAAATAAACAGTGGAACATTTGATTGATGGTTTATTTCTCAAGATGTCCAAAAGGCAATCTTTTTGTGCAATCATTTTGCTTCACATTCCAAAGATATGTGCCTAAAACATCATGTGTGAGTCACATGGAGCTTTAAAGCCTGTTGTTAACCCTTTTTGGTATTACAGAGCATATGCTGTATTTGCAACATCAGTTTTATCACCACATTTATTGAAAATATAAAGAAAAAGAGGTAGTGGTCCCTAAATTATGATTTTGCATAACAAAATCAGTGTCACATGTTGTATCACTGCTATGAAAATTTTCTAAAAATAAGCCAGTGCACTGAAAAAACTCTTCAGACTGATAGTGATTGGACATGGCAGTTCATTTAAAAGAATCCAAGTAACTGCAAGGCCACAGATATGGAGAGAATGATGACCCCAAAATATCCGATGTAGCCATATGCACCATTCATTCTTTTGGCTGGATCTGAAACAAAACACACAGACAGACAATAAAAACTTTAATGAGGCAGAATTTGAAAACAAACTAAAAAAAGATGAATACAACATCACACAATACACTGACAATTGTATTTCTTTTTATACTGACAATGATCTAAAAACATAACCCCGCTGATGTGCATCACCTGTCCCTCTTTAAGCTTAAACCCATTTTTAAGGTACCAAACGGAGCAACATAGTGGGGGTGAAGTTTTGGCAGTAGACTACACCTGATTTGTATCCTATGTCCTCTCTATGAATCAATGTCATCAGTTAGAGTTCATGGTAAAATAAACTGTACTGTTATGGGTTAAGACTGATAGCAGTAATACTGGTCAGTGCAAGAACATTTGGTCAAAGGTTGGAAAACAACCTTTGACCAGCTGAAACTTGCCATTAAATGTTTGTCTTGTTTTTAATTGTAGTATGTCAGTCCAGTCCTGTAAAAACCCTAAGTCTCACCAGTACAGTTGTTGAGCTGTATTTAGGTACAACATTTTATGCACAACATGCAATACCTCCATGTTAGTTACACATCAGTCTTACCTCCAGTGTAGTATCCCCAGGCATATGAAAACCTGCTGGTGACCCAGATGACCCCGAGCACTGAGGCTGATAACTAAAGTTTGCACAAGAAAATAGAAAAAAAATAGAGAAATACGGATGAGGCAGTCCGGTCAAACGGTCTTTAGCCTTGTGAAAATGACTTGTTCGTATGATTATGTAAGTGTATTTAAAAAAGGACAATACCGGGTAAACTAGAGCTGCAATGGTCTGGAAAACAAGCCACTGTGGGTACACCTCCAGTGTGTTCTGGTGTGCTCTCTGGATACAGTTGAACACTTGCTCCTTGTCACTGTACATAGTGGGGTACTGCGAGTCAAAACATCACGCAAATTAGTCAGTCACAAACGCTAGAATCTATTCCGTAACTTTTTGACCACCTACCTTCACATCGAACTTCTTCCTAGCAGCCCCAACTTTAACACCTAAATAACACAGCATGATCCAGCTGTAAAGGTAAGTAAAGATGGCGTATCCAAAGTTGGACGGCAAAACAGCAAGGGCGTCCATGGTGCACACAATATTTCTGAATGCGACAAAATTGCCAAGTATGCGTGCACACCACACGTTTGGTAATATACCAATGGAGCCCCGGACAGGAAGTAAAAAGCTAAACACGAGTAGTTACATAACTATCGCGAGATCGCTCGACCACTAGGTCAAAGGCAATTGTATGATAATTTTTTCCCCCACACACCTCCACGTTGCCAGTAGTTTGCACAGATAATTTAAGTCTTAAGTATACTACACTAATACAATCACCAAGTCGGCAGCAGAATTGACTTGCTTCATTTTGAAACCGTTGTGAAGGTGTAGTTAAATAACAATTGCAACAAACTATAAGGTGACTGAAATTCTATGGGTGAAATTGGAAACGTCTTTCCTTCGCAGCTCTCCGTTTTAATCTAAAGAAGCACAATTCTTGTCCTCTAAGACATCAGCGCCATGATATTGTGTAGCTGCACAGAACCATACTGGAGAGACTAGGACGTTTATTCCAATTATGTTATGTTGTTACACATCCGATACATTAGGTGGCGGCATGCACCTCAAACGGTTTATAGCCCATCAATAAAACAAAAAAGAAGAAGCGCGTTAGAGCAACACGTAACTGGGGAATGAAAAAGTTAATCAGGAAATAGACATGGTAGTTACACTCATAGACATAATAATTATTATTTATAATAATTGGTTACACTTTCCAAAACACAAGTTAATGTATTATAAAGAGTCACACTTTAGAAATATGGCAAGAAAACTGGAATATAGCTGATACAGGGCGACATCTGTACAATATCCAAAAACATGTTGGCAGAATTGCCACGCAGGGCAGATACATAAAGGAGGAGACAGTATTTACCCGTCTAAGAATTGGGCATACAGGACTCAAGCAGAACCTGTATTTGATAAGAAAACATTCAATAGGACATTGTGATTACTGTTAGACAGTAGAAACAGTAAAACATGTACTCATTGATTGTGTCAAACATACACAGAAAAGGCAACAGGTTAGTCACCAACTTGAAAAAGAAAATCTGGATCACACCGTTAGGGCCAGCATCTGAAAAAGTATTCAAGGCATTAATTAAGTATTTAAGGGAGACTGGCTTATTGTACAGAGTTTAATTTTGGAGCTTAGTGAGTATATTTACAGTTGAAACCAGAAGTTTACATACACTATATAAAAAGGCACATAACCTTTTTGTCCTCACTGTCTTATATTAAATCAGATTAAATTTTTCCTGTTTTTGGTCAATTAGGATTACCAAAATTAGAGACAGAATTTTTTTTAAACATTTTTTTTATTATTTTCCCCGAGAGTCAAAAGTTTAAATACATTTCATTAGTATTTGGTAGCTGCCTTTAAATTGTATGACTTGGGTCAAATGCTTTGGATATGCTTCCACAAGCTTCTCACAATAGTTTGCAGGAATTTTGGCCCATTTTTCCTGACAGAACTGGTTTTACTGAGCCAAGTTTTTAGGCCACCTTGAATTTACATGCCTTTTCATTTCTGCCCATAAATTTTCAATAGGATTGAGATCAGGGCTTTGTGATGGCCACTTCAAAACATTGACCTTGTTATCCTTACACCACTTTGTAACCAGTTTGGCAGTATGCTTAGAATCACTATCCATTTGGAAAACCCATTTGCACCCAAGCTTTAACTTCCTGGCTGATGTCTTGAGATGTTGCTTCAGTATTTCCACATAATGTTCTTTCCTCATGATGCCAGTATACCAGTCCCTCTTGCTGCGAAACAACCCCACAACATCATGCTGCCACCCCCATATTTCAAAGTTGGGATGGTGTTTTCAGGCTTTCAAGCTTCCCCTTTTTTCCTCCGAATGTAACAATGGTCATTATGGCCAAAAAGTTCTATTTTAGTTTCATCAAACCACAGGACATGTCTTCAAAAATTAAGGTCTTTATTCCTGTGTGCATACGCAAACTGTAATCTGGCTTTTTATGTTTCTTTTGGAGTCATGACTTCTTCCTGGAAGAGTGGCCTTGCAGCCCATGTCAGTACAGGACTCTTTTCACTGTTGAGAACGACACACTCTTACCTGCTTCAGCCAGCATCTTCACAAGGGCTTTTGCTGTTGTTCTTGGATTGATATTCACAGTTCAGACCAAAGCATGTTCATCTCTTGGACACATAACCCACACATAATCCATCTCCTATTTGCATACAATAGTTTGAACGGATGAAAGTTGCACCTTCAGGCATCTAGAAATTGCACTCAAGGATGAACCAGACTTGTGTAGGTCCACAATTCTTTTCCTGATATCTTGGCAGATTTCTTTTGATTTTTTTGCCATGATGTTACACAAAGAAGCAGTGTGTTTCAGGTGTGCCCTAAAAGACATTCACAGGTGTGCCTCTAATTAACTCAAATGCTGTCAATAAACCTATCAGAGGCTTCCAAAGACATGATATCATCTGGCCTCTCCCAAATTGTGTAAAGGTAAAGTCATCTTAGTGTATGTAAACTTTGACATTTGAGAAAGTAATAAAAAATTGTCTAAAATATTCTCTTTCTTATTATTCTGGCATTTAGCAAATAAAATAATTTTGGTAATCCAAACCGAAACCAAAAACAGGAAAATTTTAATCTGATTTAATGTTAGACGGTGGGAAAAAAGGTTATGTGCCCTTTTATATAGTGTATGTAAACTTCAGGTTTCAACAGTATGTATAGGCATATATCGTTTTTTCCCCCTGCTTAATCTGTGCCACATTCCAATCCAGTAGGTGGCGGTAATGCTCCTTTAACTGGTTGCCAACCGCCAATCAAACGAAGAAGAAGAAGACCACGTGCGTGGAATTTTCCAGAGGCTACTAAACTCGCTGTGCGACCATTTCCGCGTCATCTAGAGTGTCGACGACGAATCTCGCGTAGAGAGCTGTATCACCATTTAAACAAAGTATAACTACAAAGATCCTAGCACGAAATTTTGCTTCCTTTGAGTGAGTAAAATTCCGCTTCGTGAATCGTCTTTGTCGGCGATATCAGAACAGAGGTTAAGAGCTTCTATCCACACGGTAAGGAGTTTAACATTTATTTAATTCAGTCAACCTAAACGATATGGGTTATATTTGTCGTTGTTTATGTCATAAAGTGGTTCATGAAGTTGGTTTTAATGAATATTCAAATTAATGGTTGAAGTCAGGAAGAGTACCGACAAAAATCCGAGGCTGGCTTTGTTGTCCTGGTTGCGTCATGGTGGAAATTTCCAGCTCTCTCTGGTCAGCCATTGTAGTTACACAACAGCGCTTCTCTTGCTTCAAAACAAACACGCATTAACAACCACGGGCCTTCACATTTTATTGCCTCGTCTTCAAAACATGAAGGACGCACTGTTACTTAGTTTTAATTGCGTAAATTTGACGTCCAGAATGTTTATGCTGATTTTTCTCTTCTATTTCAGGTCGTATTTCAGTACATAAACTGTGGCAAAGGAACAACCCTCACTGTCTAAAATGGCACATACCCGTCGGACCAGTGGCGTTGATGTGGTATTTGACAAGAACAGCCTTGCTACATTTCATTCACGCTCAAGCTCGAATAGCAGCTGTGAAAGTGACCGCTCTTCAGACTCTTTAGGCCAGCGAAGGAGACGAGCCAGATCTTCATCTTTCTCTTCTTCATCTTCAACCAGCAGCAGAACCTCCTCGCGGTCCAGGTCCCGCTCTCACCCCCGTTGCCACAGGCGTTCCTCCCGCTGCCGCTGTGACAGTTCTCGAAGATCGGGCCTTGGCAGATACTCCCGTTCCCCTCCACGACGCCAAAGGGCACATTCTCGCTCACACAGCCGGTCAGCCCATGTGAGACCCAACCGGGACCATTCAAAGTCTTCCAGGCGCTGGAACAGGAGCAGGTACAGTAGGCCTGCAAGTGGGTTTTCCAGAACATACAGGAGCCGGTCGAGATCCCCAGCGCGCTCAGTCAGTTTGAGTTTGGATGGTAAGTAACTTGCATGAAGCGGTCAAAGTTTTTTATCACTGACAGAAGATGATGTTTAGATTCTCTCACAAACATATCTGTCCCACTGATAAAAAGGATAGGCCACAGATATTTGATGGAAAAATACTAAATGTTGCCTATGTTCCCCAGATAAAAAGGAACTCCTTGAGGCTGCTAAGGTCAACGCTATGAAGATCCTAGGAGTGGAAAATCTGGAACTTCCTGAAAGTGTTCAACCAACCCTGTCAGAGCAGTCTGGGTCTGAACAGGAGTCACCTGAGCCAGGGACAAGAGTTCCACAGCTCCATACAGAGAGTTTTTCGCAGGTAAGAGTCCCAGTGATAATGTAAGCTTCACATGAAACACTCCACACACCAAAGATGAGTAATAGAATTGAGAGTCCCCCTCTGTTTGACTGAATAGCAGTATATGACAAACACTGATGGAATTTAAGCAAGAACCAAAGTTTACTTTAACACTTGTGCTATACAGTCTACTAGTCATGAATGAATTTTAACGATAGTTTAGAACAAGTAAAGCCTAATTGCCAGTTGAAAAGCTTGAGGTGTATGTTATTGAATGTTCTGTGTTGTTTTAACCTATGGACCCCTGCGGGAACACACATGCTCTTTGTATTTATCCCTGTCTTCATAGATAACATGACAGTGATCTTCATCACTCAGCGGCACCTGGGATTAAAGGGCTGTCATGTGACTTGGGTGACGCCATTATGTGTTTGTGTTCAAGGTTAATTAATACACTCTTACAATGTTCAGTATGTTCAGTTTATTGACAATTGTACTTAAATCTTTCCACATTTTCAGCATACTGCACATAGTATCTATATATTTTTAACTCTTATTTATGCAGAAGCCATAAAAAAATTGAAACTTTAAGTGTGTTTGTGCTGTCAGTTGAAATGGGTCATTGTTATTTAGCAGAGTCCTCCAAATGCCGATGGTGTGCAGGGATGTGGACTGCGTTATAGTGACTTTTCCTGTCAAGAGTGCTTAAAACAGATGAAGAACTCTTCTCTCTTTGCCAAAGATAAGTTGGTACACGGGCCATGTGCTGTGGGACTGGGACACCTACGTCACCATCATTCTGTCACTGTAGAAAGAGAATGCATCCTTTTCTTGCAATGTTGTGTTAGTTTTGTTTCAGGCTTCAATTTTTCTTTGTAACAAAGAAAAATTGAAGCCATCATCTATGAACTTGACTTCCTGTAAAAGTTCACCTTAAACTTTGTTAGCTTGTCTGACTAAATCTGTTTTCTCTTGTCTTTGAAACAGAACAATGATGAGGAGCCTGATTTTGTGCCTAGCCCAAGACTATCTCTCAGAGGGAAAATTTCTTTCAGCATTAATGTAAGTGTCCAAAATGGTTCCTGATCTCCGTATCTTTTATTGTGATAAATCAAATCAGAAATCAAGCATTTGAATGATTTGTTGGTAAAACTTTTTTCTCCTATTTTTCTATTAGAATTCCGTGGTCAAACCAACAGCAATTGCTCCATCTACTTCCAAGGTGACCCACAGAGCGGACAGCTATGAAAGCAGGAAGCCCTACGGCCACTGGGTTCCAGTTAAATTAAGCAGGAAAAAAAATGCACGCAGATATTGAACTGCTGTGTCACACTAGTGTGGCAAAATAAATGTACCACTGTAAATACTGTAAATGTTTTGTACAAATATTTAAAGATTTGACAATTTTTCCTTTCAGATGTTAGATGGGGAGAAGTGAAGAATTCATTCAGGTGGGATTGTTTTTCCACTTTTTGTGTTTTTCATTGATTACAATAAAGACATCTATTCGAAAAAGTGACGCCATCCTGTATTTTTCTGGTTTAAAGTCTTATACATCAATATACTTTATTGATCCCAAACTGGGAAATTCTTTGAATTCAGAGAATTTCCCAGTTTGGGATCAATAAAGTATACATCTCTAATGTGCTGTTGATTGATCCAGATTTTAATAAGCAAATACTAAGTTTTGGACCTACAATCCAATGAAGGCTCTGTTATATTCCTTTGGCGCTCAATGTAAAACATCTAATGACTTGGCTACCTGTAAAATACCCCTAAAGGGCATCCAATATGTATGATTTCCAAAATACCACACAACGTGACACAACTCAGGAAGAAATGGGCCTGATTCAATTCATAGTTACAACAGCCTACACAAAATACACTGCTTAAAATTACAGTTTATTTTTGGTTTTGACAAGACAATGCATCATCTATTTTAACTGACTTGGGAAAAAAGGTACAGTTTTAGGAAAAAGATGCCATAACTGAGTTTCAAGAATAAATAAGATAAAATAACCCTGAGATATATCAGTGTCTATAATTTTATACATTCATTTTATTAGTGATAATAGTCCCTCCAATGCAACAATATCCCTGATGACCACATGGTGTCAGTATAGACCAAAAATGGCAGCTGTGAGTTTCAAGAAGAAATGAACACTCCTAATAAATCAGCCTGGACCTGTAGTTGTTCAAAGTTTTCTTAATGACAAAATTCTAATCTGATATCGTGCCAATGCCAGACTATCAAATTAGACTGATACCTTTGTGCTACTTGTAACATTTCTGCCAGAGGAGTGGTAAAGTCCTAAATCAACCTGTGAAAACGGGTTTCATGTCTCCTGACCACATCTCCTGCTGTAAGTCTGATTGATCATTTTGAAATAAATAAGACATGCAAACACCGACAGTAAGAATTAAGTACAGGAAATACAAGTGCTAGGGTACTGTTTACTGGCTTCACATGAAAATCATCGATGGGCATATTAATTAAGTGTAGTACAAGTTTTTTTCTACCTTGTATTTTACAAAGAATTGCTGCTCAGTTATTCTCATATTTTTGAGACGACAAACTCTTCTGCTCACCAAATTATTTATATAGACTTTGCATTAAGTTTACCGGGTTTTATATCACCCACTTTAAATTACAAGGGAACACTAAGTGGTACTTGGCTCTGAAATAATCAAAACTGTCGATGCAATATAGTTCCTGAAAAAACTCTTGAGCCAATTTCTGCTGGACATTCAAAGACCAACAAAAAAATCAATATCAGAAATCCAAATACCACATCCACTTCTCAACTCATATAGAAGAAAGGCAGATATCTACCACAACTTGTGGATGACAAACATGTGAGCTTTTGCATTGAACTTTAAAGATAACCAATGGACTTAGTTTGAGGATTGCCATGCATGTGTAGAATACTAGAGAATAAGACTTGGAATAAATTGACATGATTTATTTCATTTTTGGGCTGCGTTCCTGCAGAGGGTGCACTGCTCCTGTGTTCTAAAAGCTGAATTCAAGGGTGTGAAACTTGCATGAGAACCGGTTTCCATGTCTTCCCCAGTCACAAGGCTTTCCTTCTCATGTCTCAGCTTGAGGCAAGGAGGTTTAAAGGAGATGTAGATCACAGACAAAAAGTAAACTGCTCATTGAAAATGTGCGTTTGTATCTCTTGAAGCACCCACACTTTTATACTTCTGATGAGCACATTTCTTTTGAATATTGAACCACACACATAGAGCATAGATGACTGGATAATAAGAGGTGGTTTATTGAAAAAAAAAAATATATTGTAATTGTACAAAAAGTCCACATTACTTTTACAAACTATTGAATGATGTTTAAGCTGAAGATTACCTTGTTATAATATTAAATAGTTCCCTTACAACACGGAGCAAATTTTTGTATATATGCATAAAGAAATAAAAGCTGCATCTAAGCTTTCTAAATGACAGCACAGCTGGACCAACATCTTCAATATATCATAAAGGTGACATGACCCATCAGACAGCAGTGCCTCTCTCCAAGTTCTGTTTGATCTCTGCTGTGTATTTGCCATAGAAACGCTCAGCCTTTTTATTGAACTTGGCGTTCCTCTCGTTAATGTAGTCGATGTCTGCGTCATCGTTGTAGGCCCTGCGTCGGCTGTATTTGGCTCGCTTCTCAATCCTGTAAATAACAAATAAAAAATAGCTTAGGGTGAATTTTTCAAACCAGTATCTGCCACATCCTCTGTCATATCTAATAAAGAATGGTTTTATTAATAATCGGGCATTAAATCTGGCTTGGAGACTGATCATTAAAAACTGTCAATTTGTATTCACCATGTCTTCAAGATGTGAAACTTTCTCAAATATAGAACAGTTTATGGAAAGAGCATGGCAATAAAAAGTGAAGAGTAATGCTGGGGCTGAATAGAGGACTCTAGTGTGTCTTAAATAAGGGTTTGCCAAACTATACAGCCCCACTCACCCAACTTCTTTAAACAAATCATGGTATGATTTATTGCCGTAGCCAATCTTGACAAGCCCAGTAATTCTCTTTTTCTCCACCAGTGCTCACTTTGGTGTTCTGCCTTTGCCATTACGTCCGTGCCAAGAACACCAGGCCAACACTGAACTTTAGTCATGTAAGGCCAGGCTTTTATAAGCCTCACACTTGCTTTTTTTTTTTTAAATCAAGTGAATGGAAAATGAAATCATTTATTAGAATACAATGAAGTATAAACCTTGGTAAAGGTTAATAAGGAACAAATATTAAGATAAAAGTTAAATGTAAGTAAATTATTTATTGGTTATAGTTGGTGCCTCTTCTAGCAAATATGTGTTCAGATTAAAAAAGCAAGGCGGAATGCAATCCTCAATGTATTTATATCCAACATGAATGCTGTAAAATCTTGGTCAATGACATACCATGGAGAACCACCTGTCTGTGTTTGTGGTAGTCCTCAGTTTCACTGGTGATTGTAAGTTTCACATGGTCTCTATTATGGCTTTCTTCAGCTGAGACTGATTTGACTGTGATTATATTTGTTTAAATAACAAAATCTTTGTAGATTTGTACAAAGAAAAAACTGCAAGCCAAGTCAGGTCTGCCTACAAATGAAGAAAATAACTTTAACAGTGCTCCTGGATCATTTCTGTTGCAGAGAAGACAGAGCCTAGTCGATTTGTTGCTCAAGTTCGGAAGTTTCATGTTTTCTATACAGACTGTGTTTCTCGGGTCTGAAAATTCTGAACCTCTATAAATGCAGTTAAATTTCATTCCTTTGAAAATAATCATTTCTATTGTTTTGAGGTAATTTAGGCTGGTACTACACATATATGCTTATAGCAACATTAAATAAATGGCCAGTGGTCAGGAGAGCATGTCTGTTTTTGAGTATGACTTACTGTTTCTCAACATCCTCTGCCATGCGGTCAATGCCGTCCTTTGTGGGAACATGGGTACCGTAGATTAGGCTATTAGACGTGGGATGGAAGTCCTCACCACTGTAGAGCACCAGTGAATTGATTAGTAAAGCACAACCACAGATAATCACAATTTTAGCACACTTAAAGGGCCTTTTCTTTTTCATCATTTCAATTATGGACATCTCAGTGAGAGATAATGCTGCTGCTTCAGGGCAAACTGTGTTGGTGCATCCGTCACGGTTCTACTGGGTCAGCCGTCAAGCAGAAAACCTACAGGCATCAAATTCTTTAACAGTGTTCAAGGAATCTTAAGTCTCAATGACTTTTGAGGAGTTAGAAGCTGTATAAACAGCAACCCCAAGGCAACAAAGGGGTAACATACAGAAAAGGCTTTATGCACACATGATGGATAAACTCAGACATGATAATTGGCTGAAAATTTCACAGTTTTACCCTTAAAAGCAGGATGTCCTCATCATTTTATGCCCCTCTAGGAAAACAAGAAAAAACTACCAGAAGTAAATTCCTCCAAAGTTGTTTATAAACCCGGAAAAAGAACTGTATTGAACCTTACATGGTGTAGCATGGTGGTAAAGGATGATGGGACAAAAGCTTAACTCACCATTCTTCCCTCTGCCTCTCGTAGCTTTCCAAGTCTGGTCTGATTTGCTTGGTGAGCCTCTGGTACTGTCGCAATTGAGCCTCAGCATAACCTGCAGTTCATTGTGTGAGAAGGAGTGAAAATTCAACGGCGTTATGATTACCCATGCACAACAAGAGGGTGTAAGGCCCAGCAATCTACATATGGTCAGGAAAGCAAAACTCTTCTTTCCTTCCATCCTTCAACTCCCTGTGCAGATAAATTTTCCCAGAGATTCCGGATTCAAGGTCGATTTTAATGCCAGATTGACAGTCGCAAAAAGGTGATTAAGGATTTTGAATTTTAAAAATACTTTTTGAGGGCAGTTTCTAAATTCCTGCTATATCTAGGTACAGATGCTTTTTAATGAAATAACTGATACATTTCTACATTGCACTGACATCCACATTACATACATCTACACTGCATTGACATTACTACATTTGGTACAAAGTGTTTTTTTCATAAACAATCTACAACAAGTGTCAATCACTGGATGTTGCCCCTTACTTTGAACAAAGTGCATGCAGTCTGTGTGTCACATCACAAAAAATTTAAACATGTGTGCAACAAAACTGCCACCCAAGACATCCTCTGCAAATGCATGATTGTAAAAAAAAGGATTTTAAAACCACTGTATCCCTTTTCGTCCGGTTGTGCATTGACATTGAGCACACATTAGGACCACCAAGGGTACAATAGTTTTTGGTTTTAGTGTAGACATCTCCAGTATAAGTCACCTATAGGTAGGCTATCGTTTCATGAATTCTTTCACTTAAAAAAAAAAAATTAACTTTCTTCACTCAAGCTGCACATAGGGGAACACTTATGTTTCTTCTAACTAAAGGTTTTTCAACCAACCTGCAAATCCTGTATCCGGGTTCTTCTTCTTTTTCTTTCTTTCCCACCGCTCTGCATCGTCGGCGGTGATTTCCAGCAGTTTTACTCTGTCATAATCCTCCCCTCTGGCAGCACAGTCCTGAAAGCCAAAGAGTAATTCAATTAATACGAGGAAGAATGTGTCTGAATACTTTAATTGATATTTTATAAGTAATGTAAGCACTCATAAGAAATCCAGGATCTTGTACATGTTAACTTCCTTTGATTCTACAAACATGTCCAGCTAAATGTACAGATGGCTGTATTATTTTTCTTCTTCATATCTATTTCTGCTGGGATATTATTTGTTTATTTACTATAGCTGTATTTTGCACCAGGCAGGACTGCTTAAATTTGGCTGTATTTGTATTCTGACAATAAAAGAATCTGAATCTGAATAATGAGATCCAGCCATATATTGGGAGGCAGCCAACTAGATATTGATGCACTCTGCCTTTGATAAGTTGTTAAATGGTCCTGTTTACATATTTCAACAGAGGTTATATATTGCTTAGTTACTGTGACTACGTTTTTGTATGTTAGTTGATAAGATGTTGACATAATGTTAGTATATAGTGTACAGAGGAAGTAAGACATACGAAGTACCTTTTTCATTTGATCCACGGCAAGCTCCCACTCTAGCCGGGCTTTCTTGGCCTCCCAGTTGGACGGGAGTTTCAGTCTCTTGTCCTCCTCCACAACTTCCTGGTGATTAAGTTTACGTGCTTCATTCTGCAGTGAAATAAAGCCAAATAAAAACATCATTTTGATTTCAAAACAGCCGTTTGCAACACTGACTCGCGATCTCTGGGGGTGGGTGACATGCTGATTTGTTGCATTAGTATGACATTAAAACTGTCAGTGCTTCATGGACTGTCTACCTCAACCAGGTAGAGTAAACAAGGGTAAAATACTCACTCTCTTAAAATGTAACTCTCTGAATTTACGAAGTCTGTCTTCTCTCTTCTGGGAGGGAAGAGTTTCAGTCCGCTCTTCTGCCTCAGTGACGGCAGCAGACTCCTAGAAAAAGACAGTTACTTAGTCCACATGTGACATGAAACGAAACTATTCGACGGGATTATTTTACAAACAAAACAAATTTCAACGCATCTGGTAGATATGATTATCGAAGGGAGATTAAAAAGTAATTTCTTATGACCTGCGACGACATAAACTAATCTAGCCCCCGCTAGCAACAGTTAGCTGCGTACAACGATTTAGATTAACGGTCAACTAAACGTCAAGAAAATACAGAATGAAAGTCTTCATTGGTATGCTATGTCGATGACAGATACCAAAATACTTTTATAAACACAAACTCCGGTACACGAGGTGATCTGGTACAAAAAAACACAGACAAAATACTTACTTGGCTAGACGACGCCATTGTTTAGCTTCAACCCCGAGCTCAGCCGGAAGTGACACATAACACCGGATACGACGAAGACGGAAACGTTACTAATTAGCCGACATTTCTAGCTATATTATTATTATTATTATTATTATTATTATTATTATTATTATTATTATTATTATTATTATTATTATTATTATTATTTCTTATATATTATTATTATTATTATTATTATTATTATGTTTTTTTTAATACTGTCTGCCTTTTTATTATCTCGAGCCAGTCTTCCCATTTCAAGAGTACCCAGATGCAGCGCAAAGATGGCGGACCCAAAGATTTTTTTTTTTCCTCTTATATTCTTTGCGCTGCAGCTGTCTTCCTCTCCCTCCAGGATGCACGCATGCGTACTTTGCGCAAGCTTGACGCTCAACAGACTAGTGAACCAATACGAATCTGATCCAAACAGCTAAATATGGCGCAGTTCACATACAGCAAACTGTCTCATTTACTGAGAATATCTAGTAATAAGGGCTCTATTTTACGAACAGGAACAGAGATGAAACACGGACATGCGTGCTGTCTGCAGTTCATACGCTGCCAGGTATGTTTTCTGTATTTGTTAGTTCACAGACCTTCAGTTTAGCTCACGAGCAGCTTTACGATAACGTCAAGTTTAACAACATGCGAAAAGTAAACCGGAAATGTGTTATGATCAGGTAGATTGCTTGAATAATTAGTGAAACATGCCCAACGAATTTATTTGAATACAATGGATAAAAATAATTATGTCTTTTCCTTCTTGTAACTGTTACGTTTTAACTCGTGTCATTCGCTCTTATTAAGAAGTAGTTTAAAGGTGACAGCTTTATTTTGAAAAGTCAACCGGAAGTGTATGCTGTAATCTCTTATACCCAACTGCTTATTGACTGCTAACTCATTCACAAACTGTCAAATAAATGGACTATCTGTGACTGTTCGTTTCTATTTTTCCATTATGTATATTTCAAAACTTTGTGGGTAATTCTGGATATTGTGAAATTTTCCAAAAGTGGGCCGGAAATTGATATTAATTGCTGCATTTACACTGTTTGTAAAGCGTTTATTAACCGCATTTCCTGTCAAATTAAGTCTTTTGTGGTATATTTTCAAATTATTTGACAGATTCTTTAAAGTACAGCGAGTAGTTTCAGTGTTACTATAGCAAAACCCTGTCTTTCTAAAACCTACAATAAGTTACTTTCACATATTAGATAAAGAAACAGCATTAATTTAGATAGATAGATAGATAGATAGATAGATAGATAGATAGATAGATAGATAGACTGTATTGATCCCAAACTGGGAAATTCTCATGTTACAACAGCAATAAAAACACAACATAAAATTCAAGTTACTTAAATTAAATATACGAAGTATGTACAATGCAGACTAAATATATACGATAAATACAGACTAAATATACTAAACATTCAAGAGAAAAAAGTGACATATAGGTCATTTAGGTTTACCTACTAGATCCTAGCAAAGTCAGGTGATATTTTTTTAATTTAGGGGTTTAATCTGTTTTATTCTTGTCCACAGCGGTCTGTGGACAGTAAGGCATTACAGGAGAGGCAGCAGCAGCACATGGCAAGAGGACTCCCTAAACAGAAGCCAATCACAGGGGTCAAACAGGTCATTGTTGTGGCTTCAGGGAAAGGCGGTGTAGGAAAGTCCACCACTGCAGGTACAGCCACATGTTCCTGGTGAGAATTAAAGACTGTTTGATTTTCTTATCTTCCCACAGCTTCAACGGTCCTTAAGAATCTTTAAGCTGAGATGAGCAAAGTATAAAGTGTGGTAACATCGTTCAGTTTCACATAAATGATATGTAGAAAAACAGAATGAGGTTTAAAAAAACCTACCAAATGTATTGGTGTACCAAAGTATTTCTTTATTGTTAATAACTTTTAGGTGTTTACTGTCTGTTTTGGTCTCTCTGCAGTTAATTTGGCTCTTGGATTAATGGCCAACAACCCAGTAAGGACTTGCATTTGCTTTTAGTTATTTATTTGCATTGTTTGTCTTTTTCTTTTCTCCTTTCTATGTTCTTAAAAAAGGCACTTATACCATTTCAGAACTTCAAAAAGCACAGAACTTTTTTTCTCACATCAGACTGTTAAGTAATTACTGTGAAATAGCTGAAGTTCATTTTTATCTATGTAGAACTATGTTCTCTGGAGGATTGACATTCAGCTGGTGTCTTGCTGATGACTCAGATCATTTCAAACCGTTATGGACAGATAGAGAACCTCATTTTCACTGGCTATGAAGAAACAGTGTGGTAAAGATTACTGAGTCTGTGTCTCTTCTCTTTCCCTCAGTCTAAGTCAGTCGGCCTGTTGGACGCCGACGTCTATGGTCCATCCATTCCCAAATTGATGAACCTTAAGGGAAATCCAGATCTAAGTGACAGTATGACACATTTTTACCTTCCCCTCTGGTTTTCCCCTGACCATCATCTTGGGTTGTTTTGTATTTATTGACTGAAGTGTTTTTCTCCTCCTCGCAGACAATCTGATGATCCCACTTACCAACTATGGGATTCCTTGGTGAGTCCTTCCAGTTAGAACATTGTTTTCACTCTCAAACTCTTCATGTTGGGGAAAATTGAAATAATAGCCTGTTGTGCTGTCTGTTCTGACCCTCTCCCATTGTCTCTCAGCATGTCGATGGGTTTCCTTGTGGAGGACATGGCTCCCATTGTGTGGAGGGGGCTGATGGTGATGTCGGCTATAGAGAAACTGCTCAGACAGGTGAGATGAGTTTAGAAAGTGATAGTCACAGTGTGAAAATGCACTGCTGAGGTAGGGCAACAAGTCTGATTTGATATAGGTGCATGAAGGTTGTGTTTGATTGTAGGTGGACTGGGGGTCGTTGGACTATCTAGTAGTTGACATGCCTCCGGGTACAGGAGATGTCCAACTGTCGATCTCACAGAACATCCCAGTTGCAGGTTAGTCCCACAAACACACACACACACACACACACACACACACACACACACACACACACACACACACACTGAGCTATTTTTAACAAGAGTGTTTTTGATTCTTATCATTTTATATGAACTGCATCCAGTGCAGTCCACTAACTAGATACAATAAACTTGTGCTATTTTGTTTTGTTAGGTGCGGTCATTGTGTCGACACCACAGGACATCGCCCTGCTAGATGCTCACAGAGGAGCTGAGATGTTCAAGAAAGTTAATGTGCCGGTAATTTCTCTGTGCATGGCATTGAAAATCCAAAAAAGACATGAGACATCATCTGTAACACCTGCTGTTATATGTTAAATGGGTTTACAGACCCAAACTATTTTTTCTTATCTGTGTGGGGTCCCAGGCACACAAATTATTTTTGCCTTTTCTTCTTGTTTCTTATGGAGTTTTACAGAAAATCGGTCTTTATAGATGCAAATAGCACTCTGTTAGACGTTTAAAATAGCTACTTTGTTCAAGACAGTTCATGTACCTGAATCTCTGTGCATATTTGTCAGTAAATAAAATTCCCACCATGATTTAAAGACCTGTTGGAGCCAAAACTAAATAGATCACGAAGTACTGTACTGTTTTTTTTTTGTGGGTCACAAACAAATATAGGTTGTTTTTTTCTACCTTCAAAGGGATGTTAGCCCACACACTTATATAAGCTGGTTTTTCTCGTCCTTGGAGGTCACATACAGACGTAGGTTTTTTTGATTCTATGAGGACACACACTTGTATTATATCTTTGGGCTTACTTATGTTTAATGTGACTATAACTGTATGCATCTATAGATTTAAAGATTAGAGTAACAAGAGGTTAAAAACATCCTGGTTGGTGTTCCTGCAGGTTCTTGGTCTAGTTCAGAACATGAGCGTCTTCCAGTGTCCTAACTGCAGTCACCAGACTCACATCTTCGGCTCTGATGGGGCTCGGCAGCTCGCGGACACTCTGGGGGTCAAATTCTTAGGTAAGTACCTTCAGCCACAGTCTGTGTAAATTCTAGTCTTATTTAGTTTAAACATACTGGAATAACTTTTCATCTTTATTCACATTTAACAATCATTTTGACTAATTTTCTCATTCATGTGATTTATCCCTTCTGTGTCTATCCAGGTGACATTCCTCTTTACCTAAACATCAGAGAGATGTCAGACAGAGGGACTCCAGTGGTTGTCTCGTCCCCAGATAGCCCAGAGGTCTCTAGCATGTCCACTTCTATACGTTATCATTCTACAACACTTGTATTTTTGTTTTTTCTGTTGTATTATATTTTGTATTTTAAGTGCTATGTGTGTGTTTGCATTCACTCTCTAGGCCGAGGCATACAAGAAGGTTGCATCTGTTGTCGTCCAGAGACTCGAGGAAGTCAACGCCTAATGAACAGCTTCTCAGAAAGTCAGCCAACAGACTGGGATGAAGCAAAAAAAGACACAACGGCATCAGATTTATGCATAGGAAGACAAAGATATTCATAAAACACATAAAAAACAGAAACGCACAAACTTCTTCTCTGTCGTAACACACAAAGAGTCAAACCCATAGCACTGATCGCAGCAGCGCAGTAATGTACTGTATTCAGGTCAAAAGTCCGGCTATACCACATAGGCCCACACACACACACACACACACACACACACACACTGTCTTTCAATCCTTTTCACACACACACACACACACACACACACACACACACACACACACACACACACAGAGGGACTCCCTATTTTGGATTGTCCTCCAGGGGGTGCTGTGTATCCAGATAGGATGTTTTATCTGGTTGGTGTGTTTTTCAGAAGCAGACACACAGTCGCCTCACGGATGCAGCTCACCCTGCTGCGAAAAGACCTCAGATCAACTGCACTCCGCTTGACCTATTTCAACATATTCACAGCGTTATTGTTGCCTTATTTGACATTTATATGAAGCCTTAAACTGAGATATTCTCCTTTGGTCCTGCGCTGCATCTAAACCTGACTCCCTGACACAAAAACCAGTGCAGATGTCTCTATCTCTGTTTTATCGACAGCTGTTTGAGACAAAACCACATGGCTGGGTTTCCAGCCACCTCTGAGACAGCTGCTGCATCATTTACACACGGCGGTGTCGCTTGTTTGTCGCCCATTTGGACAGGATTAATTTCAGATATGATTAATCTGATGCTAGAGATTGATGCTTGCGGCAGGGAAGGCTGGTCGGTCTGTATGCGTTTCCTCATATTGGCTTGCTTTCTCGAGACAGGCCATTTCATTGCATCACAACCCGACATTTTCCACTCAAATAGACAACAAATGAAATGTCCCTGCGATGTACAAGGCTTCTGCCTGCTGTGGAAGAGCTCTGGGCTTTTTCTCTGTTTTCCTCTTTTAATATATCTTTATATATTTCTTTTCCGATTTCTTATCGTCTCTTTACATTACACTACACTTTTTCTTCATCTCTGGCTCTTTCCTCCCTCTCATGCAGTCTCCCTGCATGAAAGTTTCCTGGTGTTCTGTAAATTAGGCTGAAAACCGAAGATTAACCTCTGGTGATGAGTTGCTATCCTAATGCAGTAAACCCATAGACTGTATATAATATATATAGACTGCTGCTGCCCGGTGTTTACGGTAAATAGACGCAAACACCGACCAAGCGGACGCTTCGGTCTCCGAAAACGCCGAGACAAATTTACAAACAGCCACTATTTCAAACAACTGGGCTCATACTCGTGATGTAAACACTTACTTTCTCGCTAGAAAAAATATTACTACTGAATGAATTTATATAATTTGTCCGGAATGCAGTCGTTCTGTGTAGCTTGTGGTAGGACTATTTAAATTTTCCCGGCGCTGCGTCCGGCCGGCACGAAATGCATTCTGGGGTATTTAGTATGCGTCTGTATGTAAACGCTCGGGCGGCCGCGGCATACTCAAATCATCTTTGAGTAGTCAGTAGGCAGTAGCTACTGCTTGAGTAGGTAAGTAGATAGTAGGCAGTATGCCATTTCGGACACAGCCCAAGAGTACCCAACTGCAGCCCAAGATGGCGGACCCAAAAGATGAACTTCCGCGATGAACTTCCGCAATACTCACTCAGAATTACCTCCGATTGGCGGACCCAAAAGATGAACTTCCGCAATTACCTCCGATAGGCTTTGCGATGCCAGAACAGTAGGTGGCGGTATGCACCTAAACTTTCTTGCGGCAAAATTTACAGAAGAAGAACTTTCAGGAAGTTTGAAAATAGCAAGCCGTCCGCATTCATTCAATCTCACCTCCGACCCACTCAAACTAACCCTAACCCTGCATTCCATTGTTTCCATCATGGGAAATCTAAGTGACGCTCTCAAATTAACAGGAACATTGCGCAGAAGATATGTCCTGGGCAATGGACTGAGAAAACGGGCAGAGATTTGGAGGTATTTGTGCATGCTCTATATTACAGTTGAAAAGTGTATAACAGCTTTCCAATGCTGTTACTTGTGGCGAACACCTTTTTGCTTCAGTTGACGCGTGCCCGCAGGTGGAATAATGTCACATGTCACACCGTCCATATTTTCTGTTGTTTTGATTTATTTACTCATTCATCATTTTATGTAAGACAAAGACACAAGACCACTTCACACGGTCAAAAAACTGTTCGGCTTCCCAGGTGTGCGCACCTGTCCTAATCAACCCACCCATTAAATAGACAGGCACAATAGCACCATCTGCTGGCACAAAAAATACATAACAATAAACTGCAAAACCCCAATCTGGCTCCTACAAAGTGTATGTGACAAGATGATTAACGTTTGCTTTCGTTAAATCAGGGCTTCCCCAGCCAGGACTTCGGCTCAGACTGTGGCATATTCATGTTGATGGTAGGTCATAACGAGCTGTAATGCACAAATATTGTATCTAGAATAACTTTCCAACATGGACTTTTTTAAAGTTATCTCACATGTTGTCTCATAATTTTTTTTTTTAAGTCTGCCATGTACATCGTTATGGAGTCACAGTTTGACTACTCAGTTGTAAGTACTTTTCAGCACGCAGTGTCATCCTCAAGATTGTATTTTGTATTGTGCACTAAAATGAAATACAAACAACAATTTCAGCATGACATGCCTGTTTTGCGGCGATGGTGGTGCCTGTTGCTCCTGGAGAACAATTCTTTGAACAGGTAGACAGTTTAAGTAAACTAGATGTCCTAATTAACTGGAAGACAATCAATATATTGTACTTAAAGATATATTGTCATTACAGTTGTGGGAAAATCTTCGCCCACTGGACCAAAGAATGTCAAGAGCTCATTGCTGGAAAGCATACTCCGGTCTTCAGTCTAAAGAGGAAGGCAGAGCAGCAGGACATAGAGGTTAGAAAATTGCCTTCTAAAAACAGTATTATCTCAGTGGGAGTCCTTCAAAATGCACACAGTTGTATGGATCAACATTGTCTCGATGTATTTGGTAATTGATGTTACTTTTCAAATTGCCTTGTCAAGGAAACCATGACGCAGACGGCATCGGATGTCCAAAGAATGTGCATGGCAGATTCAATGCAATTCTGTGTCTACCAGACATCGAACAACACAGGAGAGAGGTGTGTTGCAGACTCAATTTAATAAATGCAATTATCGGGGCCTATTCAGTGATTTTCCATGAAGTGACCACTTTTACATATAGTTTAAATGCACAAATCATGCGAGAAAATTATTTATACATTCAAATGTGCTGCAGAGGTATAATCAATTGGACAGCGTGTTTGTTTAATATTATGTTTGTCTCTCATTTGATCAGATTGCTTTACCCTGAGGTAAACGTCATAAAATGGGTCCAGTGCAAGACGTGCAGGGGCTGGCTGCATCAGGATTGTGCTGGGATTGAAATGGAGCCGTTTGACTGCGGGTGCGAGGACTCCATTGAGCATCCTCGGTATAACATAATTTATCAAGGAAACATAGTATCAGTCAAAAATACGAGGCTCAAAGGATGAAAAAATGAGGGCTTGCTCTTTTTCTTATTTCTCTGCAGGATCAAGGATGCTGTTGACAGTGGAGGAATTCATGCTGTCTTTTCTAAAACACAGATCAAGGTTGCTTTTGAATGCACTATCAGTTGTTAAAGCCACCGTTTCTTTTTCAGATGATTACATTTTTGTCTCTTGCTCTTTGGTTTCAGACATTACATGATGATCTACTCTCTGGAAAGATCCGCTCCAACAGAATGTTCCTTTGGAGGAATCCCGCCACCTCACTCTGACTAAAGCAGCATCTTAAGATAAGGACACTAAGTTGGAGTGAGCAGCGCGTAAGTAAAAATGCCATCCATCATGAGTATTTTTACTCTCAGGGGTGTTACATTTGAAAGGTGTTTACTTTCTGTGTTTTTCTTCAATAGATGTTCGAGCTCCTGCGGTTCATTGAGGAGGCAACAACCATTTCTGAAAAAATCAAGAGAGGCGAGATTCATCTGCTTGATTTTGTTTTTGATGTCACGCTCCCAGAGGTGAGTAGATCAAACTATATAGCTTGCTTTGAAAATTGATGATATTGTTAAGAAGTTGTTCTTATTCATTTGGAAAGCTCAAGAACAACAATTAACCCATACTGCATAACTTCAATTGTTCACATTATTTGACTGTTTTTCAGCTTTTGATCAAAGCACTTAAGGAGCATGGCATCACCCGGTTAAGAGCAGAGCAGATGATGGCCTGTGGCAACATATTTCAAGCCCCCCACCACACCGACGGCAGTGCTCTGAATTATGTTTATAATATATTTTTTTTTTACTGTTCACAATTTTTTTTGGAAAACATTAAAGAAATCTTCGAAGCAGTTGTATGACAATTTCCCATTTCTTTACACAGTCTGTAATGATATCGCTATTCAATTGTTTTTGCTATATGGCTCTTCTGAACCTTAAAGAGATCATGTGACTTGTGTCTCTACAACTATTGTATACTTGGATTTTGCACAGTCAAGCAATCCTGAAGAGGTTCACCAGGAAGCACACCATTTCATAAATTATGTCCCTGGTTACACAATGTTACTAAAGGATGGGGGGAAAAATATGTGCAGCAACATAAGCACTCTCATAAAACATAATTATGAACAACAGAAAATATGTGAGGGTCAGGGCAACATTGTTGACATTAAACGAGGTCCTAATAGGAGTGGAGAAACAAGGTCACAGAGAAGTTAAGAAACATTGATGTGCTGTGTAATAAAGCTATTGGAGAGAGAAGTTAGAAAACACTCTTATATGATGTGTAACGAGAGGTTAAAACAGTCCATACTTGTAGCAAACTCTTACATAAGAATTTGAGTAAGATGATAACTTCTATATACATTTATACCTATTCTGACAAATTATCAGAATATGAGGACATCAGTCTATATATACATATTACTGTAAACTTCAGAATTAAATCAGAACAAAACAGTAGTCATAATTAATACATAAACGTTTTATTTTGATTTTTAGCTCAATAATAAATTTAATTCGATTCTTATGGAATGAACGGAGCGAAAAAAAAGGATCCGGCGACTAAATCCGACTACCTGAAGCATTTCGGCACCGGAAGTCCGCCAACGAGAAAGCCTATCCACCGGAAGTAATTGTTTTGGGTCCGCCAATCGGAGGTAATGCGGAAATTTATTGCGTTTTTTCATCGCGTTTTTTCATCTTTGGGTCCGCCATCTTTGCGCTGCAGCTGGCTTCCTCTCTCCCATTTTCCTCTCACCTGTAACATCAAAAAGTCGTTCTTCCGTTTACAGGACAGTTTTCCTCCTTTTTTATTCTGTAATTCCGATATAGTTGTGCGTCAGAATCCCAGGAGATTAGTACTTTCTAAAGTATTCAGACTAGCCTGTCTGGCACCAAAAACTAAGCCACGTTTAAATCCTGTAAAGATACTTTCCTCCCCATTGTAATGCTCAGTTTGAACTTGAGCAATTAGTCTTGACCACGTCTACATGCCTAAATGCATTAAGCGGCTGCCACCTGATTGGCTGATTAGCTATTTGCGCAAACAAGCAACTGAAGTGGTGTACATTAACCAGACTTTTTCAGATATCTGCAAGAGACAATTAAATAATATATATGGGTTTTCTAAAGATGAGTTTGTGATCAGCCCTTATTGGGAGAAAATTAACAAATGTACAAAAGCTGATTTATTTGTCATGGCTACATTGTATGATGTCCTTGTTGTCTACAACTTGGACATCATAAAATGGGGTCGTAATATTTCAGGAATGTATATTACATTCCGCGTTTTTCTTTGGTCTGAAGAAGAGAAGGTGGAAGTGTTTTTCTTTTTCTTTTTTGATAATGATAATGTGATAGTTATTAATTATTATAATATTTGCAGTATCACTCAATTTCATTATCAATTTCTGTCATACCATTGTGGATTTAAACCTACTAAGGAATTTGAAGAAATTTCTCTTTATATAGATAGTATTAGTAGAGGATTGACACCATACTGACTATACACAAAATTTAAAAGGAAATTGAGGAAAAGTTTCGCAGAATATTTCCTGTTTTTCTCGGACAAAGTTGTGTTACAAAATGAAAAAATAGTAAATTTTTAATTTGTCTTCTGATTTAGGCTACTCAATTTACACTGAATCATTTTACACGGTACTGACATTTAGGAGGTTCTGAACCCAAAGACGCAAAGCCTTTGCGGTAACATACTTCTTATAATTGACAAATAAGGGGTTGTCAGGACTTTTTATTTTTCACCAAAACTTTGTGGACAAATAGGTACATGTGATCACAGTTTAACCGTTCAATCACAAGAACTCTTGGTAATTTATTCTTATGTTCTGTTGTGCTAAATAAACCTATTTGTCATGGCCCTGGAGGAAAAAAAAGTATTTGTCTGGCAACTTTTACTTACAGTAATGTCTTTGTGTGTGAGTTTGAACCAGGCTTTCTCACTTTCTTTTGATGTTGAAACTAACCCAAAAATATTGCTACTCTGGAAACTGGCACGATGCACTAACTAACAGCAATTAGAAATATGGCTGGAGGTTACAGAAAAAAAATGCATGAAAGGTCAAGCATAATATCATAAGTGTACCACATAAAGAGTCTGTTTTGACTCCACTGAGCTCAATTATGATGGTTGTTTTCCCTGCAGAGACATAAAAACTCATTTGTATTAGCAATGCATCTTATTCTGACCCACAAAAATGCAGATTTCAACCAGAGCCATGTATTGAAATTTGGACAAATACCATCCAAATATGATCCAAATATGACTCAAACATGATTCTATAATCTGGTCAGAGGAGGAGGGCAGACACTTTTAAGACCTGTGTGAGCATATTTGCCTACACAGAATGGATGTGCTCCCCATTTGATTGCATTATTCTATTAGAGCTCTTTTGCAGGATGTAATTAAGTGGAGTTTATAGTCTTAGATTAAAGCATCCTCTAGATCACAGGCACTGTTAATGGACTGATGCATTTTCACTGGGAACCAGATGGGAGAACATCACAAGAGAGCAAAACATCATTTACCACACTGATTGTCAAGATTCAACTTCAGCAACGTAAAAGAGAAGTAATAACTCTATCTTGTATAAGAAAAGGCAAACACAGCAACAGAGGAGGACAATCAATATTCAAAAGTTCTTTGTTTAGTTTATAAAGGCAGTATGGAAAAAAGGAGGAATTAAGATTTTCAGGGTTGTATACATTTATTAAATTTCATTTCAACCCCCAAGAGGTTGTATTTTCTGACCTTGTAACCTTCAGGATACTTTACTTGGACAGCAAACTGTTTTGCAAGATATGTGTATGCTTTATGTTATAACCTTTTTTTTTTTTTTTAAATATAAGAAAGGGTTTTAATGCTCTACTTAAGTGGAGAAGTGGCAGTAAAAAGGGTAGAAAAACTGGGAGAGAGAATGAGGAAAAATATAATGCAGACAGACACAGGTTTGAATCATTCTCAGGTTTCAGGGCTATGGCCCCTGTACATGGGGTGCACTGTATGTAACTCTGAAACCAAACCTGTGCTCCCATACTTGCATGTTTTGATATTCAAGTTATGTATGAAACCAGGGCTAACAGAGTAATTTCTGTTTAAGAAATCACTAAGAATTAAAGAATTTCACTGCGCAGGATCACAATATTCAGCGTGAAGGATGTCACATTTGGACCATACAGTAATATTTTAAGAATACTACAGGTTTGACCATGGTAAGAGAAAACAAGCCTTTTCATTTTCATCCTGGTGCCAGTACTTGCCTCCAGCCTCTCAAACAATTCCCCAAGTTTTAATAGACACTGATTTGATGTAAATGTAGGATCAAAAAAGCTTTTGACGGGAAACATGAGAATGACAGCAATGCTGTCATTGCTATCCAAGGGTTTTTGAATTAGATTATTCTTAGGGGGTCCATCAAAAACTCCTTCAAGCCACCCTTCATAATAAATCATTAATTCAGTCAAATCAGGGCTGAAACAGAGTAATGGTGCAAGTACAACTAAACTATGCTTTGGGAACAGTTTTATGTATACAAAGAAGACCTCATTATACTTCAAATCAGGTCTCCTATTAATCAAACTGGTCATGGTTGTTGATTTGATAAATGTTGCAAATGAAATACATTACTGTTTGTACACACAGACAAACATAACTGGTGGTTTCTTTAGATAGCTCATGGGGATGGTGCCTCTTGCCACACAAGCAGCTGCTTCACATCTGGAACTTAATATAACCATCGTGGCCAATAAAGTCATTGCATTTCCTTAATTACTATTCCTGTCATTTCCGCACTAAATGAAAAGTTATTAATTCAGGGACAGCACACATTCCTCTCTAATATACAGGGCTGCTCCTGAAACATCACTGCCCTGACTACCGCTGTCACTGGACTATAATAACCACAAGCTCCTGCCTCGCTCTGCCAGTTTTTGAATGTGTATATTTGAGTGTTTTTTCGTGTGCATGTGTGTGTGTGTGTGTCAAGGGAACAGTGGCTATGGCTTGTAGACATGAATAGAACATAAGATGGTGTGTTGTTTTCCATCTCTTCCAAATGTTCCCACTGGTGCAAGTTTAATTATGACAGGCACAGCTTGTCCTATTTCATCTCTCTCTTTCTCCTTCTCCTTCCTCCCACCCTCTTCACTCCTGCTCATATTTTTTGCTGCTCTCTGTTTGTTAAAATAAGGCCACCCTTTCCCTCCACTTCATTCATATTACTCTTACCCTTAAAACTCTGTTTTCTTTGCAATGTTGC